ATGACATACTTAATAAAAGTTGAAGAATTTTGTCAAATCTATCAGAAAAAATGATAATATATAGGGTGTCCCATTTAAAAAATTTGAGATTTTTTAATTTTAAGTAGTTGAAATTCATAAATATATTTTGAACACCCTGTATCATTTAACTAAAATATCTTTACATATATCTTTTTTTTCATCTCTATAAAACTCTCCTACCAAATTTTGGTACTCCAACTTCAGAAACAATGGCACCACTGACTATTTTTTACCACACTGCAATTTAACATTTGTTTAAATAAATTGAAATATTACAAAAACTAATAATTTTAGGTATATAATATTATATATAAAAAAGTTATGGAATTTTACGCAAAATCTAAAAATAAAATAAAAAATAGGGTGTTGTATTTAAAAAAAACATATGTTATAGCCGCCACACTTTTTTGAAGCACCTTGTATACTCTACAATCATTTTAAAATGTGTATCTTAACCATCCCTATAACTTTTATATTAAAATTTTTTTTGTAAACCTTGAAACAAATGAGATAATGGACTTTACTCTATCGTTGACTCACCCTGTACATGCTTATTTAAATTTAAGTGTCACCAAGTTTTAATTGTTAAATGGATTATCATACTTAATATTATACCCTAATCTCCGCAGCATAACAAATTTTAAGTCCGGATTAGTGAAATAGTTTGGAAGGAAAATCAAGCAATAAGATGGCTGTAATCTCAAAGAAAAATTGAGCGTTTCAGCTAAATATGGATTTTAGGGATTAATAGGGATTTCCAGTATTTCCAAGTAGATATTCCAATAAGGTATTTAGGTTATAGACGCATATTTTCTCTATTCGTAATACTCGTAGAATACAAATTCTATAGAAAATATCGATTGACTTTTGTAAGTAAAAGATATTTCTCTAATTTATTACGATGTATTTTTTTGGAAAACCAGTAAAACGTGTCAATGTAGCACAAATGTTTTTGTGTACTATAGTAGTAGCTAAGAAACATGATAAAAAAGTTAAATTCCTTCGAAAATACTAAAGTAAGTAAGAGGAAGGACAAAAAGTAATTCCTCAATTATTTCCACAAACGTTATTGTAATTTAGCTTCTTTTAGACCCAAAGCAGGGACAGGGATAGTATTTGGGCCAAAAACTAAATACTCCGAACCAATGGTCATCTACCCCAGCATTCTTCAGGCAAAAATCTACGCCATCGAAAGATGCGCACAATTTATCTTAGACATAGATTTAGTAAGAACAGATATCACATTGTGCATTTTAACCCGATCAAACAATCGGAGGTTGACTACGTACTGTAAAAACCAACTGAGATAGAGAAGGCGATATTGCCACATCTCAAATTTGCGCCTATCTACTTAGTTTGATTTGCAGAAAAGGTGACTTTAAAACCTTCGCCGGATATCAATAAATCTCAATTTCTTAATTAAATTTATAGTTTATTTTTAAAGAAGCATGCGTAATAATATGTTATTAACCAGAAGATATATGCGTTATTATTAAAGGACATGTTTACTGTTTAATGTGCTGAAACGTCTAGAACTATTGGCAACGTCGCTGCTAGTCTTCCAGAATGAAATGAGCCGTCCGTCCCACCACCCCTCGCGACGGCCATTGGTCCGTTACAGCGTACTACGTTTAGCTTACGGTGTGTTTGAAGTCGGAATCAAGTCCGAAGTGAACTTTTCAGTGTTTTCATTAGTTTTTGTTTTTGTTTAACGTACTTTTGAATCTGCGAATTTTCAATATGGTAGGACAGTGTCAAATGTGTGGAAAAATAAGCTCAAATTATCCGAATTTGTCTTTTTACAGGCAGGTATTGTTTCCGCCGTAATCGTACATAGGCGTCCTACAAGGGAGCCTCTCACAATTAAAATAATTTCTAATTATATTTGTTGAATTTTGATCTATTAAAATAAGAACGTAGTAGCCGGTAATTGAATTATAATTCGTCTCAATTACTACCTAACTGTTGTAAATCATAACAAATTTGAATATAAACGTTGCATTTGAAACTTTATTATAAGCTAGAAAAAGTGACATTTTTTAAATTGCGTCATATTTTGGTCATTATATACGATATTCTAAAGGAATTTTGCTCAACAAATAAACAAAAGTGTGTACCCGTCCTGTTTTACATTTGATTGCTTTATTATATCTTATATCTGCCCCTTCGGTCTTGTTTAGACAAATTTTTTACCACCGTACAATACAAATACCTCTTTCTAGAGTTATTTGTGCGGTGTGTTTACCTTTTTTTAGAATGGGACGAACTGTAAATAATTCTTAGGCTACTAGTTTTATACATATCTATATACAGAGTGACCCAGGCCTCCAAAAAAGCTTTTTACCTATTACGTTTTTGGTTTGTGATTTTTATTTCAATTTTTTACATAAGATCGGGGCCATTGTAAAGCACATTTTCAAAATATTTTGGTCAACATACAGGGTGATTCAAACCGTAATACATATGCTTAATACAGTTCATGAAGATTGGGACATTTAACTAAAATTTGATTGTCTGATGAAGCTACCTAAGTAATGGATTCGTAAATAAACGTAATATTCATTATTATGCGACAGAAATCCCATACTGTAGCACACAGATTTGATACTTTTAATGATACATGCCTTCTATTGAGAGACTAAAAGGTAATTGCCTCATATCAGAGCCATCATAATACGAGAAGAAGACCGAAAGTCAAATCTTGTCTTATATTTTCACTTCTTGTCTTATTAACACAATTTTCTCATTAAAATAAATATTGATTTTAGGTATAGGAAGTTATTAATAATACAAGATTAAACAACTACACATTACTTCACAGGAAGCTATCGATTGCGAACTAACTAAATCGTAACTAGTTACTAATTTTGAAAAGTTATTTTTAAGATCAAAAAAAGTAAAACTAAAACCTAAACTATCATTTGAGATTAAACGGGAAGTTTTAAATAATGTTGCCTATTCTAAACAAGAAAAATTTATTTATAAGTTTTATAACATCTCTAATTAAATTTGGATGAAAAGAATATTTCTGTTTGCTGTAGGTAATTTTCTCAGGGAAAATACGTAAATAAAAACGACTTTTTTTTTCAAAAGGACAAGTTATTCCAAAAAAGGACAGGTGGCAACCCTATGTATTTCTGGAATGGAAATTTAATGGCAAATCTACAACTTTAGTTTGAAAATATGTTCCGGCCACCTATGTTTACAAAAATGTCTAAAATGTACTTTACCATTGCCTCCATATTCTAAAAAAATTGAAAGAAAAGTCATCAACCACAAACCTAATATAGAACTGTTTCGGAAGCCTGAGTCACCCTGTAAATATTCAAAAGTAACTGACAGTTTAAATTGAATATCGACGTTGGAGCGATTTTCGAAAACTGTCTACTAACGTTTCAACATAAGTATATGTGGGATATTAATTATATTATTATATTAGACCTTATAACAAAACTCATCTAACGAAAAAGTGTTAATGTAGTATATTAATATAGAGTAAAAATTTTATTAATTACTTTACTTTTACTTTACTACTTAAATTCGTTCCAATAAACGATACGCCACTGGCCATTAGAACAATCCAAATGTGCCTAGTTGCCGGGGTCGGAAATTTTAGACTTCCCTGTCTCTTCTGTCCTTGTTCGACACATTGGAATGTTTGATACACTACCAACGAGTATTTATGAATGAAATGTTCGGTCTATCTTTATAATGTCTTTGATCTTAGATAGGAACTATCGGAAACAGAAAAAAAAGCGATCCACTCAGTAAGCATTAATTCAAAGTTGGACAAAGAATGCTTAGAGAAGCTGAACAAATTAGGCAAAGAAAATAAAGTCCTCCTACTCTGGGTGTCAGTTCACCAAGCTAGAAAAGGACACTCCACTAACTGGACTAAAACCGTTCTGCTTTTCAAGTGGAAACCAAGTTAAAGCGGAACTCAAAAATCTAGAAGACTCCATCCGTAACATGGAATGTAAATGAATCAACAGTCTGGGACACTCAAAGGAATTTCTCAGAACTGACGACCGAGAAAAATCAAAGATTTTCCTTGATTCAAGTATGAACAATCTTCGGATTGTCGCGGGGTTTTTTAACTGGATACTGTCTCATCAACAAACAGCTCAGTAGATTGAAGCTAAGAAACAGCGGCGAATGCAGATTCTGTGGTGAAGATGGAGAAGCACCACAACACCTCATCACTGACTGCGCCGAGTCGACAATCATTTGTGATATAAACTTTGGTATGACTGAAATCGGAGATAGATAACTAGCCAGTGTCTGAGATGGCTTCACAGAGCCATCTCAGACACTACACGTATGTATATTATATAGTCACTTACTAGCGAAAAGTTATTCCATTATTTCCCTCGATTTTTAACCGAGATCTACCGCACGCTACACAACCAACCATTTTACAGTCTTTTTCGATGAATCGCAATAGTGTCACTGCTACTTTAAGTTCTGACATAAAATTTCCTTCTAGATTTACTATCCTTAAACAACTATCAGTAGTAGAATACATAATAATTTATATAAAATAAGCTCAGCAAAGACTGACAAATCCACAAAATTTCAAATCAAATTCAAATGTGTTATATGAATCGTCAAACAGAACTGGCAACATGCAAAAATATTAAATCCAAAGCAGTAGTTATTTTTAAAATATTTAAATACTTTACTTTAACGCATAGTTTTCCCGCGCTCATAGTTGTGTTTAGTCATTACAATCTGTCTAACTGATTAAATATAATAGCTGTTTTAATAACATATTATGTAAAAATCAGACATGTAAAAATAAGTAAGCTCATTTATTTCTTTTAGCTACCTTTCTCACTGGTATCAAGGTGTCACAGGGCGAACCCCGCCGGTATTCAAAGCACATGAGAGCATCAAAAAATCTCTTAAAACACCTGTCGCTAGACAGTTTAATCACGTTTTACTTTGTTGCTATTGTTACGAACAAAAATATAAATAGTCAAAAAATTAAAATTTTTGAAATGTCACTTTAAGTAAATATAATTTCATAAAAATGACCAATTACTGGCTAGCAGCTTTCACTTTTAGAATAGTGTTTCCAATTTTAGTATTATGTGGTAAGTAAAACATGATTAACAATATTATTACATTTATTAAATACGCGTAAATTATACTTAAAACTGTCAAAATATTTATCATATAGTATAACATAAAAGATTCCCTCGTTTCGGAATTGCACACGCATGGTAACGTAAAATCCCTAGGTATTATAATGGGTGTTTTTGAAAAGTTGCTCACCTCCTATAAGTTTTTTATATTTTCAGATTAAAAAACGACATTTGGTATGTTATTATAAGAAATAAATCAGGATTGACTGACGTATTTAATTGTTTCGATCAATTTCTGTTTCACCGGAAATGACTACAAATTTTTATATTTTAAATGATACCCTCCTTTGAATAACAAGACTAAGGAAGGAGCATATAAAAATCTTAGGTCCACCGCGATGGGACTCAAATATGGCCGACTTAAATTCCGGTTTATCAGTGCCGTTCTAATTTTATTTAAAAAATGTAAAACTATGATATAGGGTAGACGTGGGGTAGACTCTATATTTTATTTTATTTTACGCTGTGAATAAATGTTGGTAGAGTAAACGCCAGGAATGTTTGGGAGTGATTCATCGCTTGATGAAGTTAGAATCGACACGCGCGCTATCATTTTTACATTAAAAACGTAAATTTTTACCGCAGACGTAGGTTTTAAAGGTCCGGTCTAATCATATGCCTGCGCTCCTCCTACTTATTCTAAAATGTTAGCGTGATTGAGAAAGACGATACTATATCGCGTTTCTTTGATTGATTGGTTTTTGTGCGTCAGTCCATTCGTGTGCTTGCAGTGCGATCAATGGGGCATTCCATTTTATATTTATAACCAAATACAAAGACCAAATATATGTTTTGACAAGACTTTGACAATTAAAACAACAAATTACAACAGATTATATATTGATTATTATATGACTTGAAAGACCACGGCACTGGAATTAAGTTTTATGAGACCTTGAACAGATTAGTTCACATGGTAGCGACCGATGAATCACTCCCAAACATTCGTGGCGTTTACTATAGTTATTAAAATTGTTATAAAAACATATTATTATAATAAAAATAGATAAGTTTTAATAATTATTTATTAACACAAACATCCGATACGCTACTGAAGCAGGTAAGGCAAATAGACGTATTTAAATTCTTTGACATCTAATCTTTGACAAGTAGTAAAGCAGTTAATGCAAAAATGCAAGAAAAAATATATAATTAGTTGATTTAAGTGAATTTCATAAATGATCGGGTTAGTACACGTATGTATATTATATAGTCACTTACTAGCGAAAAGTTGTTCCATTATTTCACTCGATTTTTGCCGAGATCTACCGAACGCTACACAACCAACTACTTTAGAGTCTTTTTCGATAAATCACGATAGTGCCACTGTTAATTTAAGTTCTGCCACAATTTCCATCTAGATTTACTACCTTTATACAACTATCAGTAGTAGAATAAATAATAAATAACATAAAATAAGCTCTGTAAAGACTGACAAATCCACAAAATTTCAAATCAAATTCAAATGTGTTAAACAGAGCTGTCAAGGATCCCCACCCTAGAGTACTTTTTCCGTCCACCATGCATGAATACATCGATAGCATTAAGGTACAATTCCGAACACGACCGCAGACTGCAGACCGCAGCAGCAGACTGCAGGCGACACTACAGGTTTCTATAGATTTCAATGGGATGCATTCTAAAGTAGGCGTCATTGCCGTCGAACAGCAGGCCCCGGTTTAACTGCAAACCGCACTACCAGTATTGCAGTCATGCAGTCGACTTCACGGCCTTCACGCTGAAAATATCGTACCTACACGGGGTCCAAAATGAGTTTTTTAGAAGCCGCCTATTTATGGCGAGCCTTGTACACTTTGGTTTAAGATCATCATTAATGAGGCTTAGTACAAAATGAAACTGTCTTTTATTTAAACGGCAATAGCTTCTAAATATGGTTTCATTACTCAACAAATGTTTTTGTATTAGCACTGAGTAAGTTTCCTCATCTATTCTATAAACTCATTTTTATACAAAGGCATTGTCAACCTTCTTTGTTTCCTAGTATGCATAATAACACATCATCATCATCTTCCTCTTCCAAAAAGAGTTCAATAATCGCGGAAGAAACTGACATGTTTCCTCGAGGAGTTCTTATCTACGACTGCAGGAATATCTGTGTCGCTGTGTTCTGCATTAATCCGACCTCAGACGGCAACGGCAATACGGTTGCAGTGTGCGGTCTGTGGTTCCAGTCGGTCGTTGCGGTTATATTTGGAATCATACCTTTATGCTCCTTCTTTAGTCTTCTTATTCAAAGATACCCTGTTATGATTAAAAATACGAGTTGGGCATCTTTATAAGCGGCTAAGGAAAGATACAAAAATAGTAGATGATGAAACTTATTTTTGCAAGGCTCATTGACCAATAATTAGTGGTTTAAAGACAGCCAAACGCTCTAGATTGAATTTTAAAATGCATTTTTTTTTAATTAAAAATCACAAATGTTTGCATACAGGGTGTTCGAGGCTGAGCGTGCATTGGAAGTTTCTAGAGAACTAGAATAACTAGTTCGAAAAATGTTTGCACATCATTGTTTCATAACGAGATCTATCAATTAAAAATATTTTCAAAGTGGCCGCACCAAATTTTCTTATTTTAAATGGGTACCTCCATTTTTTATTACATACTTAAATTCTCTGTAATTTTTTTTGAATTTTGATATTAAACACTCTATACCGGGTGCGTCTCAAAAGTGACTCGCCTCTATAACTTTTCTATTTTTTCAGATAAAAAAAACTAGATTTGGTATGTTAGTATAGTCTGTCCAACGAGAAGATCCTTGACAGTGATAGATGTGTCTGTCATTTTAATTTCAAAGTAGTTTATTTTATTTTACAAAGAAATAAGTTGGTACAACTGGAACGCATAACGATATATTTAAAATTTGATTGACAAGATGACAAGTGATTACTTCAAAATATTGTGAAAGAAACTGTATAAAACTGAAAAAATGTAATCGAGTTATTTTATTTAATAAAAACGGTATGTGTTAATACAAAACAAACAAGAACAAAACACTACATACCAAAAAAATATAAAAAAGAACTATTATTTACTTTCAAGCTTTATGAAACTACCCGCATTTATGATTATATTTATCAATATAACTTATGTACAAATACAAATTTGTAATATTCCACAGGAATAAATAAAACAACATAGGTAAATAAAACAAACTATTTTATTAATAATAACACCTACCAAATTTTATACCTTAAAGGTTGATTAATTAACTTTAATCTTAATTTTTTTAAACCAGTACCTTGTGACCAGGGTTCGGAAAACTACATGTTACTTTTAAAAACTACATAAACTACATTACGTGTAGTTAATGTAGTTTATGTAGAGGGTGTAGTTTATGTAACATATGTATGTAACTTTCAAATGTCATAGGTATGAGGTGAGGTTATAATAAGTTAAAGCTTTAGAAAGCACATAATGTATTTAAGAAAACAGAAGAAATATGGCTCTAAATATAACCATTCACATCATATTATTTAGACTTCTCATAAAAAAATTATTCATAATATCAACAGGTAGTTTATTAACGTAGTTTTCATGTAGTTAACGAACGGGAAAAGACGTAGTTTTTGAAGAAAAACTACACGTAGTTAATCAGGTAAATTACGTCTTAATTAACTACTACCGAACCCTGCTTTTGACATTATTTTTCTGCAGTACTAAAATCCATTATTTACCTATCGTGTGATGTCGATATTTTACAGCTACTCCAGTTTTTAGTATGTGTTTACTTTGATTCTTCTACCATATACGAGATGCACTTATCTACGACGAAATGGTATACAAACTTTATCGATGGCAACTTCATTGGTGTATAAGAATTTCTGCCTGGGCAGCGAGTATTTAGTATTTACCATAAACTGTGCTCTGGGTCTACAGTTAATTTTCACTCGATTTTTCCTCCACTTGACTTCAAAAGACACAAAACACACGTAATAATACGAATCAAAATGCATCATCTTCCAAAACGCAAGGTATTTAACAAAAGTTGACACAAAATTATAACCTATAATTTGGCAAGACTTTGACAAGCGTCAAAAATTACAAAAATCTAAAGGCGAGTTCATACGCATCGGTGTCCGTTTGTCGTTCATCGTTCCGGCAAACCAATAAAATTGAAATACGATCTGTCATTTTTTAAATAAACCAATAAAACTGGTTAAAAACAACAAGACACGACGTATGACGGATTTATATTTAAACCCATCCATAGATAACTTAAAAATTATTAGAAACTTTTTTTAGTAAAATAAATAGATTGGTATGGGACGTCATCTGCTTTTCTTCTGTCATCGTCTGTCGAAATCTTACCTGAGAAAAAAAACAGAGTATATATGACATAAATTAGGACAGATTGGCGTATTCAATTGTTTTCGGTCAAATCCTGTTACACCGGAAATTACTACAACTTTTGATTTTTAAATGGCATCATCGGTATTTCGTCACTTTATTCGATAGAAAATGACACTCAATGAAGTAGACTGACATATCATATGTCAACTTTTGACATTTTCAAATATGTTTTTTTGAAATTGCAACATGCGGTTCATAAAGATTTTCAGAGTTCACCCTATTCAGAGTGTCATTTTCTATCGAATAAAGTAAAAAATCACCGACGGTGCCATTTAAAAATTAAAAGTTGCAGTCATTTCCGGTGAAACAAGAAGAAACCGAAAACAATTGAATACGTCAATCAATCCTAATTTATGTCATATAGTAACATACCAAATCTCGTTTTTTTTTATCTAAAACAATAAAAAAGTTATAGAGGTGAGCCACTTTTGAGACGCACCCGGTATACCTGACATTGACCGTTTTTTTTTGAGAAAAAAAATATATACAATTTTTGGAGGAAAAAAACTGCCTGCCAACAAAATTCGTATAGCCTAAACGTCAAATTTAATAATTACCTTGGAATAAAATGATTAAGGAAGGAGCATATCAAAAAACTTGGATAAAATAATACATGAATAGCATTATACTCCTTCCTTATTTTTTTTTATTCAAACGTTTATCTCTTATACAGGGTGTTTCAAAACAAGTGCGAAAAACTTCAGGGGGTGATTCCTTGTTCAAAATAAAGGGTAGTTTGCTTCATAAACGTTGGGTCAAAAGTCAACCATTAGGGAGATATCGCGGTACAAAGATGGCGGAAAAATAATGTTTTTATTTTTTATCTTGAAAACGAAAAGAGATAGACTAATAAAATTTTATGGAAGCATTATTGTTATGAAAACACACTTTCTGATAATTTTTTCATTTTTTTAAAATGAGTGGAAGGGGTTGAAATAAACTACCCCTATCATTCTTGTTAACGAAATTTAAAGAAAAATCTTATCAAACACATGCAAAAAAATTAATTTGGATAGTTTAGTTTGTTTAGAAACTTTTCTATCTCTTGTATTTTTTTCACAAAACTCACCGATTTGAAATTAAAAAATAAAATGTAAAGCATTACATGCCAGGACAAAAAACATTTTCTGATAAAGAATCTAGTGGGCTGCTGTAATTTTTTTAGGAAAACATCTAGTCGGCCGCTGTTACTTTTTAGGATGTTCCTAATATTATTTTATATGACATTACTTCTACTGCAATACGTTATTATCTAGATTATTATTATTATCGTTATTATCACTAGATTCTTAATCTAAAAATGTTTTTTGTCCTGACATGTAATGCTTTACATTTTATTTTTTAATTTCAAATCGGTGAGTTTTATCAAAGAAACACAAGAGATAAAAAAGTTTCTAAACAAACTAAACTATCCAAATTAAAGCATTTGCATGTGTTTGATAAGATTTTTCTTTAAATTTCGTTAACACGAATGATAGGGGTAGTTTATTTCAACCCCTTCCACTCATTTTAAAAAAGTGAAAAAATTACCAGAAAGTGTGTTTTCATAACAGTAATGCTTCCATAAAATTTCAATAGTCTATCTCTTTTCGTTTTCAAGATAAAAAATAAAAACATTATTTTTCCGCCATCTTTGCACCGCGATATCTCCCTAATGGTTGACTTTTGACCCAACGTTTATAAAGCAAACTACCCTTTATTTTGAACAAGGAATCACCCCCTAAAGTTTTTCGCATTTGTTTTGAAACACCCTGTATAGCTGTTTGACTCCTACATGTATTTATTTTTATATTTTTCAGTTGTCTACTTACGGCCTACGATAACAACATACATTTATCTGCTGATGGCCTTCTACATGCCCTTTTTCTCGGTGCCTACCGCCGTATCCATGACACGAGACACGGGAGTTTTCGTTAAAAGTTTCGTTGTTGTCAGTTTGCTGATTTCTTTGTCCGTTTTTTGCTTCTATTTTGTCGTGTTCTCCTCAAGCACGATTGCCTACAACATAGAGGTAAATTATTTTCTTTTATAAAAATAAATTTTATTTCATTTATCGATTATAAATGTCGCTTAAGTAATGCACTCAGATGCAAAAAAAGAAACGTAACGGAGAAATTTTTTGTAAAATTTAAAGTGTTATATTTTTGTTATTTTTAGCTCTATTTTAGTTTGTAAACGTTAATAGAAAACCGAGTGGACAACTCAAAATGTACAAGGATATTTTCCACGAAAATTTAAAATTGATAAGCATGCGGAATCAGTGGGAGAAATCAGCGCACAATATAACGCAATGGAGAAGAATTGTAAACTCAGTTAACAACGACAACCAAAAAGTAAAGAGGCAACAAAGCAATAAGATTTTTGAATGTCTTGAGAGCGGAAGAGAGATAGCATCACCTATTGGTCTTTTCAGTGACAGAAAAGCTCACGAAAGAATACGCCTTTCATAACCATCTTCTGATGCATGTCAAATACTCGTCAGCAAGTAATGGCAGTAAAAATAGGGAATACATAAATAATTTCTCCAGAACCAACTAGGAGAAGAATAATTACAGTCTACTAGGCCTTGTACAAATTTTAATTACTTTTAAATGCGATTGGTTCTGAAATCCTTAATATACAAAAATTCTTCTCTTCTTCTCAGCCATTACTCATCCACTGCAGAATGTAGGCCTCTCTCAGTTTCTTCCACTCGTTTCGATTCTGTGCTCTCCTCATCCAGTTCTTACCGGCTACGGTTTGGCTATCATCAGTCTATCTTTTAGGAGGTCGGCCGACTGGGCGTTTTGCTAGGCGTGGCCTCCAGCAAAGAAGTCTTTTTGCCCATCTTTCCTTGGACTGTCTGGCCAAGTGTCCTGCCCAAGACCATTCCGAGCTATCCTCTCTACGATGTCCGTTATCCTCGTCTGTCGGCGAATGTCTTCATTTCTAATGTGGTCGTGAAGACTGATACCCATCATGGCTCTTTCCATAGCTCTTTGGCTCACTCGTAACCTGTTCACACTTCGTGCCGTCATCGCCATAGTCTCCAAACCATAGGTCATGACAGGCAAGACGCATTTGTTGTAAACGTCTCTTTTTAGGCTATTTGGGATTTTGCTTTTGAATATAAAGTTAAGTTTACCAAAAGCTGCCCATCCGAGTTTGATCCTTCTAGAAATTTCGGTTGTTTGATTTTCCTTGCCGAGTTTTATGGCATGACCTAGATATATATACTCTTTAACGTTCTCAATCCTTTGACCATTAACATTAACTTGCTCTTCAATTTAGGGTTTTAGTTTTAGACAAATTCATTTCTAAACCTACTTACAATGATGTGTGGTGAAGTTGTTCGAGCATTGTTTGAAGTTCTTCCAACGATGAGGCCAGGACAACGACATCATCAGCGAAGCGCAAGTGGTTAAGCATCCCACCATCTACCTTAATACCCTTCTTGTCCCAGTTCAGCTTCTTAAATACGTCCTCCAGGGCCAGTGTAAAAAGTTTTGGGGGAAATAGTATCTCCCTGTCGGACTCCTCTTTCCATTTTAATTTTATTTGTGATATTTATGTCATCCAGTTTGATAGTCATTGTAGCTGATTTGTAAATAGATGATATTATGCCCGAGTATCTGTAGTCTATTCTGGCATTTTGTAGGGCATCGAGGATGGCGTGTAGCTTTATAGAGTCGAAAGCCTTCTCATAATCCACAAAGGCGACATATATAGGGAAGTTGTATTCAGTGCTTTTCTCTATGAGAGTGCGGACTGCCTGAAGGTGATCCACAGTACTATATCCACTTCTAAACCCTGCCTGTTCCGGGGGTTGATAGAAGTCGAATTTGTTTGACAGGCGATTTGTCAGCACCTTTGTGAATATTTTGTAGAAGTGCGAGAGCAGGCTGATGTGACGATAATTGTCGAGTCTGGTGTTATCACCCTTTTTGTGAATGAGAGTGATTGTTGCGTTTTGCCATAGCTCTAGTATTCTTTGTTCCATAATGCATCTATTAAAAATTTCCGTCATCTTCTGCAGTAGAAGTTGTCCACCAGATCTGAACATTTCGGTTGTTACTCTGTCTTCTCCCGGTGTTCTATTATTTTTCATTTGGGACAGGGCTTTCCTTATTTCTTCTACGTCTATTTCAGGAATTTTCTCGGAATTAACATTAATGATTGGGGGTCTAGTGAGTTCGCTGATCGTTGTTATTTGCTTGCTGTATAGTGTTGTATAGAACTTTTCAATTACCGTCAGCATTGAATCTGTGGTCGAGACTAGGTGGCCTTCCGAATCTTTCAGTTGGTAAATTTTGTTTTTGCTTCCGAGTTTGTTCCTTCTAAGTACTTTCATATTGGAATTCTGTTCTATGCATTCCTTTATCATATACGTGTTGTAAGTTCTAGTGTCTTTACGTATAACCTTATTAATTACCCTGTTCATTTCTCTGTATTGTGATGTGCTCTTATCCAGCTTCCGTCTCTCCATCATTAGTTGTGTTTCTGGGGATATTTTTGGATTTCTGGCAACTTTTAATCTTGATGCAGTCTTCCTGGTACTATTTATAATCTGGGAGGTTGTTTGTTGTACCAGATTATCCAATGACAGGTCTTCCGCGTTTCGCATATTGGATAGTCTTCTATTTAGGTCGATTTGGTAGTTAGAGGTATTTTGGTTGGTCAGATTTAGGTGTTGCCTTTTAGTATTGATGAGTTTTGTTCTTTCTAGTGATGTGTTGATTTTAATTCTAGTTCTAACTAATCTATGATCACTGCCAGTAGAGAATTGGTTGATTACCGATACTTGGTTGATTACCGATTAACTTCAACAATGTGTTTTTTATTACATAGGACATAATCAATCTCATTTCTTGTTGATCCATCGGGACCAGCCCAGGTCCATTTTCTGTTCGGTTTTTTTTGAAAAAGGTGTTCATTGCATAGATGTTGTGTTGTTGAAGGAAGTTAAGAAGTTTTTCGCCCCTTTCGTTTCTTTGTCCTAGGCCATATTTCCCTATATATGGGCCATCGTCTTTCTCCCATTTGCCTATCTTAGCATTATAGTCACCGATAAGGAGGGTAAAATATGTTTGAGATGTATTTAAGGCTCTCTCTATATCATCATAAAAGTCATCAATTTCGTCCTCGTCAGAAGATGCAGTTGGTGCGTATACTTGAATTATTTTTAATGAATATTTTTTATTTAACTTCAAGACAGCGAAAATTACTCGATTTGATATGGATTTGAACTCTGTAATATTCTTCCGATGTTTAGGTGAGATAAGTATAGCGACTCCACCCTGCGAGTCTGTTTCAGAATTTCTTTGGAACAATGTGCAGCCGTTCCTTAGGAGAGGCCTTTCGTCCATTCATCCTTGTCTCGCTGATGCCAAGTATATCCCACTTTATGTTCTCCAACTCTAGCTCCAGCTCTGAAAATTTCTCATCCGTTCTCAATGTCCGTGCATTGTACGTTGCTATGTTCAGTATATGTTGGCAGCCTGTCGAAGCCTGGTGATTCTTAGCACCCCTGACTCGATTCCTTGTCCGTCCGCTGCCTTGGTCGGGGATGTTCGAGCCGCCAGGGACTCGGGGCCTTTGTATTTTTTGTGAAATCATGGAAGTATTGAAAGGAATATGGCATTAAAACGCCACGCTTGCCTTGCGGGTTATATACAAAAATGATACAACGAAAATGTTCATATTTGTCAATAAACTCAAAAAATCTTCATTAGACCACTCATAATAAAAAAACCACATAAATAAATAATAACTTTATTGCCTGACAGGATTACAGGATCCCAATTAATAGACAATTATAAATAATAAGGAAACACATAGTAAATTAACTAAGGAGCAGTATAGATCTCACTCAGATGGCCCAGACAGCAACCGCCTAATTTTATTCTTGAAACTTGCGGCAGAAATGTTAAATACCTGTATCTAATTCGTCGGAAGATAGTATAAGATTATTATAGTTTGAACATGCTTGATGCAATGGCGCCTTTGTGGATAAGTTGGTCCGTGGAACAGTAAGATGAAATACATTTTGATGGCGAGTATTAAATCTAGGGATGATGAAACTAATATTCTGTAACAGTTGTGTCGCGTAAATTTCGCCATTACACAGTTTATGTAGAAAAATTTGTGATGCACAAACTTTTTCATTTTGAAGAGACAACAGCGAGAATCTATTTAATAGCGCATTTTGACTATAATCTCTAGTCGGGTAAACACCATCTATTTTAAAGGCTAAGTATTTCCAGAATCGCGTTTGAACTTTTTCCAGTCTGTAAATTTGTGTAGCGTAAATAGGCGACCAAGCAACAGAAGCGTACATCAACTTCACTGGCACTGAGGGTTATTAAAATGTTTAGTTGTTCTTATTAAAAAGCCCCCAATGATCTCAAAGCAGATTTAATCGTCTGATCTATATGATAATCAAATGGAAGTTTACTGTCCACATAGATACCCAAGTCTTTTATGACCATACTGTCAACCAGCATATGGTTATCGATTTTATATTGAAAGTTAATAATGATTTTTGTTTAAAGCGATACTCAGCTTATTACATTTATTACAATTTATGAGTAGACTGCTATAAATGGCGCGCGGAGGCTCAATGCATTCATTATATATGGATCACTGCAGACTGAGATCACATCTGCAAATGATGGAAGTGGAGGAAGACGCCAAATGCCACTATACAGGACCAGGTTTGAGTTGTTTTTCAAAACTATGTTGGACTTATCACATTTTGGAAGGAATATCACCCTCGCATATAACAACCTAGTTACCGCATATAACAACCTAATTACCGTATATAGGAATGTAGTACTTGTATATTATTCAGTTGTGTTTTAATGGAAAATATATTTCCATGAACTATATTTTAGGCCTAAATTTCAACTTTATTCGATGAAATTCGATTACAAACATAAAATTTACTTTTAGCCTTGCAGTTTTATAGAAAGTGTGCTACGTGCATATGGCGTTGTTGACTTTCGTGACCTGCCAGGTCATTCTAATATAGATTGGTTGCTACCAGGTAAACAGATTTTTTTATTACTTAATTTGTTGATTTCTTCTAATTTAAACATAAATGTTGAGTTAAAATCTAAACATATCTGTACAGTCGGTAAATCATTATATGGCTTAAGAATATCTAAATAAATCACAATATATTGTTTTTTTAATATCGTTGATTGTAGTAGGAGTTTTTAAATTTTCAAAATGTCATTTTAATGGATATAAAATCCCAAGAAGTTGTTATAATTTGAAATTTAAACTATTTTTCTTTCTCCTTTACACTCAGTACAGTCTAAAATAAAATATTTGTTTCAAAACATTCTGGACAGCCTATACCGACATAAATCATCAGAGAGATAGAGTTTTTTTGTTCTTTTTTCCTTCCTACATTAATAATTATTTTTCTAATACATTTTTTTTTCAAGTACACTCAAATGCAAAAAACCGCAACGGGAAATGTTTTTGTCAAGTTTAAAGTGTTATATTTTTCTTTCTTTTAGCCTTATTTTCACGATTTTTTTAGCATATTGTATACGGGGTGGCCCGTCGAAAACGTTCCGCAAGGCATAACGGCCAGAGTATTTTTTCTTTCAAAAAATCCAAAAACACGTCAATTTTGTTTGTGAGGGGGACAACTTTTGCCCCAAAAATGATTGCAAAATCTTCAACCCTCTAAGCGGAGGTGTCATCCACCAATTTTTTTCAAATGGGAAGGGGGGTCAAGTGGTACCGCAATGAAAAGGGCTTTTTATTATCTATACTTTCCCGTTTCGTTTTTGAAAATCGGTCGGGTCATTCAGAAAATATGAAGAATTGAAATTTGAAAAGTTTATTTAAAAATTTATCAGAGTAAATGATAAAGATAAATTCCTTCGACCAATTTGCTGTTTTTTCTTATTATTTCTAGATGTTTTCGCATTTTTTCACTTGCCACAAGGTTGAACGATCAGGTGCGGTAGTTGCGAGATAGCTGTTCTGTGACTTGTGCGTTGAAATTCTCAATATCGTTAAATTTTTAACAATTATGGTGTACTCACTTGCAGAAAAAGTGGAAATAATCAAACTTTATTTTAAAAATAAACTTTATTTTACTTTATTTTAAAACGTCTTCGTTAAGTTCTTGTACCAACTGAATTTTGTACGGGTGGAACTTTTTTTAATATCCTTTGGACGCTTGTACGATTCTCGCCGGTCTCATTGGCTAATTTTCTTGTACTCAGCGTACTTGGCAACTTGGCCTAATACGAATACCTCCATAGCTTCATTTACTACAGGATTTTCCCTCTGCCTCTTTTTATTCATAACAGAACCAGTTTCGCGAAATTTTGCTACTAACTCACGAACAATTTTGCCAGAAAGGTGTTTGTTAGGATGGCGTTTATTGAATATCTGCGCAACCCGATTGCCACATTTATTATTTTTAAAATAAAGTTCGAATATTTCTAATTTTTCTGCAAGTGGGTACACCATAATTATTGTTAAAAAGTTTAACGGTATTGAGAAGAACTTCAACGCAGAGGTCACAGAACAGCTATCTAGCAACTACCGCACCTGATCGTTCAACCTTGTGGCAAGTGAAAAAATGCGAAAACATCTAGAAATAATAACAAAAAACAGCAAATTGGTCGAAGGAATTTTCCTCATCATTTACTCTGATAAATGATTAAATAAACTTATCAAATTTCAATCCTTCATATTTTCTCAATCACTCGACCGATTTTAAAAAACGAAGCGGGAAAGTATAGATAATAGAAAGCCCTTTTCATTGCGGTACCACTTGACCCCCCTCCCATTTGAAAAAAATTGGGGGATGACACCCCCGCTCAGAGAATTGAAGATTTTGCAATCATTTTTGGGGCAAAAGTTGTCCCCCCCACAAACAAAATTGACATGTTTTTGAATTTTCTGAAAAAAAAATTACCCTGGCCGTTATGCCTTGAGGAACATTTTCGATGGGCCACCCTGTATAAAACTATCAACTTTAATTCATAAACTCAGTTTTTTTATAAACTTTAATATTTGACTTATTATACAGGTTTAATTAAAGGGTTGTTTTATTTATCCTAACTTTAAAACACCCTGTGCAAATATTTTGAGTAAGTTTCCCTAAAAAATTACTTTGCGATCAGAACCATGTCTCCTGAGAATTTGTTTTTTGATTCACGTCAACACATGCTTTGGTTAATTTTTTTTAGAGCGAAATGAACTTGTCACCAACAATTTGCAATTTTTTCAACTATCATTACTTTATGATGTTATTTTTTAATATCACGAGGTGGCTTTGGTGACTACTGTCGTAATATCATCTCGACACTGATTAGAACTTTATATTAAATTTTTATTTTTTTTTAAATTAACGATAGTTGCTTGGTTTTAATAAATAATAGTAACACTGACAGAACTAAGGAAAATAACTATAATAAGTAAGTGTACACCAAACAAAAAACTTGTAAAAAAATACTCAAATACTTTGTATTACCTTTACCGACTGTTATAACTGTCTGTAGACGTCGGTTCATACTCTTAATGAGGCTGCAAATATATTGTGTTATGTTTCCCATTCTTCTTCAAGGACCAAGTTAATATTCATAATTTCGGCCATCTTCAATAAGATCAATAACTTTTGCACAATCTACGACACTAAAAACCATATTCAATCGTACACAACAATAATCACTAAAGCCACCTCACTATTATGAAGAGTAACATCAAAAAGTAACGATAATTGAAGATATTGCAAAATGTTAGTGGCAAGTTGGTTTTGCTCTTAAAAATTAACCAAAGCATATGTTGATATGAGTCAAAAAATAAAAGATTAAGGAGACATGGTTCTGACAGAAAAATTATGTTCTAAGAAAATTTGCTCACGAAATAATTGCACAATATGTTTTAAAGATACCCAAGTAGCATTTTCACGACTTGCGACCACATGTTTACTAAACACAACGTTGGATTAGTTACAAAAAATAGTTAGCTCCGTACCTTAGGTATTAAAATAAATGTAAACGTTGTTGTAACGTTGTGCCGACGTTGAACTAGTACTACAACAAAGTAAAAGCTTCTGCGACGTCGAATAAACGTTGTCTTGTAACCTTTTTTGCTTAAGTGATCTTTAGGTGATTCGGACAACGTAGTTACAATGTTGGGCAATAAAGAGTTTTCCGACGTCACTTTCAGGACCTATTCCAACGTTATGCAAACGTCGACTGTTTTACTAATTCCAACGTTGTTTAGATTTCCTTATTCTTACGTTGGTAGGACGTCGAGCCACTACCTTTTTGCAACTGTATTGAACCATAACCTTAAATCTTAAATTTTTACTTCATTGTTCTGTTCTTCAGTTCTTCAAGCTTCAGTGCTGTTTTTGTTTTTATAAAAAAAACTTAATTAAAATGGGACATAAGAAAGGTACATATAAAACTAAATTTAAATATACATCGACATATTACCGATACTTTATCCACTCCCTCGTTTATTTAGAAGAGGGCGGCACAAGCTAGACTCTAGGATGACTAAATTAGGCAATCTTGCGACTAGTATACTACCTGTTAAGGCTGAACTACGACTTTATTAGTCCAGTATGCGACTACTCGAACTACTCCATCTTAATCTCCAAAACAACAAAGTGAAAGCCGCCATGTTGTTGAATAAGAAAATGTTTCGTTCCTAAAATAGCAATTCCTGGTTTTTGAATACATTAACTTGAAATATTTGATCCTAAACAACACGCGGAAACAATGTTTTCGACTGCGAATAAATTGTTCTCATTTTACTAAAAGAAAAAAATTCAAGAAATTTTTTAAAACTTCTTTAATTTTAAGGCCCATTAGTATTTTTCAGAGTAGAAACAATACATTTATCAATAAAGTTGTTTGCGTTTAACTTTTTTGCCTTGGGTAACGAGTTACAGAGTCGGTTAGAGTGTTTCAATAATTATGGTCTTCAAATATCCTCCACACTTAAATACTTTTGTTTTGTTTTCCTTTACTGTCATCTGGCATATGTCTCTAACTAAATCATAAAAATAATATTTTTACTATAATTATCCCAATTTAGGATAAAACGCGACTTAGACGCCATATTATTATAGTTTTGTATTTCTGTGAATTAGGATTTTAAACAACGTTGCAGTTTGTACTAAATTAGGCTGCTAGCCAACGTCGGTATCTAACGTTGTTTCGACCCAAAAATGATTCTCCAAACTAGTGCAGTCTAGGGTTGGCACGAGGTTGTGCCGACGTTGCACCCCGACGTTTGGTCGCGTGACACAACCTTGTCCCGACGTCCAAATGCTGCTTGGGTAGGGTAAAAAAAACTCTTCGATTAACCTTGTATAATAAGTCGAATACTAAAGTTTATGATAAACTGAGGTTCCGAACTAAAGTTGATACATTTTTATACATCTTAATTCCGAATTAAAGTTGATACATTTGATACGTTTTTTGCATCTGAATGTATTTATTCTATATTGGAGTGTTATTAACATATCATTTTTAGAACTTATAATGACAATAAGTGGACCTGTCTTGTGGCTAATATTATCAAAAATGACTCAAGAAACTGTAGTGAGCATAGCAACGGGAGAAGCTGACATAGAAGAATTGAAGGCAATACATAACAAACATTTATTAAATATTGCCACTCAACTAGGTAATTAAAACATACTTATACTCTTGTAAAGAGAAAAAAAAACTAATTTACTATGTTTAATTTATTGGATATAATCTGTTTAAGTTTTGAAAGAATTGCAGTTTTGTGGGGTCATAAACATGCACCTTTCAGATTTTTGCAAAAGTTCATGGCTTACGAGATATTTTGAAAAAAACAAATTTCGGCTATTATAAAAATTGTCCCTAATTCCATTATAATCTATTTTAGACAAAAAAATTTCAGATAAAAGTTGTAGATAATCACATCTTTAATGAGATTGTGTCCTCCGTTTTTATCTAAAGCCTGTCATTTTTGACATATGACACAAACATGTTTTTTTTAAATGGAATGGCATAAGTTTTTTTGTTACCCTTATTGTTAACCATACCGCCTAAAAAAATCTAAAATGGATAGGTCAGGTGATTGAGGAGACGCATGCAATTGGTCCACCTCTACCTATCCTTGAGTTTGCATAATTATGATATAAAGAATTTTTAACATTTCTTTCATTATTAGGGAGAGTGTCATAATGAAAGTCATGTTGGAACCATTCTATTGAAGCGCAAGTATCTAAATTTAAGTTTTCTAAAAAACGTAAGTAACGTTCAACGGTTTATAACGAGGATACGTTGCCTCGAAAATGTATGGCCAAGAAAAGTTGAACCAATAATCCTACAGGCTTTTCTTTATTTGAAAAATGCATATTTGCAATTTTTGTTTATTTTAATTTATAAAGTTTGGATGTGTCAGTTTCACATTTCTGAGAGCAACGACGATTGAACTTGTTTCCATGGCTAACTAAGTGAAATTGTTTAAATATTATAAGAATTGGCTATAACTCAGTAATTTTTTTTAAGAAACATATTATTGCTAAAAAGCTTAAAAAACGGCGCTTTTTATGAAGTCATGGCCAACTATGGTTTCCATTTAAAAAAACATATGTTTGTGTCATATGTCAAAAATGAGAGGCTTTAGATAAAAACGGAGGACACAATCTCATTAAGGATGTGATTATCTACAACTTTTGTCTGAAAACTTTTTGTCTAAAATAGATTATAATAGAATTAGGGACAATTTTTAAGGTAGCCGAAATTTGTTTTTTTCAAAATATCTAGTAAGCCATGAACTTTTTCAAAAATCTGAAAGGTGCATCTTTATGACCCCAAAAAACTGCAATTCTTTCCCCATTTATCCGAATCTCTATCTCCAGTAGTTTCCGAGATACACATAGAGAACATCGTAGGAAACTCACCCTGTATACAGATATAAATAGATAACCAGTACACTAATCTGACGATATTTTGAAACAACACAAATTTAAATAAAATAAAGAAGTAAAAAAGGAAATAAAAAATATTTTAATTATGCTTAAGTGAAGTCAAAGAGCTGGTTTCGTACAAATTGGTGGAAAAAAGAGAATCTCCGATATATATTTATCAATTTCTTTATTTTTATGAAAAGAATTTGCAACTGTATTCGTACTATGTGTGCATTTTATGTTCTGATGTACTTTGATACTTTATTTTGAGACTCTCACAAATAGAGAGTACGTAGAAAATATCACGTAAATATTTAAACATGGTGAATAAAATTTCCAGATTCTATTTTAGAGAAACATTTTTATAATTTTTTTAAGAGCTTGTAACGTTTTTGTATTAGCACGCAGCGAACGTCAGTTCATATTATTCGGAGAACTGAATCGTCGACTTTATAGAGATGTTAAATAAATAAGACAATGATAAAGAATATCAAGATATTTTTCGAATTAGTTACCATTTGAAAAATATTTGATAGTGACATTGTTTTCATTTCCATAATGGTTTCCGTTGTGCTCTAAATTTGTAAAAAACAAACTTTTATTGACGGTTATCGATCAATATCAAAATTATACATTGATTGCGTTGTCAAACATAATTCAATTTTTTAGCAGTAAATTGCCGATTTAGTGATATTGAAGAAGCCAAACATTTTAGGCTTATTAATTATTTTAAGCGAGAAAGAGGCACTGCTAAGAGATGATGCCTTCTTACACGTGGATAATAATAGTATTTTATCTACGTCAGTGAGTTAAGAAGCTCTTAACTCACGCATAATAATGCTCACGCATTTTGAGTGAGTTAAGAGCTTCTTAACTCACGCATTTTCATTACCGCACTCCGACTACCAAAGAGAAAAAAATATTTTTCACTTAATACCTACTAAATACAAATAAACTGTTCTATTGATAATAATTATAAAAACATCAAAACTTATTTATTATAATATATTATTTATTAAACTGACATAAAGTGTCAAATTCAACGAGCCCCCGTAACCCATAGTTTCTCGATATATAATTAATAATAATATAATAATAACAATAATAATACTTTATTTTGCATGAATATCATTTACAACAAATGTAATTTACAAATAAAAAATAGCAATTCAAAAAAACATGCAAAAAAGGAACTGAAGACAATTAAAATTGGTTTAAATTCAGTTCCTATCAGATCACAATATCAGCTAGTATAAATGTGTGTTATGTAGCTAAATTATTTTACTGTAACTTATCTACAAATATAAGTAAATTATATAGTAATCCTATGACTAAGAAAATTTAGTATGAAATTAAAAGAAATAAACACAAAGAAAAGTATTTTATACTAAAATAATTCTGAGGTAAAAAAAAATAAGAGGGAAGAGAACTATCCAGAAAATGTTTTTTAAGTTTTATCCACTGATGGGTTAATTTTTGAGAACTGTAGAAAAAAAAATATTTATATTCGTTGGGTTATTTATAGAATCAGGAATATATCGAATATTAACATTATTGGTTATATTTAAATTTTTTAGTTTTTTTCATAAAACCTTATTGTTATGTTTATTAGTGCAAAATTCTAGATATCTTTTTTTTTTCATTTTGTATTGCAATATTTGTCTGATTCCGCATTTGTTTATAATAATCCCAATGTTCCGGTTTTCCGGTGTTTTTGTATTTTTTAAAAGTCTTATCTCGCATTTTAATCATACGTTTTATAATGTCAGTTAACCATGGTGGTTTATATTTCTTATTTTTAACTGTTTCTAAAGGTGCTAATATATCAAATATCATTAATATCAAATTATTAAAATAAGATAACTTATCTTCAATATTTTTAATATATATTATATCCTCAAATGGCGCGCTTTCCAAAAAAAGATGCTAATAGTTCTTTATTTATATATTTGAAGTTTCTTACTTGGAGTTTGGTTTCAGCTCTTTGTACAACCTGAGCATTTAAAGTAGCATGCACCATTAGATGGTCTGAAATATCGGGTACGTTAAGAGTTGAATAATGTATTTCTGTTTCTGTTTTAGGGGTAATAATATAATCTATCAAACTTTGAGATTTATCTGTAATTCTTGTCGGAGTATCAATAATTTGTTTTAAATTGTAAGAATTTAAGCAACAATCAAAATCTTGAACGCTTTTGTTATCCAATGACAAATAATTTAAATTGAAATCTCCACCGCATACACACACACAATATTTTCACATTCCATTGTAAAAAATGTTAGCGCGTTCTCAAACTCATTCATAAAATCCAAGAAATGTCCCTTTGGCGGTCTATAGATTGATCCAAAAATATATACTACATTATTAAATTTAAATTTTATCCATAATTGTTCCAAACTTTCTGATTGCTTTGATGTTAGAACTTCATATTTAAAATTATTTTTAAAATACATACCCACTCCACCACCTCTCATATCTCTGTCTGTTCTAAGAAACGTATATCCTGGAACTTGGACATGGTCACTAGGTATACCCTGAGTCAGCCATGTTTCTGAAGTGCCCAAAATATCAAAAGACTTTTCCAATAATAAATTCTTCTAGTCTGCGAAATGCGGCAATAACGAGCGCACGTTGAAATATGCGATACTTAGTGTTTTCATTCTCTTTCCTCCTAGCTTATACTTTTCTTATACTACCTAAAGAAATAACAATTTAACAGAAATAAGTAAAAAAAAATATATTTATATTAGATGTATTTGAAAATACAAAAAAAAATAAAGAAGATATTGTTGAATAGAATCCCGACTAACAGTTGTTAATTTTTAATTATATCATCCTCATTTCGAATCCAGATTTTTCTCCCATCAACCCTGGCAAATATTCTACCCTCCATGGTCCACACTTTGTCTTTTCCAAGTTTGTCTTTGGCTAACATTAATAACCCATGCCGGTAGGATGTTAACTGCTCACTAATGGCAAGTTTAGTATTTTTAAGTCTATTTTTCGTCAAATAGACAAGGTTTCTTTGACTAGTAGACAGAAATTTTAAAATCACTGTACGAGATCTTGACTTGTCTATTGGATGTTTACCAATACAATAGCATTGTTCGACTTCAATATTCGGCAAGTCCCGACGCTTTTTGATAATTTCGGAGACACAGTTATTTAGGTCATTTTCCTCTTCTGGGAGCCCATGTAAACAAAGCTGGTTTAGTTTTAAAGCCTGTTCCATATTATCTGTTTTACAAAATAGCTCATCCTTTTCAACTTGCACACTGTGTAATTTATTTTCCAACTCACTGTTCCTTGCTTCAAAAATTTGCATTCGCTCGTCAATTTTTTGGGCCACCATGTCTGCTACCTTTGCTGCTATTGATTCCATAAATTTTTTATCATTAAAAATCTCTGATATGATTTTTTGAGAAACGTCCTTCACGATGCATACCAATTCTGTTTTTTGTCTTTCCGTAAATACCATTGTAAATAACAATTCTTAGTTCAAATTTAACAAAACAAATAAACTGGCCGAGTGTGAGAAAAAAAAACTTGTTTGTAAGAATAACTTTGAAAAGTAAATAATATTGTCGGAGCTGAGATTCACGTCTACTCACTACAAACGCACATATCGGACTATCTTTACCAATCTAATTACCTACAATGTATTTTTATTTTTTTTTATTTTAGTTAAAAATATTTTAAAAATTCATTGTGTGTTTTTATAGTTAGACATAGATAAAATATTGTACAATACACGCGAGTTAACTCCATTAAGATACTTGTGTGGTTACACATCTCGTGCTACGCAATCGTTGTCCAATTTTCACACGCGTATCTTAATAATGCTGTTAACTCACTTGTATCGTAAATATCTATTACGTGCTTACCTTACATTTGCATACTTTTTCGTTTTGTCAGGAGGTTTACTGTTTTGAGTAAAATCTCAAATGAATTGGTAAATAACCAACGAGTTCTTTAGATTTACCATCAAAAAAACAATTTTCGATCGTACACTACCAAATTATGCACACACTTTCTATATTATGCTTTTACTAAATTTTAGTTTAAAATTAAGTCTAATGACAGTCGTTTACTGTCTATTTGTACCGATGTTTTTGATTCGGTATGACTTAGTGTGACAATAAAGGCCTTGTTGAGTGTAATAAATACACTCATACACTAATACACTCACACACTAATACACTCACCGGCAAAAACAACCGGCCACTAAAAACTAGTCCCACTTTCAAAGTTGGATTTCTCGCGAACCACGCATTAGATTTTGATGATTTTTTTCTTAAATTGTAAATTAATTCCTTCTTAATGGATGTTACGTCAGAAATTTTTATCTGAATTTATTTTGAGCATATCCAGGGCACAACAATAATACGAAGTTTTTTGTCCGAACTTTGTAACACCCAATAATCAAAATAAAAAATATTTTTAACCCAATATAGGTTCCTTTATTTCATTTTAATTGTTTGTTATACAGTTTGCCAAAATATTACCTCTTCAACTTTGTCGACGACTCTGGGTTGTTATACTACAACAAATTATATAACGCTTCTTTTTTTAGGAGTTTTCGTCTGGATCTTCCTGCTTTGCTTCTGTGCAGTTATCCGGATATCGCCTTTCGGAGGATTGTACTACCTGTTGTTTCTGGGTTTCCTAACGTACTGGGCAACGTTTAGAACTTTTGGTAGAGTGTGCGCCAAAATAATAGGATGTATTACACCGATTATTTTTATACATATAACACTGATATATGTGTTTCAATTTAAGTATTTCAACACTCATCCTGGAATTGGTCGTATACTTATCAGGTAATAATATAAGATAGAGCTCGTTATCAAAAACAACCATTAATGTTGGCAACAAAAACAGCCAAATTTGATGGCAGTCTTTCCTATTTTGTTTTGAGTGTTTTAAGTGAAGATCACGATTTAAATAGATGGAACCTTAGATCTTATAAACTTCGTGGATAAAGTTAAGTCATATGTATATTAGACAAAACTTTGTTACTTTAACATGCAATTTTATACTTATTTCTTTCTAGAAGAAGATTATCGTGTATATCCTTCTCTCTGCATGAGCTACTGAGCTTGCTCAGAGCGATATTGGACGTCAATGCTTATTTGAAGCTGTCTTTCGCAGCGTTAGCTAATTACTAAAAATATGAACCATTAACTGGGGGTTCAGAAGTGAACTGGATCAAGTCCTAGCAGATAATTATGGAGAAAATGAGAGTTAAAGTTTTTTAATGTTACTTAATTAAAATAATATAAGCTGGAGAAAAAAACTTGACACAATGCTTTATTATATTTTAAATTGTATAATTGCAAACTAAAGTAATTCAAAATACAACTATGGTCATTTCTAAGCATGTTTGTTTATACTTTTTGGACTTTAACCATTTTATCTCTAAAAATATTTGAAATTCTAGATATAATTTGGTTCATCGGTACATTCTTCTTCGTCAATAAGGGATTTTTTGACTTCACATTGCCTGTTAATAGTGTTTTCTTCGATTTTTATAAAAATTATGGTATATAGGCGGGATAAAGGGAAGAATTTCTTTCTTATGTTGCCTTTTACAGTGTGTTACGTTACGTCTATATGAAACGATAAGATTTTTCTTCCCCGTGCATTTTTATTCAGATCAAAAACATGCCAGATATCTAAGTATTTGTAAGAAAAACAGCCTAACTTATAAATGATAAATCAAACTATGCTTTTGGAATCGATAGCATCATCAGACCTTTCAGATAGCTGATAATTTGATTCACTTGGTGCAAATGGGTCAGACTTTGTTTCATTGTCATCCATTTTATAAAAAAAAATAGCTCTAAACTTTAGCACGTGCGTGTTAAAATCGCGCATAGCGTTAAATTTTATGGACTTGGTCCAGTTCACTTCTGAAAGGAATCAACAGAATATTCAAAAACCAAACAGAAATAGGCTATAGCTGCTTAATGCGTGAGGTATAACGATTCATTTCTCTTCTGGAAAAACCAATATTTTATAAACGTATAAAGACAATTATCTATAAAATAGTAGGAAATTTGACTTGATCCATTTTAATTCTGACCACTCCGAATATGTTTAATCATAGACAAACAAATAAAAAGCGACTGGCAAATTAAATGGCAAAGAGAGGGACAACGTTCCCTTAGCGCAACTCAGAACGCACAATTTCGATCTATTTATGTTGATCTGCGCATTGTGTCTATTGGGCCCACTATTTCGTTCTAATATAACAAGAGAGAAAGAAGCAGCCATATAAAACGTAATTTCTAAATAGAAATTAGAAATTAGAACAATCGCCTTTCGTTTTCGTCATCATGACAACCAAAATGACAACATCATGACAATTCGTCATGTTTGTTGATTTTTCTTTCCATCCCTACATCCCCCTTTAGAGCTTTTTCTTTAATGGCCATAAGTGGGAGTAAAAGCCCAACCGCCCGAACAAACACTAGATACATACATACATACATACTGCCATTACTCGCTGACGAGTATTTGACACGCATCAGAAGATGGTCACGCAAGGCGTTTTCTTTCATGAGCTTTTCTGTGACTGAAAAGCCCAATACGTGATGTTATTTGTCTACCGCACTCCGGACATTCAAAAATCTCATTGCTTTGTTGCCTCTTTTTGGTTCTCGCTGTTAACTGAGTTTACAATTCTTCTCCATTGAGTTCTATTGTGAGCTGCTACTTCCCACTCATTCTGCACATTAATCCCCTTTAAGTTTTCGTGGAAAATGTCCTTGTACCTTTTGAGTCGTCCACCTGGCCTCCTCTTACCGTCTACAAGCTCACCGTAAAGCAGTGGTTTTGGTATGCGGTTTTCTTGCATTCTGCATACGTGACCAGCCCATCTTAGTCGGGATTTTGTAACCATGTAACATTCAATACTCTCGCAGTTAGCTTTTTCAAGAACCGATACGTTTGAGACGTAATGGAACCATTTGATTCTTAAGAGTTGTCTAAGGTGTCTGTTGCAACTTGTTTAATGCGTTCATGTGTCGGCGGTACGGCACCTAGGTTTCGCTCCCATATAACATGGTGGGGATTATTATTGCTCGGTACACTGCAAGTTTCGTTTTTGTGCTCAGGTCATGGTTGTAGAAAACCCTGTCTTTTAATTTCCAGAATGCTCTTGAAGCGCTGCTAATCCTGTGCTGAATTTCAGAGTCGATATTGGCTTTTTCCGAAATCAAACTGCCGAGATAATTGAACAAACACTAGAGGCGCCACCGGTCATCAGTAATTTAAATTATATTACATACATATCATATTCAAATATTATGACATATATGTCAGTTGCCGTCTAAAATGTCATCTTGATAACAAAAAGTTAGTTATTGTCAAAAGTAGTTAAAATTATGTTAAAATATTAAAATTTACAAGTTATAATTAGATATTTTATATTATTTCAACAACAAACACATAATAGTACAGCGTAATGTTGATATAGTGGTCTAAAACAAAAAGTGCCGTTATATTTTTCAGTTTTCGTTGTCAGCCGCGGAAGTTTCAGTGATTTTAGTCTTGTCGGATATTTTTATTTGTGAAATAGAAATATTGCGTTTGGATTGCAAAACTAAAAGTGGAAGTTTTATTGCAATGTAAGTAAGCGTTTGTCCATTTTATATTTTACTTTTTTCGTACCTACGACAAATATACATATATTGAAAATTTATAATTCGTTTTATTTAAAAAATGTTAGAAAACAAGTTTGTAATCCTGTAATTAACATGATTGTTATGTAATAATTCCATTTACAATTATTAAATATTACTTTACAATTAAAAAAATTTAAATTTAAAAAATATATTAAAAATCTATACAGGCATTAATTGAAATTTTTTGAGTGCGAACAAACACGAGAGGCGCTTTATTATTTACTTTCATTTCTTAACATGACAGACGAAGTTCTAAAGGGGGATGTTTTGTGATTTACCTCTTTTTCTAAACTCTCCATCACTCTCCATTTTATTGACTTATGAATATGGGTAAGGAACAAATTCCTTTGTTCCATATAGATATTTATATTTTATTACTTATAATTTTATGTTATACTATTTGTTATTTTATTTGCTGCAGGAGCCAGTATCGTCTATTTTCTATATGTATTTTTGTCCCATTTCTCTGATAGATATGTTAAAGACACGCGGTAAAATAAAAGTATGTAGTTATATTTATCATCTTATTAAGAAAAAAGTAGAAGTAGTGTCAAAAATATTTCGAACCTCTCTTAACATAACAAATTAATACAATTAATTTTTTTCATTTTTTGGGTATTTAGTTTATAGCTGGTTTATAGTAACCAGAAACTTCATTAATATACCTATTTAACTTTTGTTTTAGGATTAAAACTGGACTTGAAAATGTTTCAGGGTCATGATTCCAGTCAAGTCTTCTTTGCTTTGCTATTCAATTTGTTATTGTAATTAGGCAGTTTTTTCGAAAATGAGATTTTTAATACCCTTTAAAAAAATTGACCGATCGTTTCCTGAAACAGTCAGTTCTTCTGCATTAAAAATTGGTAGGTGGTGGAATAAACACTGTTATTTTTTGTTATTATATTATAAAAAGTTTATTTATTTTTATGTATAAATAAATATATGTTTATAAAACAGTACAATTTTTGCTTTTTTTATAATTTCCCTTATAATAGTAGTATTCTTTCGTTCTGAAAGAAACTGCAAATTTTCACTTAAACTGATTTATTCCCTACACCACGTTCCCTTTACGTGGTATAGGGAATATAAATCAGTTTAAGTGAAAATTTTCAATTTCAGAATGAAAGAATACTACTGAATACTACTAATAATGGCTAATTTAAATTTTCCGCCAGCCAGAATGTGCGATAATGTCTTACGATACGTTTTATATCTATCTCTTTCTTTTTCACATAAAGCACACATAATAAAGAAAGATAGCAATAAAGACGTACGTCTTGCCATGGTCCTGCTAATTGATTTCAAAATTGTTATTCTGAGTTGCGCTACGGGAACGCGGTCCCACTTTTTACCATGAGATTTGTCAGTCTCTTTTTATTTGTTTGTCTATGTGTTTAATCAAGATATGACAGAACTGACATGTGTATTTATTATTTTGAAAAAAAATATTTGTTTTATTCTATGGATGCAAATACATAAAAAATCCGGTGGCTCTCAATTTTTTTTAAATATAAATATATATTTTCTAAATTTTCAAACTGGAATAACTTGGTTATTTGAAGTTATTTGTAGAACGGTAGAGAGAAATTGTTTCTTTTATCGAGATCTATCAGTACCGAAAATATTTCCACTTATTTAAAACTCACCCTGTCTATTATTTTGTTTTAAGCCTAAATTAATTTCTGTTTCAGAATATTTAAACTATATCCATATAAAACGTCAGCTGGCTGCGGAGAAGGGAATAAAGATCCAAGATTATATTTATGGGTCAAACAGCGAGGCATCACAAATTTTCTACCTTGTGCTCTCTATGCTCTTTATTTGTTATCAGTTCTACTGTCCCGTCATATACTGAATGCCAATGTAAGTTAATTTCATTTTTTTTGTAAAGTATTGATTGATTCAAAATATTTTACATACAGATATACAGGGTGTCTTAATATTCCGTGGACATAGAAATACTGCGTATATTTGGAATCAAAATAAGGTCATTGGATTCTGATTTGAATATTTGAATGAGATTTTGGGTGTCTATATTTTGCTAAATGCTTTAACATTTGACTTTCAAACAAATTATTAAAGTATACTCAAAAGTATATGCAAGGTCATGTTCTGCATTAAGGTTGATTCTCACTATACCTACACGGAAAAAAATCATTTCTATATTCAAGAACAATCATACACTTAAAATTTTACACTTTCTTTAAGGATAGTATTCTTTCCGTAAGTACAACAAATATTTGGACCTATTTTACTTTTATACTTCCTTTTTAAATATAGTTATAGTCACTTTAAGTAATTTTGAATCTAAAAAAAGAATAAAATGACTTATATTTAAGAAAAACTTATATATATTACTATCAAGTGAATAAATCCTTTAACAAAGAAGAAACTATATTATTAAATGAAGTATAAATACTTTTATATAATAAGTATTCTTAACTTTTTTAAAAATTTTACTTGAAATCGGTGTATACTTTAAATAAGCACATTATTCTCGGCGCGAGAATAACGCCCCATTTCCAAGAGTTACTATTCTTATATTAAGTCACCATCCCCAACAGCAACAGCGCAAAGTGCATTCCTGAGGGTGCAGCCACACTATCCTAAAAACGGCGTATCGGCGTAACGGCGTAACGACCTTGAATCGATTTCCAGTAATTCTATTGGCTAAAATTTTTGACAGATGAATTTGACAAGTAAAAATTCTGACAGATGAATGTTTCAGCCAATAGAATTACTGGAAATCCATTCAAGGTCATTACGCTCGTTACGCCGATACGCCGTTTTTAGGATAGTGTGGCTGCACCCTGATTCCTACCTTCATTTCATTTGGTTTCTGTTTCTCTCATGCGACACGAGACGCACCGAGTAGCCGGGTAGTTTATAAAGTTTTTTTTGTTATCGTTTGTGCTTGTGATATGTGAATATAGAGGACCTTCCTCAAGCATGGGGATGACGGATTTGATCCCAAAATTTCAAGGTAAGTTTAGCAATAATCCTACATTATTTGATGACATTGGTTGGAGGTTAGGGGGACTCCATTTTAATATGCATTATTTCTTATACACTGATGGTAAACTAGGTATGTACGCGTTTGGAATGTTTCAATTATAAAAAATGTCTATACCTATGTGGCGGATTCATCTATCCAAAAAAAATCCTTATGGGTTTTTCGCCACTGCACTGCAAGAAAAAATAAAATAGTTATTTTTTGTAAACACTTCTGCGTTAAACCTAAACGGACGCTGCTTGTCAGAGGTTGTGTTTACAGTAATAAAAATTTGCCTAACAAAGAAAAAAATGCTTAACGTTTCGGAAAGTTTTCTCTTTCCGTCGTCGGAAGCAAAAAAATATAAAGAATCAAGAAAAAAACTATTTAAAATATTTAAATTGAACTATTCGAGAACACTTTACTTTTTAAAACAGATACGTCTACAAGAAATCATTGACGTTCTGTTAAAATAGCATTATATTAAGTTAAACTTCAAAATTAACAATTACTACCTGATAATTACTTAATAAGATAAAACCAAAAAGCTCAAACTTTCTGTATGATTATTTTTAAATTTTACGTATGTTATGTTTATTTATGTAATGTTCTTTAAAATCAAAGAAGCGATTGCCATACATTACTAACATCTACAGATGCATGAGCAATACATTTATTTTTATTAGATTGAATTATAAAAGCCTCTTTTATTTTTCTTTTAGAGGCTATCGCTTCTACATACGAGGCGTTTCGGAAAAAATAAGAAGGATAGGAAAACAATATAACATACAAACATCTTTCAAAACACAAAATACACTTAGATCAATTTTATCACATACTAAACCAATGAACACAGAACAACAAACAAAAAATGTAATATACCAAATACTCTGTGAATGCGATAAATTTTACATTGGTGAAACATCTAGACTTTTAATTGTTAGAATTAAAGAACATAAAGATTATTTAAGAAAGGGAGATTTTCACAAATCTAAGATTTGTCAGCATTCATGGGACACAGGGCACAGAATAAATTTTAATAAGGCCAAAATTATAATGAAAGAAGCGATAGCCTCTAAAAGAAAAATAAAAGAGGCTTTTTTAATTCAATCTAATATAAATAAATGTATTGCTCATGCATCTGTAGATGTTAGTAATGTATGGCAATCGCTTCTTTGATTTTAAAGAACATTACATAAATAAACATAACATACGTAAAATTTAAAAATAATCATACAGAAAGTTTGGGCTTTTTGGTTTTACCTTATTAGGTTGTAACGTGCCAAAATTTCACTAAACTATTTTATTTCTTTTCTTTAATAATTTAACGCTAATTGATATTATTATTAGTCTGAAATATCGATCAGTTCAATTCAGTAAACCAAGAATAAATAAATCGTACTTACATGTTAACAAAAGTAATTATTCCATCCTTATTTTTAACTAAACATATTTCACACTTAATAACATTTTTTTTGCAGCACAAAATAGTTTGATTTAATACAATTTAATATTTATTTTAGCCGAAATAGATAAAATAATTCTTTCCGCCGTTAATTCTGTTTATATACTAAATACGTAGGTTAGAAATTTTTGAATTGAACTGTCAAATATTTATTTATATTTTTATTAACATTAACTATTAGGCAACCCAAAATATACTTTAATAAATTGATTATATATTTTTGTATTTTATTTAATCAACAGTAATTATTGAGCCTATTGTCACTTAGTTAAACTCATTAAATTTATGTTGCTCTATTTTAATTTTTAGGTAGAATTTTCTAAGCATAATTGTCTTAAAAATATCGTATCGATCCGGCAAGTGAGTCATGCGCAATATCTCTAGATTGTTGTTATTTATTAATTTTTGAATGTTTTGATAAGCAAATTTCTATATAACTTTCATTAATCTCGTTAACTTTATTTATTCTATTAATTATATAAATTATTGATATTAACTTTATTTTCCTTTAATATATAACTTTTTCTTCATGTCTTTATTCAGCTCATGGTTGGCAATCCATATTTTATCAAGGGCTCGTGTTTTTATCTGGCTATTTCTTTGTTGCAAAAAAGGTTTTCGTTTTTCTTGGAACTACCTTGGTTTGGTCACTTTATGTTCAGCTAGTTGAGGTACAGAGGCCTCTCGGTCATTTTTGTCAAGTTTTTGATTTTTACCCTTGTGGGGATTTTCGAGTGTGCCTCAAAAATTACTGCAGCATCCTATCTTACCTTTTGTTTTTTGGACGGTGCTACGGTTTACCGGTGACGGGATTTTCACCTCAAAACGCTGACGTGGGTCAACCAAGCAGCCCGCCTTTTTTTTATTGAGCACCCCATTCCATCCAGGGGAAGAAATAATATTAATCACCTGAGGATTCGTAGAAAACCCTGAGTTAGCAGGTAAAGCCTATTTTTTTTTATTAATACATTTCTTTCCACTTTTTTTCTTCTTTAAAAAAAAACTATCTTTTTTGATGGTATCTCGTACTATGGAGAAACTATAATATTATTTCTCCGTAGGGTTTTTTTTTCGTCGGAGCCGAAGAGTTTTTGTCTGGACCGAAGAAGTTTTTTTGTCTGGGCCGAAGAAGTTTTTCTTCTGTGTTGAAGACTTCTCTCTGAGCCAGTTTTTTTGTTGGAGCAGTTTTTTTTTCGCTGTATCCATTTTACTTTTCTGGAGGAGTTGACAGTCGACGGTTGACAGTTGACAGCCGACGGTGTCTGCCCAAGATTGATTTGATTTAGAAGATTTTCAACTATTTGGTATCGTACAATTCAATTTTTATTTTTTTTTCCTATCTTACGATTTGAATTTCATTGGTGCGTACGAATACTGAACGTAGATAATTTTTTTTTAACATTATAATTTAATTAGAATAAATTTTCACATACTTAATTCTGTTGATAAAATAATATTTCATTTTTTTTTCCTTTAATTTTTTTTTGTAAATTTAATACAGCTGACACAGTTTCTTTTTGTCTCTATTTAAAATTTAAATCTATTCATTTTTTTTATCGATATCTAAATTTCTTGAACTGATGAATTCATAATTATTAGTTGATTATTTTGATTTATTTATTTAATAATTATATTATTAATTATTATTATTAGTGAATTGGTTTAGTATTATTTATTTGATTTATTAATTTGTTGATTAATTTGATATCTTAGCTGAATTTAGTTGCGCTGATATATACATATATATTTTATTTTGTAAATCTTACGTGATCACGAAAGGTACCTAGGTATTTACGTAATTTTGTTACTTGCGTATTGTGAGATATATTTTTCTTGGTGCACAATTTTTTTTTATTGATTTATTTAATTTACTATTTGCTATTTGGTATTTTCTATTTACTGTTTCCTATATTTTCCTTTTATATTTCAATAGAGGGTACTGAAACTAATCAGTTTGCATTATTTTTTTTATATTTCCTTTGGCCCTATGTCTGCATAATTCTCTAAGATCTTGACTTTTTTGTTTATTTATTTACTTTTTTTTATTTATGTATTTGTGGAACTTGTAAGGCCCTAAATACACCTTGGGGGATTTCTGACTTTTTTTTCCGTCTAAAGTCAGTGGCGTTTTAACCCGCCCCTACTCTCCGAATTTTCTGAGCTAGGGCATAAATTTGTTCGCGACTAGACCCCTGCAAATTCCATAAATATTTATTTTTCTTAATCGCTAACTTAATAATATTTTTTTCTTCTTCGTATTTTTTTTTACTTCTTTTCTAAATTTTTTTTCTTTTTTTTTAATTTAAAAGAGCCGAGCTAAGGCCAAAACGCGTGACAAAGTAATTATCAGGTAGTAATTGTTAATTTTAAAGTTTAACTTAATATAATGTCATTTTAACAGAACGTCAACGATTTCTTGTAGACTTATCTGTTTTAAAAAGTAATGTGTTCTCGAATAGTTCAATTTAAATATTTTAAATAGTTTTTTTTCTTGATTCTTTATATTTTTTTGCTTCCGACGACGGAAAGAGAAAACTTTCCGAAACGTTAAGCATTTTTTTCTTTGTTAGGCAAATTTTTATTACTGTAAACACAACTTCTGACAAGCAGCGTCCGTTTAGGTTTAACGCAGAAGTGTTTACAAAAAATAACTATTTTATTTTGTAGATTTTTCTTGCAGTGCAGTGGCGAAAAACCCATAAGGATTTTTTTTGGATAGATGATTCAATTATGTTTTAACAATTTTTATTATCGTTTCTCGTTTTTAATTAGCGATGCCGCTGTTCAATATCTATTTATATTGGGAAATTACACAGTTTTATTGTATTTTCTTATTACGAAAAGCATATAATTTGGTAGGTGATGTTTGGCTAATCTAATTTAAAAAGTATTAACTATATTCGGGGTTATTCTGGTGATATTTCAATATTCCATACCTATTGTCAATGGAAATTAAAAATTTTAGCATGTACCAACTCTATTATATACATGTATGTTACCGGACAAACCCGATTTTAGGATAAACTAATTTTTTCTAGGCCAAATCGGGGTATCCAAAGAGACGCGGGTTTGAAAAACTATTATGCCGCGCTTAAAAACTTTAGATAAGAAAAAGATTTTACCAAAACAAGAGTTTCTAACAAGATCGAACCCGAACCACCGAAAGCATAGGGAACACGTTACCGAATTTTGTGAAAACTATATAGTTTTTCGAACCCGCTTCATATTCGGCCTAGGAAAAACTAATTTATCCTAAAATCGGCTTTGTTCGGTTCCGAAATAATGCATATTAAAATGGAGTCCCCCTAACCTCCAACCAATGTGATCAAATAATGTAGGATTATTGCTAAACTTAACTTGAAATTTTGGGATCAAATCCGTCAACTCCCATGCTTGAAGAAGGTCCTCCATTTTCACATATCACAGGTACAAAAAATAACAAAAAAACTTTATAAACTAATTAGACATTACGATATACTCGAGTAGAAATCACTATATACTTAAAGTAGGACTAAAGGGATTTGAAACAATAAAAAGTAAAGTTCAATAAAGATTAAGAAGTATACTTTTTTAGAAAATATGATATTTTATATGCAAAACTTACTAATCTCTTTTTAAGTCTAGCAAACTCTTATTGTAACGATATTAACTAATCTAAGAGTAAGAAGAGGCTTTATTTCAGAATAAAGTAATTTTTACATGTACACAAAGAATTTCTATACTTAATGCAATAATTTGCTAATTTACAAATAAGTATGAGTAGTACTCGAAACAAGATTTTATCTAGAATTGTCTAGAGTGTAGTTATAATCTTAATTTCAATACTAGGTAAACCTTAAATAAAAGATAAATTTTCTTAGCTTGTAAGGATAAGATTTTCTTGAAAAGAAGTATAACTAGATTTGCGGAATGGGGAAACCAGCATATCGTTGAGATTCAGTTATATATCATATCGTTGAGAGTTCAAGATTAATAATCTTTAAGCCAGTTTAGCTTTTTTTCCGTGTACCATATCAGCTCCCTTCCGTTTCCCTTCCGTTCACATAAAATATTATATCATGTAAATGAATAGGACAATGCACCCTATCCGTTTCGTTTCCCTTCCGTTCCATATCCTTTCCTTCCATACATTCTTTTGGCCGACGGACTGAAGCGTATCGGAAACAGCTCTCTTCTCAAGTTCTTACATTTGTACCAGCTCTGTTAACATTTTGCTGATATTTATTTCTTCTCTCACCTCTTAATTAAATCGATTACCTCTTTCAAAAGATACAAATTTTTAAAATAAAACTTTCGTAATGATATAAATTATACAATAAAAAGTATGGAACTTATACGGAACGGAAGCTTACGTATAGCGTCAATACAATAAAAAATACGGAGCGGATATGAAATGGAAACGGAAAGTATAGTGAGAATCAAACTTTAATCTTACTCAACTTTCTAATTAAGGTGTCGTCGGTATATCTAAGGTTTGTGGTCTTTTTTCCTTCTATCATTAGACCGCCTTGCCAGCCCTGCAGGACTCTTCTCATTATGTACTCTCCATATACATACCGATTTGGTCATTTTAGAAGTGTGGTCTGGATTTTAACCTGTAAGACAGTGATGTAGGCAGTTTTATGGAAAATAAAATGTATCAAAAAGAAATAAAAGTTGGGCTGATACATTTCTTCTATGTGGTATTGCCGGATTTTGCATCAAAAGTTCAAACCCCACAAGTAGGCGTTTATGGAAAAGCTTGCATCTAGAGTTACTCATTTTACGACAGATTTAATAGATTATAGGTATTTAGTTTAGATACATTATCGTCATTTCAGTAGTAGGTATACATGAAAGTTTTTAAAATCGTTTATTTTTTTCTACACAAATTTTCCTACACCTTGTCTCACACGTTAAAATCCAGACCATACTTTTAAAATGACCAAATCGGTATGTTAAAGAGTATGGGTGATATAATACAATCTTACACGACGTTTCGGACTAAAGGACTTATAGAGAGCGTTGTTGACTTTTAGCTTTCTTAAGCTGGTCTAAATGAAGTATATGTGTTTCAGTTTCCTAATACACCTACACTAAAGTCTGTCCAACAAAAGGATCCAAGACAGGTAAATGGTATTTTCTGTTATTTTTTAGATGTCGTCTGTCGGAATTTTCCCTGAGTCGTTGGATAGACTATAGAGTAAAAATAGATGATATAGCCTTTCTTCTGCAATACTTTAACGTTTAATAAATAAAACTTTAAAAATTACAGGACGGTGTTCTATCTTTTGTGGTGGCTATTTTTCGAAGAGAACGAGGAGGACCTGCTGGAAAATGGATTTATATGATAAGAAGAGTTAAAGTGAGTTTTTTATTCTTTATAGCATGTACAGGGTGGGTCAAATTCGACGCTTTTAAATGGAAACACCCTTTTCTATAGGAGATAGACGTAAACTAATATCGGTGTCTGGAGCTCAATTTTCATCAAAAACATGATGGTGAAAACCGTACATCATTATCTGTTACCGTTTCGGAGTTGCGGGGTGTTTTTCAAAAATGTGCATTTTTAACAAATCGCTGTAACTTTTTTGCTAAGGAAAATTTTGTATTTCTATGAAAACATTTCCAAAGCACCATTTTACGTAGAATTGAATGGTTTAAGTATAATTTTTTTAAAATTAATAATTTAAGAGTTATCAACAAAAAAATTGATTTTTTATTTGGGACACCCTCTATATTCTTAATTAACTAAAAAGAATTTAAAATTAACTTTTCGAAAATATAGCATACTTGATATTTTGTTATAATTCCCTTCGAAATACAGAATTTTTAAAAGTTCGCCATTTTTAACTAGTAGGCTTTGGACCCCTTATTGATGATATGCCCTTAATGGAACTCGAAAACATATTTTTCAGCGAGACGACGCACCGCCTCTGAACACTGAAGTTATCAGCAAATTTTTGCAGCCAATTTCAAGAATAATTGAATAGCTAACCAAGATCCCAGCCGTTGGCCGTCGAGGCCGCTTGACTTAGATCTAATCCTATGGATATATTTGCGGAAGAATAAAGGTTCCTTATTCTTCCGTATAACCTAGACAAGTATTAGAATAGCAGTTTCATACTTAGCAGTTATGAGGGGGCATCTTTCACCCCTACTGAGTTAATGAATTCCGCGAGAAAGGTTCAAAAACTGTCCCGTCTGTCCTTAACAGAAGACGGTCTATATGTCGAACACCTGTAGCAAAATCTCATGTATGCTATTTATTTTTATTGTTATTAGATATAGTTTAAATGTGTTGATGTTGGTTAAATATATTTTAAATTGTTATAAAATTCTGCATCTCTCATAGTAAATATTATTTTCGTTTTAATTGATGCTCACAGCTAGAATATTTTTGCATTACAGCCGGTGCCGTTCAAAGCCTACTTATTTAAAGCGGGCGAATTTTTATTATACTCTATATCTCGAAGAGGAATCGAGCAAAATATCAAGTGTGTTATATTTTTGGAAAGGTAATTATAAATTCTTTTCAATAAATTAAAAATATACATGGTGTCCCATATAAAAAATCAAATTTTCTGTTGATAATTCTTAAATTATTAATTTTAAAAAAATTATACTTAAACCACTAAATTCTATGTAAAAAGGTGCTTTGGAAATGTTTCCATAAAAATACAAAATTTTCCATAGCAAAAAAGTTACAGCGATTTGTTAAAAATGCATATTTTTGAAAAACACTCCGTAACTCCGAAACGGTAACAGATATCGATATGCGGTTTTCACCATCATGTTTTTGACAAAAATTGAGCTCCAGACACCGATATTAGTTTTTGTTGATCTCCTATAGAAAAGGGTGTTTCCATTTAAAAGCGTCGAATTTGACCCACCCTGTACATAGGATGTAAAAAATGCCAAGTCTCGCAACACAATTCTTCCACTATAAAAAGTTGTGGGATCTCATGTAAACCCCAGTCAGTTCATTTTATTTAGTCTCTTTTTAAGCACCTATTCAATAATTATTTTGTTATAAATTGTTAATATCAATATTAGTCATCTTTATTTCTGTAATTCACTCAATGAAATCACACTGAGTAGATGATAAGTCATTATCATAATATGTCAACTTTTGTCAAATTTTCACTTAAAATAAATCGTATTTTAAATTTAAATTTAGAGTGTCATGGCTGTATTAAAAACACCAGTTGCTAAACACTAATTTCTGAGCCTAGGACAAATAGATTTGATCGTCTAATGTTTTTCGTGTCTTGTTCTAGCCGGCTAAAAGTTGCCCAACTCTTATTTTTAATTATATCTCAATGTTTTCAAATGGAACAAGAGTGGCTCATGAGTATATTTGGAAAAAGAATTTTTCTATAAATAATTTAATACCACACACTTTAGTGGAGTGCCCAGAGACTTATACCTCGGAATTCAATTACTCTGAATGTATTAATGTGAAACCTTCTGTATTGTATTTTATCGATAAAATATTAAAATGTTTACCCATTTTTTTCGTTGCTTTTAATTTTTTATTTTAGTAATTTTAGTAAATTCTTAATTATTTCCTTCTTAATATTTTGATTTTTTTAATTCTTTTTCTAAGTAAATTTATTGAAATAAATAAATCTAATGCATAAGCTATACCTATTCTGCTTATACAGGGTGAGTTTCCTACGATGTTCTCTATGGGTATCTCGGAAACTACTGGAGCTAGAGAGTCGGTTAAATGGGGAAAGAATTGCAGTTTTGTGGGGTCATAAACATGCGCCTTTCAGATTTTTAAAAAAGTTCATGGCTTACTAGATATTTTGAAAAAAACAAATTTCGGCTATTTTAAAAAATGTCCCTAATTCCATTATAATCTATTTTAGACAAAAAGTTCTCAGATAAAAGTTGTAGATAATTACATTCTTAATGACATTGTGTCCTCCGTTTTTTTGTAAAGCCTGTCATTTTTGATATATGACACAAATATATGTTTTTTTTAAATGGAACCCATAGTTGGCCATGACTTCATAAAAAGCGCCATTTTTTAAGCTTTTTAGCGATATAAGCTATAATATGTTTCTTTCCAAAAATTACTGAGTTATAGCCAATTCTTATAATTTTTAAACAATTTCACTTAGTTAGCCATGGAAACAAGTTCAATTGTCGTTGCTTTCAGAGATGTGAAACTGTCACATCCAAATTTTATAAAGTAAAATAAACAAAAATTGTAAATATGAATTTTTCAAATGAAGAAAAGCGCGTAGTATGTTTGGTTTAACTTTTCTTGGCCATAAATTTTCGAGGATACGTTGACCGGTGAACGTTACTTACCTACGTTTTTTAGAAAATTTAAATTTAGATACTTGCGCATCTATAGAGTGGTTCTAAACATGACTATCATTATGACACTCCCCCTCATAATGAAAGAAACGTTAAAAATTATTTATATCATAATTATGCAAACTCAGGGATAGAAAGAGGTGGACCAATTGCATGGGCCTCCTCCATCATCTGACCTATCCATTTTAGATTTTTTTAGGCGGTATGGTTAACAGTAAGGGTTACAAAAGAACTTATGAATTAAGAGAGGCACTCGAAGAGGCGGTACGGGCGAAGTTTATTAAAGTTGACCGGCCGTAGTCAACCGTTCTGTGGAAATTCATAAGTTCGTTTGTGACCCTTAGAGCGCTTTCACACACGCCGGCAAAATCGGTGCCGGTGCCGGATCTGAAATCGATTGCAATGTAATTAAATTAGCTCCTTCACATATACTCCGGTCCGGAAAAATAGTCGGGGACCGGCAAATCCAATAGAATTAAATACAACTGTCGGAACGGGTGCAAAGCCGGCGCCGACTGCGGCACCGATATTGCCGGTGTGTGTGCAAGCGCTCTTATTGTTAACCATATCGCCTAAAAAAAATTAAAATGGATAGGTCAGGTGATCGAGGAGTATAAATAATTTTTAACATTTCTTTTATTATTAGGGGGAGTGTCATAATGAAGGTCATGTTGGAACCATTCTATTGAAGCGCAAGTATCTCAATTTAACTTTTCTAAAAAACGTAAGTAACGTTCACCAGTCAACGTATCTTCGAAAATGTATGGCCAAGTAAAGTTAAACCAATAATACTACGCGCTTTTCTTCATTTGAAAAAAATCATATTTACAATTTTTGTTTATTTTAAATTATAAAGTTTGGATGTGACAGTTTCACATTTCTGAGAGCAACGACGATTGAACTTGTTTCCATGGCTAACTAAGTGAAATTTTTTAAAAATTATAAGAATTGGCTATAACTCAGTAATTTTTTGAAAGAAACATATTATAGCTTATATCGCTAAAAAGCTTAAAAAATGACGCTTTTTTTGAAGCCATGGCCAACTATGGTTTCCATTTAAAAAAACACATGTTTGTGTCATATGTCAAAAATGACAGGCTTTAGAAAAAAAACGGAGGACACAATGTCATTAAGAATGTGATTATCTACAACTTTTATCTGAAAACTTTTTGTCTAAAATAGATTAAAATGGAATTAGGGACAATTTTTAAAATAGCCGAAATTTGTATTTTTCAAAATATCTAGTAAGCCATGAGCTTTTTCAAAAATTTGAAAGGCGCATGTTTATGACCCCACAAAACTGCAATTCTTTCCTCATTTAACCGGCTCTCTATCTCCAGTAGTTTCCGAGATACCCATAGAGAACATCGTAGGAAACTCCTGTATATTCTAATCACTGAAATTTTGATTGAAATCAAATTAAATAGGGTGGCGCGTCATATACGCCGCGGTTTCTGCAAGGAGAACAAAAGTTTGTATCGAAGTGAAATTTTGTGAGATTATGTAAGTCAATTTAAAGCATTTTCTAAAATTATGTAGAGTTCTACAGGGTGTCCCCAAAAAAGTTACACATCAAAGATATGTTTTTAGTAATGGAACACCCTATATATTATTTGATTTTTGGATTCTAGTAAAAAAATAAAGGTTTGTTTCATTAGAAAAGTATATGACTAAAATGTATAGTTTTTGAAATATCTTCACCAGCACGAAAAATGGGCACCATAAATCTTTGATAATGTAGTATGTATTTTAAAGGTTGATATATTTTATTTAATGGGCCGATTTTGATAATTTTTTAAGCAGTGTGTTGTCAAATTATTTGACTTTTTAGTATCTTTTTCTAAATTAAAAATGAAACTCCCCATCTGTTAATTATACGAAGGAAAACAAAATGATGATATTTTGGTGAAAGTTTGAAACACCCTGCGAAATACGTTAAAACAGCAAGAAATTTAAAAATCATTTTATCATCTAGATATATCCTTTCTCGATGGTTTGTTTTTTGGTTCATGTCATTAGCTTTATTTTTGTTGGAAATATTCGGTTTTAAAGAAGGCACTAACATTTTTTCGTAATTTTTACATTAAGACCATGCCTTTGCTTTTGGGCCTAGTCAACACATCTAGTAAGTTCTGGTCCCGAAGCAGGCCTTCTTGACATAAGATTTGCTTCATTTAATCTTCTTTTTGTAGTCCGTTAGTTAATATGTACAAAAAAAAACGGCAATTAAGGGCAATTCATTATCAATTTGAAAAGCTGACAAACGGCGGTTTCTTAGCGATAAACTTACAAAGAGTCGATCGTCTCGATTAGTTCTCATACGAAGGTTCCTGGACGTCTATATTGACGTCCTCATGGACGTGGTCAATTCAAAAACCATTTAGTATACTCTATGGTATTAAGTTATTTTTGGAACCGGAATTTTATAGCAAATTTACTGAACTCGAATAAATAAATGATATATATTTGACTCACCCTGTATATCTGTAAAAATATTTTTGAAACGTGAACTACCATTAAACATATATTTTTTGTAAAAGGTTTGGAGTGAAAATCTCAAATAGGAATCCTGAAACAGAGCTTTTCCGGAATACGGACCCATCTTGTATGTATGCATTGGTATATGTGTGTTTATTTAAATACTAAAGTGAAGCAACGAATTTAAATGGGCAAACTTTGTAATATATCTTATTAACAATACAATGCAAAAAGTTTTATAAAAATTCGTTCACAGTAAATGAATTCCGAGGTTTGTATTCCATAAGGGCTTAAAGCACTCCACTACTTGTTATTTCGAGTCAAATTGTCGTTATGAAGCACATGTTACAATTTTAAATAAACCATCTACGAAAATGTCAACAGTTGACATATAATATATCATTCTATTCAGAGTGTCATTTTCTATCGAATAAAGTAAAAAAATACTGAGGGTGTCATTTAAAAAACAAAAGTTGTAGTAATTTCCGGTGAAACAGGAAGTGACCGAAAATAATTGAATACGTCAATCAATCCTGATTTATGTCAAAAAACAAAAAGTTATAGGGGTGAACCACTTTCGAGACACACCCGGTATAATAAATATAAATATAAATATGTCATACGCGACGCCTGTAAACCGTCCATAAACCGCCTCATGTCTTTTGGCTCTCAAAATGCCATGCTTTTCTACTGAGTAATAAAATTTACATTGAGTGCGTAAATACTTACGATGAATAGTTTGTTCGATACAATTTTTTACCACAGAAGACGTGGCTATGTAATAAACCCAGATAGCACAAAAGGAACATTTACATTCTAAGAATATTCCTCCTAAGTTCTTATAAGTATATTCTTTTTTTAATAAGTATGGCATATGAATAGTACATTCTACTACGAATGTGATTTAAAGGTATGTTATCAGCATGACCTTAGAATGTCTTCTTAAATTATGGTTTACAATAAATTTTAAGTATCTGCTATTCACGTTCTAAACATATCAATATCTGAATAAAAATACAGGAGAATAAAAATGATTTCGAAATGAAAAAATGAATACAATACATTATATTTGTATATTTTCTTACTATCAGTTACTATTAAATTTTTGTGTATTAAATAATTAGGGATTTTATATATTAGTGTATATAGATGCCCTGTAAACAAATATTCAAGCAAAAATACAGTGTTTCTTATTCTAACAAATAAATAAACCTGTAAAACTGTATAAATAAAAACGATCTTCCATTATGAAATAAAAAGATCGATTATACCAAAAGATAGTTTGATAAAACTCGATAGATTTTAATAGATTTTTTGGGTAAAAAGATCGATCTTCGACTGAAATCGATTCGAATCGTACATCCATAACATAACCTAATAAAAAAACAACAAGTGAACTATAAACGTAAACGTGCTTCATCCAAACTATTTTAATAATTAAAACACTGAGATAACGTAAAGATATGCAAATATGATGCAAATAAAACTATGATGCAAATAATTATTTTAAGGATAGAATCGGTAAAATAGTTCTTGTTATGTTTGTGTTTTCAGTATCTATTTTAAGGTGAGTGAATTTAAAACTATGAGACCTCGAAAAAAAATAGGTTATACCCTTGATTATGTATGTTATACTAAAAAATATTTTAAAATTCAACCAAAAAAAAAGGAGCCAAAATCTTATTAAGTCAATGTTACGCAAATATGACTTCAATATTGTACATTAAACTGGATTCAGACCAAAGTGATTTTTTATTATCATCAAAGTAGTAGTATCTCTGGTAGTATCATTGAAGATTTCTGTTCTGATAAGTGTAGTTCCAGTGCTGAAATTTCTTACAATATAGTATTTATATAGGTATTTATGTAGGCTCTTCTATAATCATTTATTGTGTATTTTTTAAGAGAAAGGTATTTTTTAGAATTATTAGGTTCGAGAATTATCTAGACTTGGTGGTTCAGGAGTAGCACAAAGTACAAGGAAAATGCTTTATAAGGTTCTGGGCAATGAAATTGCACAAAAATATTCTTGGGATGGGGCCAAACAGAAGAGAAGTTTGAAATCATTGTTAGTGGCCAAAAGCAATTTTAGGTATTTGAACTTAAAGATATTTGGTGTTGTGAAGCATTTAATAACATATATTTTAGACTCCATGAAAGGTCAATTTCAAGAGTCAAAAGAAACCGAAATTATCAATATAATTAAAATATGGCTTGTAAAAACAAAAGAAAGATTAAAAAATACCAAGGTAAGTTGTGCAAATTTATTTGAACAGTATAATTCTGCTGATATTATTTCAGAAGGGTAGACAAGAGAATATAGAAACATAGCCATAGAAGATAATATCAATGTATATCGTTATATTAAAATATTTTTAATTAATAAACATATATTACTCAAGTTCGTCTTTATCCTTACCTATTATTTTTAACCGTTCTATTTATTAGTTAATTTTTGATTATTACACACCAAATTATTTAATTTCAGCAAATTGTTTGTAGTGTGTTCCAGATATGAATGTACTGTATAGGTAGAGAGGGAGAGTGTACTGTATAGGTAGAGATCCTATAGAGAGAGATAAAAAAATTGCTAAATATGAAAAAAATTGTATCTATATCTATAGTTTATAGGATATTGATACAGGGCATCCTTATACAGGACACCCAGTAGATACAGAGTTGAGGGTTGGAATCTTTGGTGTTACAACAGCAAATTAAAACACTAATTCACCACAATATACCAAAACACTTTACTTTTGAACTGGACGCTTGTTTGGTTAATCATCTTAGCGTCATCAGCAGATGATTAAAACTTAAATTTTGACCATTTGCTGATGATGCTAACATGGTTAGCGAAACGCGCGTCCTGTGCAAAAGTAAAGTGTTTTGGTGTATTGTGGTAAATTAGTGTTTTATTTTGCCTCTGTAGATAATAAAAAATATGAAAACATATGAAAAGCATAAATATAGAATATTAAAAACATGAATATCATATAATTGGAATATTATTTTTAAATACATTCTTTTACGAACATATAATTCACGTTCATAGAATATATCTTGGAATGTGAAACGCACTTCTATATCACTTGAATAGGGTGGAACGTAATCTCTGCTATTCATGTGCCATATATGTTCCCAATGAAAAAAAGGAATGTGAATAGAACATTGTTGTTCTCCAAAGTCACTTGCTTCGCATATGAAAAGAACGTAAATGTGCTATCTGGGAAAGTACCCAATTATTGCATTTTTTTGGTGAATAGTCTATGTTACTGTATTGATCATTTCAGGAAAACATTGATTACCAACGAAGCATTGCCGTCCTTCAAGCTGAACACACAACCTTTAGCAATTTGAAATATATATATGAAAGTGTTTTTTATTTTGGAATAGGCGCATCTTATCTAATCGCCAATTTTACTATGTTGGTAAGTTACCAAAATTAATAAATATATTTGATACCAATTAAACTTTCAGTTACGTAATCCAGGGCGCGATTTTTAAATTCACTGTTGCCAATCACGAATATATTCAGCGCCGCGCCGCGCCGCGCCGCGCCGGGCTGACTAACTTTAATTTAAATTTCGCGCTGGGGATTCAGGTGGTAGTTCTGCTGTAGAAATCTCAAGTTCCCATGCACATTTATTTATTTATTTTCTGACATTGTCATTCGTTTTGACACTTTAGTTTTGTATTACGAGTGTTTAGTTTAACTAAATAGTGTTACGATACTTTAAGTTTAAGGTTATAAAGTAACCATATTGACTCCAAACTGAATTCTGTTAAGCCGAGCCGATGAAATGTTTATATAAATTTTCTGAAGGAATTTGCATAAGTCGCTCAGTTAGCTCTGCTCAAGCGTAGTACGCAAGCCTGGATTTTGAATTATCGATCGAATAACTAGACCAATAAGAGACTAGACGCTAGCACCAGCTGTTCATTCGTACGGCTTCGTCCAACTTCGTGCGACTTTCGTTTGCGCTCCACTCCGACAATTGGCTAGATTGGCTCAGAGTAAGGGCTAATCGATACTCGGAATTTTGGAGTTGCGCTGTTGCGCCAGTATCTGCCTAACAGACGAACTTATGTGAAATATACATGAACCGGTTAGCTAGTTGTTTCTAACTCGGCTTCAAATACAACACATTGCAGGGATAGGCGATAATTCTTCATTAAAAAATATAGAAAAAAATCCTGTAACATGGGTACCGAATATTTTTTTTATAATAAAAAATAATAAGATCTGTCATGAACGGAGGGACGACATCCTCTAATATTGGCAACACAGTATAGTAGATATAATTAAAACAGTAAATTATTTTCAGATATGGTCAATAATGTACGTAACTCAAAGAGACCTGATTATATTTATTTGGGCCAACATAGTTTGGTTAATTCCAAACGGTAAAGCCTTCATGTTGAAATCGAGCCCCTTTTTGATCGGCTTTCTATGGTTTCATTTGATCCTACTTTACACATACTCCTCGAGGTTGACTCAAAAGTATCTTGTAGACAGGATATGGTATTTCAAATTATCAGTGGGTAAGTTAAAATATATTGAATAAAGACAAATTACGTTACGACATTATTACACATTGGCAAAAACTAGTCCATTTTGAACATTATTCTAAGCGTTATTATGGGTTATTTATTTATTTATTGATGTGCGACTTACAATACCATAAGTGGTAATAACAAGTAAGAGGGTGTAATTAATGCACAAAACTAATAATCACAGAATTTACTATAAACTAACACAGAGATAACTTTGAAAGTGGTATAATACCAATCAAACTTCCTTCTCTGACTGCAATCAAGAATAATAAAGCACCTTTATTGTCACGTTCTCGTTCAAAATAGTTTATCAGAGAAGGTACAAGCTCATTGTTTCGACTATTTAAATGCTTCGGCATATTTTCAACACACAAACTTCAAGAAACAATACAAAAACTCGAGAATTTAGTTCCTAAAAGAAGTGTTTGTAATTAAAAGTACAATTTAAAAAAAAAACTATGAAAATAGATAACAAATGAGAATTACTCACAAAGATTCAACAACAACACGATATTATACAAATTAATGACTGACATTATGATAATTGTCAAATAATAAACGACAACGTTGCTGAACACGGCCCAATGTGACTAACATAGCGATTATAAAATTCGGTTTAAACTAATTTTTGCAACTTTAATCTAGATAAAGCGCGGCGCGGCGTTTTAATGCCAAAACCCTCCACTAAATATGAAATGTCACAAAGTAAAATAAATATACTCCAGGTGAGTAAGACGATACGTCCAAAATCTCACACTGATAACATATCAGTCTATCTCATGGATTCTGGGGGAGACAAGCTCGTGACATCCAAAACAACACGGAAGCGAAAATGCTCTCGAGTTTTCAAAATTGCCACATACAACGTTAGAAGCTTATCAACGGAGGAGAAACTATTGGAACTCCAAGAAGTATTAGATAAAGTTAATTGGGACTTTATTGGAATGAGCGAAATTAGAAGACGTGGACTACACTCAAGTCAGGACACATTCTCTACCATATAGGCGAAACTGACCATTCAATAGGTGGTGTAGGCTTCTTGATAAATAAAAAGCATGCTTCAGATATTTTAAGCATCGCAAGCGTTTCCAAGCGCGTAGCATACATAATATTCCGCCTAAACAGTAGACTTAAAATGAAAATTATCCAAGCCTATGCACCAACATGTACAGCCGAAGAAGACGAAATTGACCAATTTTACGAAGACATCGATAGGGCAATTACAGTTCCTGGATGTAGTCAAACCTTTCTTATAGGAGATTTTAATGCCAAGGTTTCGAAACGAATGGACGAAGCTGAGGAAGTGATAGGTCCATTTGGAATGGGAGTCAGAAACAATAGAGGCAGTACTTTGATCAACTTTCTCTCGCAACATCGACTTCATCATTTCGAATAAGAAAGAAGTAGTAACAGACGTGACGGTGCTGAATAGTTGTACAATAGGAAGCGACCACAGAATGGTTAGAGCGACGGTTAGGATAGACCTGAAAAGAGAAAGGTGAAAGATGGTTCGACAAAACAAAAATTCTAAATGGAACTCCCCTAACAGTGACTCCAACTATGCAGATTCCGTTACAGCTTTCCTGGAAGAACGGACCTTAAACAACCAACACGATATTAAAAATATAAGTAGCAATATTGTTGAAGCCATTAAAGAAGCGGAAGTACAACACTGCCAACAAATTAATAACAAACAACAAAAACTCACCCAAAATACAAAGAATATGATATCTTTGCGAAAAGAAATGTTAAAACAAAATAACAGAAACTCTGAAGACCTGAGACAATTGAACAAAAAAATATCTAAAGAAATCAGAAAGGACGTAAGAAAATTTAATACAGATAATATAAGGCGAACTATAAAAGAGAATAAAAGCATGAAGGTGTTGCGGGGAAAACTATCAAATGGAAAGAGAGAGATCTTTAAACTTAAAGACAACCAAGGGGTCGTAACAACAAATAGAGAAAGGCTGTTGAAAATAACAGAAAACTTTTACACTGAACTATACACAAGTAATCACCAACAAACATACAACGGTCAACAACGTCTATGCAAAAAGATAGTTAACCAGGGATCAGAGGATATACCGGAAATAACTACAGAAGAAATCAGAAACTCCTTAAAAGAAATGAAAAATAACAAAGCCCCGGGCGAAGACGGCATAGTGATTGAGGCTGTAAAACTCGGAGGAGGAACACTATTAAAATGGATTAAAGACTTATTTAATCTATGCCTTGAAAAAGGAATAATCCCGTCTCAATGGAACAACGCCATAACGATACTTCTCCATAAAAAGGGCGATATCACCGAGCTTGAAAATTATAGACCGATAAGCCTTCTTTGTCACTTGTATAAGCTGTTTATCAAAATCATTGCCAAACGTCTCGAACGTAAACTAGATTTCTATCAACCAAGAGAACAGGCAGGCTTTAGGAAAGGTTATGGAACAAACGATCATCTTCAAGTAATTAAAGTCCTGATAGAAAAATCTGTGGAATACAACAGGCCCCTAGCATTGGGGTTCGTTGATTTCTAGAAAGCATTTGACACAGTAGAATTAACATCAATAATAGCAGCATTGGAGCAGGGAAGAGTAGATTATAGGTATACAAGGCTTATAGAATACATATATAGTAATGCCACCAACTGTAAAACTTCACGAAACAACAGATAAAATTGAGGTAGGCAGAGGAGTTCGACAAGGGGATACTATTTCGCCTAAAGTTTTTACAGCTGTCCTTGAATACGCAATGAAATCACTCTCTTGGGAGAATAGGGGCATAAATATCGATGGTGAAAGGTTGACACATCTATTCGCAGATAACATCGTCCTTGTCTCACATAACATCGGAGATTCAAAGCAGATGCTCGAAGAATTAGTGCAGGCCTTATTAAAAGTCGGTCTCCGGATAAATACGAGTAAAACGCAAATAATGACAAACTTAGTGCTCACACAGAACATCAGAATAGGTGACGCAGACATAAAAGAAACACATATATACAAATATCTCGGGCACGAAATACAAATCGGAAAAAACAACCAAACACACGAGATACAGCGCAGAATAGGTTTGGGTTGGGCTGCTTTTGGCAAACTGCGGGAGACCTTTAAAAGTGATATACCCATATGCTTGAAGAGGAAAGTTTATGAACAATGCGTCTTGCCGGTAATTCACATGGAGCGGAAACTCTAACATTAACGAAAAAGTCAGCAGAAAATTTAAGAGTAGCCCAGAGAGCCATGGAGAGAGTCATGCTTGGAATAACTAAAAGAGACAAAATTCCTAATAACACTATCAGACAAAAAACCAAAATTAAAGACATAGTGGAACACGTAACTCGAATGAAATGGAGATGGGCAGGTCATGTGACGAGAACATCTAAAGACAGGTGGACTAGAAGATTGTTAGAATGGCGACCTCGAGCAGATAAACGTAGCAGAGGCAGACCACCGACACGCTGGACCGATGATGTAAAGAGGATTGCTGGAAATTTGATGATGACGGCCCAAAATCGAGAGACATGGAGAAATATGGAGGAGGCCTATGTTCAGCAGTGGACAACGATGGCTACATGATGATGATGAATCTAGATAAAATATTGGTTACAATCATTTCCTCTATAAATTAAAATAAAGAGCTGCTCGGTATCTTAAATTATACAACAAATTTAAACATTTTTGCCAAAATTTCAGTTAGTCAGGTTTATAGGTGTCAACTTCAATAGGATTGATGACGTGCATCGGAAAATGTTTTACTATTACCGTACCTAGTTTATCTTTTAGTATAGTATGTATATGGAACGTTCACTCTGGTACTCCTCGACTCCGCCATTCTTAAGCTCCATTCAGAACCTCGCAATTAGTGGAATAAATTAGTGGTTTCGATTAGCCTAGAAGTTTGTTCCTTTAATTTCCATGTAAACATTCAGAACGTCAAAATTAATAGTAGACATTTTTAATTAGTAGAAAAAGTTATCAAATTTTTAACTTTTCCACTAATTATTCTTCAAAACTTGCGATAAATATCATTTTGGCCTTTGATTATCTTCCCATAAGAGAAATTGTGGGCTAAATAAACTAATCGAAAAAAGGATATTGTGTTTTCGCTAAGAAGAAATTTTTCAGAAAATATGTGTTATAGCTATTAAAACCTATAGCGTTTGTATTTAAAAAAATACTGTTTGTAAACCTAAAAAATTGTACCCAAACAAATAAAAAGCATTATCATCAAATATACATTTAATTTATGTTTAGAATACAATGACAGGTGAAATTTATGCTGACGACATCATTGATAACATGGTAAATGATTATCTTTGGAATTTGGAACCCAATTTCAGATTTCTACATGAGAACCTCGCCTGCATAGACCAAGTATAGTACAATAACGTCTAGCACTTAATGAAATTAATCATTTGCCATTACCCCCGCTCTCTCCAGATTTAAAGTGTATCGAACATACTTGGGACATGCTCGGAAAATCACTAATTGTCCATAAACCTCCTGTTCAGGACGTAAGGGCACTGAGGCGAGATCTTCCACATTTATGGGATACCTACGATCAAAATGCCTTGGATCATTTAATTTTAAGTACCTATGCCTCGGCGAGTTGAAGCAGTAATGGTCAATAGAGGTGGAAGTACTCGCTATTAATAGTTTTTTTTTCTTTTTCGATATTATCATTCTTACATTATTAGAGAAAAATTGTCTGTAAAAATGAATTAAACATTTTTTTCGGTAAAAACAAATCAAAATTTGAGTGTTTTATAAGCTAGATATAGTCTATAAAATGAATATAACTTTGAATTTTGACCATTATTTTTTACCAACATGGCAAATATAAAAGCCCCCTATCCAAAAAGTTACTCATATTCTTTAAAATGAGTGCCTGATCGAATCAGATAGGTAACTCTTTTTACTTTCGTAAAATAGAAAAGGAAAATAATAAAACAGGTGACAGTTCTTCCTCTTCTTGCAAAAATCAACGCAAAATGTCATAATTGACAAAAGTAAAATGTCATCAGCCTTTGACATTTCTAAATATCAGACCAATGCCGTCTCTAATAGAACAGCCTCGGAGCGAGATTTATGACGTCACGCTAGTTAGATACCACGGATTAATAAATATGTTGTAGAATACACGGAAAACATAATTATTCCTCGTACTTTTGGTTTGTATTTTAAAAATGACATAGTTTACATGAAATATACATAATATACAGTTAATAAATACAATATATATACCTATTTATAGTAATAAATACTTTAAAAAATAAAACTATGAACCATACAAATGCCATCAAATGTTTTACAATATACAAATAATGAATAGGTATAAGATAATGGGTAATATTATGTAAAATATATTTTAAATTTTGGTTTTTGCAAATCGATCTAATTTAACAAAAATATTCAATATCTACTAATAGTGATGTATTATTATTTGCATTCACAAAATTTATATGTATATTTTGCAAGCATCAATGTTCGAAAAATTATATTTGCAAATAATACAATATCATAGAAAAAAAGGCGTCAGCGATGGCTATGAAATAAAGATCGCTGTCATTTTATATAAAATTATTCTAAAATTTTTGTTGTAGCTAACGTTTATAGCCTTCATCAGTGTTATGTCATATGAAAAAAATAGTGTCGAATATAATCCTAAAAATTACATATACGAGGAATAATTATGTTTTCCATCATTCTACAACATAATTAATCCGTAGTATCTAACTAGCGTGACGTCATAAATCTCGCTCCGGGGCTGTTCTATTAGAGACGGCATCAGCATGGCCGCAAGTTGCTAACCTAATAAAATTAATACTAGAAAAGCCCGCGGGAACTGTCAAATTCATAGTTATTCGTTTCACAGACTATATTAAGCTTTCTCTATGGATACAACTGACTACCGCAAGCTGTTGCTAGAATATTCTATTAATTTTAATTGTGTTTTTTAAATATTGTGAATGATCGTAAACTAAAAAGTATAAAGTGTAATAATTGAAACCGCTAATTTATTCCACTAATTGCGAGGCTCTGAATGAAGATTTAAAGTGCGTCTTCTAATTTTTTTAAGTAATAAACTATTAAATTTAAATAATTTTTAATATATGTTATATTGTACGATAAATTATTGCGAGCTATTTCAAAATAATGATTTATCTTATATATTAATTAAAAAAACAGGTACCGATACAACCGACATAGGTTGGATGCACCTCCTGCTTCAGTCTACTTTTGGAATAATCGTGTTTTGTGCCATGAGACAGTATTTCCACGATAAACGGAAGAAAACAGAAAGTGAGCAAATAGCGGACATAATGGGTGCGAAGGATCACTTATCCAAGGGGGGTACGTATACAGTGTCAATAAAAGTTTGTACAAATAAGATTTTTTGAATGGCGCCTATATGTAACATACCAATCAAAAATCCTATCACCGGTTCTCGATAAACGTCTAAACTACCATTGCCGTGAATCACTCTATAATGGGTGTTTCTCATCCCTATAATATTTTTATTTTTTTAAATAAAAAAACCAGATTTCATAAGTTAGTATAAGATTAATTGTTTTCGGTCACTTCCTGTTTCGCCGTAAATGACTACAACGTTTGATTTTTTTAAATGACACAACCGATATTGAAGATAAACTTCTTTACGCGCACTGGGAGTATAAATTTAAAGCCGGGATACACGGCCACGAGACGAAACAGCCTACGGTTTAAGAAATACGTAGTGACGCGACGTACACTGAACCAAAAATCGACATAAATATAATGAAAAAGTTCATTTATATAATGAATTACATACATACATACTACATACTGCCATTACTCGCTGACGAGTATTTGACACGCATCAGAAGATGGTCACGCAGGGCGTTTTCTTTCATGAGCCTTTCTGTGACTGAAAAGCCCAATACGTGATGTTATTTGTCTACCGCACTCCGGACATTCAAAAATCTCATTGCTTTGTTGCCTCTTAACTTTTTGGTTCTCGCTGTTAACTGAGTCTACAATTCTTCTCCATTGAGTTCTATTGTGAGCTGCTACTTCCCACTCATTCTGCACATTAATTCCCTTTAAGTTTTCGTGGAAAATGTCCTTGAACCTTTTGAGTTGTCCACCTGGCCTCCTCTTACCGTCTACAAGCTCACCGTAAAGCAGTGATTTTGGTATGCGGTTTTCTTGCATTCTACATACGTGACCAGCCCATCTTAGTCGGGATTTTGTAACCATGACTTCAATACTCTCGCAGTTAGCTTTTTCAAGAACCGATACGTTTGAGACGTGATGGAACCATTTGATTCTTAAGAGTTGTCTAAGGTGTCTCTGTTGCAACTTGTTTAATGCGTTCATGTGTCGGCGGTACGGCACCCAGGTTTCGCACCCATATAACATGGTGGGGATTATAATTGCTCGGTATACTGCAAGTTTTGTTTTTGTACTCAAGTCATGATTGTAGAAAACCCTGTCTTTTAATTTCCAGAATGCTCTTGAGGCGCTACTAATCCTGTGCTGAATTTCAGAGTCAATATTGGCCTTTTCCGAAATCAAACTGCCAAGGTAATTGAATTCCGTCACATATTCTAATAGTTCTTCTCCGATTTTTATAGCATTGTTGTGATCTTCCGGGGGAGTGCACATGATTTTAGTTTTGTCGATGTTTAGCTTAAGGCCCAAAGCCTCGTATGCCCAGGTATATGTGTTCAACATGTCTTGTAATTGTTGTACCGTGTTTGCAAGTCGTCAGCGTATTGAAGTTCTGTGATAAATTTTGTACGTGTTTTTTTGGCCCTGAGTCTTTTTATGTTGAACAGACCGCCGTCATATCTGTATCTAATGCCCAATCCTCTCTCCTGCAGTTTGCTGTCCACTATAATGGAGAGCGCTGCCATGAATATGTTGAATAGGAGAGGCGCTAAGACACATCCCTGCCTAACTCCTGTATTTGTTAGGAATGGGTCGCTCAGTGATCCATGATGTGACACTCTTGACTTGTTGTTATGGAGGCTTTTACACACTGTAAGAAATTTGTTAGACTGCTGCTCTTTTACTTTTTCCTGTAGTTGACGGATGGAAAATATGGAATCGACGGTGCCGCGGTTGGTACGAAAACCCGTTTGCGTTTCTGGAAGGATTTTTTCTATATATGGGTGTAGGCGGTTTGACATTATTTTTGCAAGAATTTTTCCGCCGATAGCCAATAGCGAAATTCCCCGGTAATTTCCGCAGTGTGATGCGCTTCCTTTGTTCTTAAATATATTCACTATATTCGCGTTGCGAAAATCCTGAGGTACCTCTTCGCTTTCCCATACGACATCAAAGAGAGCCTTAAGATGACCAATAATTTCTTTACTTGCACACTTATAGATTTCCGCCGGAATCGCGTCACAGCCAGCTGATTTGTTGTTTTTAAGCTGTTTTATGGAGGTCTTTATTTCTTGTTCTGTTATTGGGATGTCTAATACATCGAGGCTGTTATACTGAGGTATTGTGTTTAGTGCTTCCATATTGGGGTTATTTTCTTGGTTAAGGATATGGTTGTAATGTTCTTTCCAGCGATTTCTGATTTGTTCTTCCTCTTTTAGAAGTTCGCCATTTTGAGCCATGATTGGGCAGCTTACCTTCTTAGTTGGACCGTATACTTCTTTTACAGCCTCGAAGAATTTACGATAATCGTGATGCGTGGCGTACTCTTGAATCTGATTCGCTTTTTGTGACCACCAGTTATCCTTTACTTGGCGCAGTTCTCTTCGAAGCGTGTTGTTGGCTGCTTTAAAGTTGTCTACCAGTCTTGGATTATGTGGATTTGCAGTGACGGCTTGATGTGCTCTATGCTTTTGTTCCAACAAAGCCTGTATATGCGGTTGATTTTCGTCAAACCAGTCTGGTTGTTTCTTTTTGTTCGACTTTCCCAGTACTGCTTCGCTGGTTTTATGAATCGCATCCCTTAATTGTGTCCAGCCTTGTTCAGCTTCCAATATTGAGATTGAAGTTGTCGGTGGAAGTGATTCTTTGATGGCTTCCCGGAGGGCGTCGGCGGTATTCTTGTTCTCTAGACCCCGTACGTTCAATCTGGTCATGTTGTTTTGCTTTTTACAGCGTGGATGTTTGGTTGGGTTTTAACTGGATTTTCATTTTTGAAATTAAAAGTCGGTGGTCAGTGCCGCATTCGGCATCTATTCTAGCTTTTGTGAGCCTAACATCTTTTAGATGCGTCCTTCGAACGATTATGTGGTCCAATTGATGCCAGTGGCCTGATCTAGGATGTTTCCATGTTTTCGCAATACGTCAGGCCATATTTCCTGTTGTTTGCCTACACGAGCATTAAAGTCACCTAGCAAGATGATTCGTTCGTGCTTGGGAATTCGTTGAAGGGCATTTTGTAAAGCTTGGTAAAATTTATCCTTATCTTCAATTTTAGCGTCAAGGGTGGGAGCGTAGGCACTAATGATGCTGACGTAAGTTTTGTCTGATATGGGGTACCTTAGGGTCATAAGACGTTCGGAGACACCAATAGGTACTTCTGTTAACTTGGTGGCGATTTCGTTTTTGATCGCAATGCCTACACCATGAATTCTCCTGTGTGTTGCGGGGTGACCTTCCAAAGAAGGTGTAATGCTCCTCAGTGAGACTACCTTCATCTGCAAAGCGTGTTTCGCTTAGAGCGGCAACATCTATATTTAATCGGTGGAGTTCCTGTGAGACCAGTGCTGTTCTTCTCTGGTCGATTTGAATTTATCTTGTCCAGTAGAGTGCGGACGTTCCACGCCGCGAACGTGAAACATTGATGTTTTTGTTTCTCCGATGATACGCTCGAGTAGGCACCCTCCCGGAGGTCCGATTGAGGGGGTATTTTACCTCCGGACGACAATTTTGTCCCACTCGAATGTTCCATCATTGCTGTGTGTAAGCTGCGTGAAAAGGTTTAACTGTGGCGGTTACGCTGCCGCACAGTTTTGGCTGCAACTGTAGCACGGGATGGCTATGGCACAGTGAGGACTGCGACGATAGCTCCCTTGTGCTACGTTCTCGGCCGGCTAGGTGTATTTTATTACTCCTTTTCCCCAGAAGATGGTAGGTCTGAGGGTTGTGTAAGGTTATACTGCCTATACTCGGACGTCAGAGCCTCGTTTGTGTAAACAGGGTGCACCACGTGAAGGTGAGGTTGACTTTTGGGTAAGCTAGGCTATATGTATCGCTTCAATACCCCTTGCACACCCCAAAACCAAAATAACCGATCAAGATGGCCACCTTTTATGTCCTAATATTTTATTCCTGATATTAATAACCGCGTACATTAATATAATGTAGTGTGTTCCTTGTATTAATTATAACATTATTCATTGTCACAATGTACAACACATTAATCAATGATTTGGTACATTAATATAATGAATATGTGTTCATTAAAGTTTCAGCATTTAAATAAAGAACGCATTCATTGGGAAAATGAACGTATTCTTTATATTAATGAAAATCTTACATTAATTTAATAACCAGATTTTCATTATATTGATGAAATTAGATTCATACTATTAATACAGGCATCGATCTATGATTAACAAATCATTAATATAATGAAAAAAAAAATCATTGTCCCAATGAAACAACAGTTAATAATCAATGTTCATAATATTATGAACAATCCAAAAAAATCCTTATGGGTTTTTCGCCACTGCACTGCAAGAAAAATCTACAAAATAAAATAGTTATTTTTTGTAAACACTTCTGCGTTAAACCTAAACGGACATAATGAAAGAAGCGATAGTCTCTAAAAGAAAAATAAAAGAGGCTTTTTTAATTCAATCTAATAAAAATAAATGTATTGCTCATGCATCTGTAGATGTTAGTAATGTATGGCAATCGCTTCTTTGATTTTAAAGAACATAACATAAATAAACATAACATACGTGAAATTTAAAAATAATCATACAGAAAGTTTGGGCTTTTTGGTTTTACCTTATTAAGTAATTGTTATCAGGTAGTAATTGTTAATTTTGAAGTTTACCTTAATATAATGTCATTTTAACACAACGTCAACGATTTCTTGTAGACGTATCTGTTTTAAAAAGTAAAGTGTTCTCGAATAGTTCAATTTAAATATTTTAAAGAGTTTTTTTTCTTGATTCTTTATATTTTTTTGCTTCCGACGACGGAAAGAGAAAACTTTCCGAAACGTTAAGCATTTTTTTCTTTGTTAGGCAAATTTTTATTACTGTAAACGCAACTTCTGACAAGCAGCGTCCGTTTAGGTTTAACGCAGAAGTGTTTACAAAAAATAACTATTTTATTTTGTAGATTTTTCTTGCAGTGCAATGGCGAAAAACCCATAAGGATTTTTTTGAATAGATGAATCCGCCACATAGGTATAGACATTTTTTATTATGAACAATATTTTTTTCAGTGTATTTTTATGAATAGACCACGTGTTTATCAAAAATATTGATATTTTAATAGAAATTTGGTGAAAGTGAATCAAATTATTTATTAATTTTTATTTTATCACTTTTTCGACATTTCAAGCTAGACTTTTTCAAATATTTTTTACTTCATTTGATAGAAAATGCCATTCTGGATAGAATGACATATCATATGTCAACTTTTGACAATTTCCATTCAAAAAATAGCATTGTAAATTTCAATTTAGAGTGCCATGGACAAAAATGTAACGACAATTTGAAATACCAAATGTGTGGTATGTACCAAATTATTTGTAAAATAATGTTTTTTCCAAATATGCCAATGAACCTCCCTTGTTCCATTTGAAAAAATTGGGTTATGATTAAAAACATGATTTAGGTATCTTTTAACCGGCCAGGACAAGACATCAAAAAAATATCAGACGATTAAATCTATTTTCCAAGGCTCCTTGATTAAAAATTAGTGTTTTTAACACAACAATGTCATTCTAGATTGAAATTTAAAATACGATGAATTTTTTTTAAGCGAGAATGTGAAAAGTTGACGTATTGTATATCATTCCATTCAGAATGTCATTTCCTATCGAATAAAGTAAAAAAAACCGAACGTTCCATTAAAAAATTAAAATTTGTAGTCATTTCCGGTAAAACAGGAAGTGTCAATCAATCCTGATTTATGTCATACACTAACGTACCAAGTCTTGTTTTATTATCTGAAAAAATAAAAAGTTATAGGGTAAACTTTTTGTGAAACACCCGGTATATTAACTAAATAAAATATTTTAGATTTTGGCAAGTTACTTAAGAAGTCCGTTGTATTGTCATCGACTGCATCCATTCTATATAAATGGCTTGCTCTACTATGGCTCTGGTTGGTTGTTATACTGATGATTTGGCTGGAATTCTGGGGTACAAGCAGCCTCTTTAAAATCCTTTTTGTAGTACTGGCTATATTTTTGATTATGTCGTTTCAGGTAATTTTTTAAATACCGGGTGTTGCATCGTCGGACGGGACATAGGAAATCCCATGTAAATTTTAATGGGGTCAATTATTGGCTTCCCTAATTATTTTAGAGAATAATAATTCTATTTAGGTTTATTGAAGAGCACTAAAACCCACATTCAAAAGAATAACTTTAGATATTTTTAATTAGCTCGTTTACGAGTTATCGCCGATTTCTTTTTAAATATTTCTCTTTTCTTATGGCCCTGTATGTATGTATGTATATACTTATGAGCACCAGTCAAGGTCAAAGATAACTGACAAATGAAGTTGTCATTTCAGAAATTTACCTATTTAGTGCTTTATTATTATTGAAAACTCATTCCTACATCGGAAATCTTAAAGATGTATTTATAAATACAAATTAATATGAATTAAAGTAAAATAAACTAATCAATTACAAGGTTAATTATAGTATTATTACAATATTCAATAATTTATTAAATTAGGTACTATTAAATTGTTAGAACTTTAGGATTTAAGAAGATGTTCAAATATTCCTCCATCGACTGCTAGACAATAACCCAGGCGATCATAAAATTCTCTTCTTACATTCGCTAGTTGGTAAACTGAAATTCTATTGCATTCGGCAGAAATAGCATTTTTTAACTCGTCTAGATTTGGGTATTTTTTATCCTTGTATATCCTGTTTTTTAAATGGCTCCAGAGAAAGAAATCATTTGGCGAAATATCAGAAGACCTTGCTGGCCAATTTACTGTATGATTTAGGCCAATAACGTTTCCGTTAAAACTATTGTCTAAATATTCCCGAACAGCCAGGGTACTATGTGCCGGGCAGCCATCCATTTGGCACCAAACTTCCTGATTTTCCCTAGCGGCATCATGTAAAGCAGGTAAAATATGATTTTCGAGTAGTTCCAAATAATATTCTGCATTTAAATTTCGCGTAAGAAATAATGGCCCGATAATATTGTGTCCGAATATCCCTGCCCAAACATTTACTTTCTGTGGATATTGCGTCCTTGTTTCGACAAACCTGTGTTGGTTTTCTTTGTTCCAATATCGATAATTTTGAACATTGGGTTCATTATTTAAGGTAAACGTGCATTCGTCAGTAAAACATATGTTTTTTAAAAATACCCTATTCGTGTTTCCATCATATCAAAACAAAACGACTGCCGCCGTATTTCGTCCGCATCTCGTAGCTCTTGGTGCTTTTCATATTTGAAGGAATAGTATTTATGTCGTTTCAAAATTCGAAACGCTGTAGTGTGATCTATTCCTATTTCATCCTCAAGTTTCCTTGTGCTGATCTTTCCATCGTTCTCTTCCACGCACAATAAAAATTCCAAGTCGGTATCATTTCTTGGATCTTCTCACTGTTCTTGCCTTGCTTCACATCTGCAGTTATTTATTAGGGTACCTTTGGTCTCAAATCTCTGGATATTCCTTGCGATTGTTGATTTTCCAGGTATCGGTCTATTTGGATACAGAGCAGCAAACATGTCCGACACCTTTTGATAACTATTTCCTTGATAATACCATTTAATCACCAATACTTTTTCTTCGGTAGTATTTCATGGCTAATATTTTCGATGTAGGTATGAGTTTTTAATAATAATAATAGAGCACTAAATAGATAAATTTCTGAAATGACAACTTCATTTGACAGTTATCTTTTACCTTGACTGGTGCTCATAAGTAAATACAGGGCCATAAGAAAGGAGAAATATTTAAAAAGAAATCGGCGATAACTCGTAAACGGGCTAATCAAAAATATCTAAAGTTATTCTTTTGAATGTGGGTTTGAGTGCTCTTCAATATACCTAAATAGAATTATTCTCTAAAATAATTAGGGAAGCCAGTAATTGACCCCATTAAAATTTACATGGGATTTCCTATGTCCCGCTCGACGATGCAACACCCGGTATATGCAAAGGGTGCCAATTTTTCGACACTTGAGGTAGTTTCATATACATGCGAATTGCGAATATTCTTGGTAATGGTCGATTTCAAAATCCCTGGAATTAAATGCGAATATCTATGTTGGAGGCAGATGCCGAATACGGCCTATATCCGAAATAATTAGACATATGGCGATATTATAATTAAATATGCCTACATATATCCACAAAGTTACGCGGAAGAGTTTTGATTGCATTGGTTTCAACTTCTGTGCGGAGGGTGTTAATCTTTTGTTGTTATATTGTACGACAAAAAGATTAACTCCCTCCGCAAAGAAGTTATATAAAGACTATTTATAACCACGAAGTTGCACGCATCTGGCAAGTTTAGTATGGATAAATCGCCATATGTCTAATTATTTCGGACATAGGCCGAATTCGGCATCTGCCTCCAACATCTACATATAGTAATCGCAAAACAAGTTCCGATGCACGTGAACAACTTTGAGTGACAAGCGATGGCGACAGCGCTGCCAGATTGTGATGAATTTATGAGATGAATCTTAATTTAAAAGTGACAAACAATATATTTCTTATATCATTATTTAAAGATTTTTACTTTTTATTTTTAATTTAATAACTAATATTTTAGTAATTAATTGATTTCTTTGTTTTATAGCTTATTTTACTTATTACATATTGGCAAAAACTAATCCATTATGAAGATTATTCTAAGCGTTAATATGGGTTATTTATATATTTTTATTGATGTACATCTTACAACGCCATAAGTGGTAATAACAAGCAAGAGGGTGCTCTCTCTCTCTCTCTCTGTCTTTATTCCTACAAGAGGAATGTAGTGGTCAGGTGATGTGCGAGGTTTGTCTCCATAATTCCCTGTCTTGTGCTTCATATACAAGCGTGTGCAGTGGCTTGTGGGTGATCTTTGATAACTGGTCTATCCATCGGAAGGGCGAGCGGCCTCTTGGTCTTCTTCCCGGAACCTTGCCCTGTATAATGAGTTTTTCCATACAGTCGGTATCCCTCCTCATAACGTGACCGAAATATTTAAGTATACGTGACTGTATAGAAGTTGAGAGGCGTTCTGTGATGTTCAGTTCTTGGATTGTGGTTTCATTGGTTCGCCGGGCAGTCCAGGGAATTCTGAGCATTCGTCGCCAACAGTACATCTCAGTTGCGTCAATTTTTTTCATTTCTGACTGTCTCTGAAGAGGGTGCTATTAATGCACAAACTAATAATCACAGAATTTAATAAAAACTAACGAAGAAATAACTTTGAAAGTGGTGTAACATGCTTATCAATCAAACTTCTCTGACTGCAGTCAAGGGTAATAAAGGACCTTTATTGTCACGTTCTCATTCAAAATAGTTTATCATGGAATCTACAAGCTCTTTGCTTCAACTGTTTAAATGCTTTGGCATATTTTCAACACACAATTTCAAGAGATGGAATACAAAAACTCGAAAATTTAGATTTTAAAAGAACTGTTTGTGCCTAAAAGTACAATTTAAAAAAAAGACTATGAAAATAGGCAAAAAAACAAAAATTATTCACAAAGATTCAAAAACACGATATTATACAAAATAATGACTGACATTAGGATAACTGACAAATAATAACGACACCTTGACAATTGACGACCTTGCTGAAAACGGCGCAATGTGACCAACATAGCGATAATAAAATTCGGTTTAAACTAATCTTAATCTATAAAGTAAGTTAAAGAGCTGGTCGGTATCTTAAATTATACAACAAATTTAAACATTTTTGCCAAAATTTCATTTAGTCAGGTTTATAGAGTTTAGTGTCAATGTCGATATAATTGATGACGTGCATCGGAAAATGTTTTGCGATTACAATATGTATGAACGCTATTGTATGAAGTTATTGTATGAACTACGTAAAGAAAAGACGGTTTTATTTTGCGATAGTCGCAATTTGCATTTCGCAATTCGTGTGTATATGAGTTACCTTTATTCATAGTTTCCCGATTATTTTTGGAGATAGAGAGTTGTAATTTTTTTGAATTGCTATCGTACTCTTCTCTCTCTCTCTATCTTTGCGTGTAGGAACTACAGAACAAAAAGGATAAATAAGAACAAAGTTGTACATTAATGTGCCTAATATTATGCCGTTTAGAAATATTTCAAATGCCGAGTACTGCCGGAGATATTTGAGAGAAACCGAACATTGAAAATTTTGATTTTAATTTTTTCTGACGTTATTGTAGTAGCACGTATCAGAGGTTTTTTCTGATGTTATATGACACGGTAACCTAAAACAAAAAGCACATTTTAATAGTCACCTTTTTCCAGCTACACAACAGTGTTTTCAGATTTGTCATCTGACGTTTCGTCTTTAGACTCCCATCATCTGCTTTATTTTTTCTTATTGGTATCATATTTAATCATTTATCGTCAGAAATAAATCCGTTGATGATGGTGGTCAAAAGAACGAGACATACCAACACCAAGAGGCATTACACAAGAAGACATCATCATAAAAAGGTAACCTCGATGAATATAGGTTATCGAATGGGACACAACAGTATCTGTATCATGCTGATGATGCAGGCGTTACCGCGGAGACAAAGGAGGATATGCAGAGACAACTTCATAAATTCTACTAAGTAAGCCGATAATTAAATATTAATCGTATTTAATTCTAGAAACAAAAAAAACATTTGCTAAAGAGCCGGTAAGATGCAAATTGGTAGTAGAAAACAAAATTATTAAGCACGTACCACAGTTTAGATACCTAGGAATAGATTTTTTTTCGATGGGGATGGAAAAATCTTCCATAAGATACACAGAGTTGGGTAGTGCCGGATTCCTACCGATTAAAAGAACCCTCCTCGTACAAGTAAGCACACCACGGCGGAACCGCTTACGCATTACTTCCACGTGGGGAGTTGCCTACGCCATGTGGCTTTGTTCCTCTTCTTTTCTACTTAGTAAATTATTATACATCTGTTTGCTGTTTCCCATAATAATTCTCCTCCCTCAAGGCTTCTCATCATGTTCGTTTCAGTGAAATCCAGTCCACTCTCCTTCTTAAAATTATCTGTCTCGTTCTTCTATCTGGGACAGTAGAATATATGCTCAACATCGTCTATTTCACCACAAAATAAACATGACTCTTGATGTTCCGCCGCATCTTATAGAGGTATTTTCGGAAACACCTGTGTCCAGACAGCATTTGTGTCAGGTGGTATCCCACTTCACAATATGGTCTGCCAATCTATTTTTCAATGTTTGGTATTGTCTCCAGGTCCATCTTGTATATTTTCCTTTATCCCACTGACTCTGCCACTTCTCCATCACAGTTTTCCTAGCTATTTGTTTGAGCTCCTTGTATCTATCCGCTCGTTCATCAGTTAATAAGTGGATAGGACTGATGCCCGCAATGACACCAATTGCCTCAGTAGATTTTTTTCTGTAAGCGCTACAAACTCTGATACATAATTTGCGCTGCAGAGCTGTTATCTTTCACTTTGATTTTATTTTGTCCATTGCCTTACATTATGCCGGTGCTGCATATAACAATTGTGAATGTATTACGCTTACAAGAATTCTACGCTTTGATGCCCTAGGGTCCCCTATGTTCGGCATTAGTTTTAATAATGCTGCAAGAGTTTTTCCCGCTTTATTGATTCGTTGGTTAACATGTTCACAGAATGTTGTTTTACGAACCAGACTCCGAGGTATTTTGTACCTAGGAATATATATGTCATGTGTAGAATCATATTATGTCTACCATGATCCAGAGAAAGATCTAATATAAACAGAGCTACAGCCATGTCAGGATGTCTGATGCAAATAGTGTGGAAAAACCCTTTCCCATGCGAACAGACAGCAAAATTAAAATTTATAACACCTGCATCAGACCAATAATGACATATGGTATAGAAATCCAACAGGAAACAAACAAAACCAAAAGCATGTTAAAGGTTGGTGAAATGAAGAACCTAAGAACGATAATGGGGTAGACTAGAAGAGACAGAATTAGAAACACAAATATCAGACGACCATGTGGAATACAGGACGTAGTGAGCTGGAGTAGACAAAGAAAAAGACAATGGTTCGCACACCTAAAGCACATGGAAGAAACAGGGAAGATTTCCAAAATGATGGAAAGACAGTTGACAGTTCATCTCTCAGGAACTCCTACATAAGCAACCTTAAAACTAACAGATCGACTAGATCTCAAATAAGTACAAGAATTTTTTTTTGGATTTTTGGTTTTTCTCGAATATCTCCAGGATCTACTCGCAATTTTAAATGTTTCTAACTAACGGCATACTTTTAGGCACAGTAATGCACAACTTTGTCTTAATTTAGACACCCTCGTATGGAGATCCCAATGGCGGGAGTCGAATTTGAATTACCTTGCAAAGTTATTATTACCTTGCAAATTTTAACGTGTTTCAGTTGGTTCCCTTCGACTACTGGAAAAAATGTCTGAGAGTTTACTGGTGGATTCTTATAGGTTATGCAGGGGCAAACTTTATATTATTTTATTTGTACCAGAGTAACATGACTCGGAGATTTCTATTGGCCTACATCGCCTCAGAAAAGACGTAAGTCAAATTAAATAGAGAGAGATAAAATAAAAAAAAAACTAATACAAGGAACTACTACTATCTGGTAATCAAATATTACGTCCACAAAAATACATATTGCAGGTTTTTTCAATACGGAATGATTCAACGCAAGCTGAGTGAACGATATAAACCTCTTCTGTACCCGTTGTTTTTCCAACTGGCTGTAGTAATCCAAAAGAATTATCTTCAGGATGATTTTGATTTATATACTTCGCCATACAAAGAAGATGAGTTTGAAAGTGCAAAAGATAGTATGTATTTCTCTTAACTTTTAATATAAGGAATTCATTACATAAGCCTAGAAAACGGTGTGACTTCGGTGTTAATAACAAAGATAAACCAGCTAATATGTAATTGGAAAATCAGTTTTCATCAGAATTAAAACTTGTTTTTCTCTGATGTAAATTAGCTGGTCTGTTTAGCTGATGAACTTTAGGTTAACCAATTCATTTGAAATTTTACTCAAAACAGTAAACCTCTGACAAAGCCAAAAAAGGCAATAAATTAAGATAAACGTGTATAAATAATTTTATTATTCAAATAAAAATATCAATCATTTTGGTGATTATTAAAAAAATAAGAGTGTGAGATAGAAAAACAGAAGTGTTTAAATACTCAAAATACCCTAAATAATGCAGATGGGAAGTGCATGTATTTTGTGCCAAATAAATGTGGATATTTAAGTGTTGTAAACGTCAAGAATCGCAATAAAACAAGGTGTTGTTAAGTATAGAGTTGCAGTTGCATTAAAAAATATTGGTATCGAGTTGCATTAAAAAATTCATACAACCCTAAATTTTCACCCTTCTGCCATCAACCCCTATTTTTTAATAGTAATATTAGTAATTCAATAATTTTAATTTAACAACAAATTGTTTTTAAAAATTGTTACAATAGGGAAATAAAAAAAATAAAAACCTGGGTATGATTGAGTATACAGGGTTGTTCACTACATACGACACGGAGTATTGTAGCTAAACGATTAGATTTTTGCAAGTTGTAAGTTCGTTGAAGGACTATTAGAGCTACAATTTAAAAATATTTTTATAAGATACAGAGTGTCCCAAATAAATAAAAAATATCAAAGTTGTATTTTTTTAAATGGAACACCCTGTATATTATTACATTTGTAGTTTCTACGATTAAAATAAAGGTAAATTTGATAAAGTTTTTTAGTCATACCGTTTTTGAGATATTTAGGTTTTTGTCAAAATACAGTTATAATTTTAATGCTCGATTTCTCTAGGCGTAATTAAGTTTTTAAAACCAAATATTGTACTGAAGTATTTCTATTTACTAAATTTTGTGTTGAAATAATACAAATTATATTATCTTATACAGAGTGTCTGAAAATTTATTTTAAATAATTACCAGCTATAAACAGCAATAAATTGTTTAATTTAAATGGAACACCCTGTATTTTAGGAAAATCAGATGCAAAATTTAATTGTCTATCAAATTATATTATATCATTTTTTACCTATCTCTTCAAGTTTCTGTAGAAAATGCATTTTTTATAATTTAGACCTCATTTATCAATTTTTTTCCATGGGTATGGAAAATTGACATTTTAAATTATTATTATATATTATTAAAATTTTTACTACAATTTCACAAAATTGAAATTATTTCAAAAACGGTAAGGTTTAAGTGTGATAAACCTTAATAAAATTTACCATTATTTTAATCGTAGAAACTAAAAATGTAATAATATACAGGGTGTTTCATTTAAAAAAATACAACTTAATATGTTTTTATTTACTTGGAACGCTCTGTATGTTGTAAAAATATTTTTAAATTGTAGCTCTAATAGTCCTTCAACGAACGCAACACTTACAATTTGCGAAAATTTAATCGTTTAGCTATAATACTCCGTGTCGTATGTTTACTGTACGTCGTATGTACGTCGTACTATTTATTGACTTTTTGGGTATTTACCCAATATACCGGGTACTTGCCCATCACTGACCTTAGCCACAGCAACGCGTGGCCGAGTCTCTTAGTATTTTTATAAAATGCTTTCAAATAATCTACATATGCTCCCAGCTCCCAGCATTTCATTTCGATATAAACTACCGTTCCTCCGGTATTGTAATCGAAGCCTCCGCGTCGTGTAATAGGCGCCACCCCGTATAATACAGAAATTTATTTTATTAATATACAGGTAGTCGTTGGATGAAAATGCTGTATTATAGTATCATAGTGAAGAATATGGTTTTTCAAATATTGGAAGTGCATTTTCAAAGAATCCTTCTTTTGCTCGGATGGTACGTCTGCGTTATGGATTTATGCGGACTTAACCTAATTTTCGCCATTCTGCTCAGTGTGGCCTGCTGCACTAGAAGAAAAACCACGATTACGATAATCTACGTCTATTCCGTCTTCAACCAAATACTTATTATACTAAGATTGTGCTATATGCACCTTTACGGTAAACATGCCCAATGGAATTATTTAGGAGAGTTCGTGAGTATATCTATATATTAAACAAAAATATTAAGAAAACGGTTCAATTTAACCCAGTAAATACTGGGTACATGTACAAGGTGGATCAAATTGGACGCTTTTAAAGGGAAACACCCTTTTCTATAGGAGATAGACGAAAACTAATATCGGTGCCTGGAGCTCAATTTTCATCAAAAACATGATGGTGAAAACCGCACATCGATATATGTTACTGTTTCGGAGTTACAGAGTGTTTGGGTGCATTTTTAACAAATCGCTGTAACTTCTTTGCTATGGAAAATTTTGTATTTTTATGAAAACATTTTCCAAGCACCTTTTTACGTAGAATTTAATGGTCTAAGTATATTTTTTTTTAAATTAATAATTTAATAGTTTTCAACAGAAAATTTGATTTTTTATTTAGGACACCCTGCATATTTTTAATTAACTGAAACGAACTTAAAATTGCCTTTCCAAAAATATAGCACACTTGATATTTTGTTATAATCCCCTTCGAAATACAGAATTTCTTAAAGTTCGCCACTTTTAATTAGTAGGCTTTGGACCCCTTATTGATGATATGCCCCTAATGGAACTCGAAAACATATTTTTCCAGCAAGACGAGGCACCGCCTCAGAACGCTGAAGTTATCAGCAAATTTTTGCAGCCAATTTAAAGAATAATTGAATAGATCCAGATCCCCCACCAAGATCCCAGCCATTGGCCGTCGAGGCCGCGGACTTAGTGCCTATGTGTCTAATCCTATGGATATCTTTGCGGAAGAATAAGTAAAGGTTCTTATTTTTAAATTGCCCGTATAATCCAGACAATAGTTAGAAATACTTAGCAGTTATGAGAGGGTATCTTTCATCCTCACTGAGTTAATGAATTCCGCAAGAAATGTTCAAAAACGGCCTCATCTGTCCATAACAGAAGACGGTCGATATGTCGAACACCTGTAGCAAAATCTCATATCTTGGTTTGCTATTTATTTTTATTGTTATTAGATATAGTTTAAATGTGTTGATATTGGTTAAATATAGTTTAAAATGTTATAAAATTCTGTATCTGTCATTGCAAATATTAATTTCGTTTTAATTGATGCTCACAGCTAGAATTTTTTTGCATTACAGCCGGCGCCGTTCAAAGCCTACTTATTTAAAGTGTGCGAATTTTTATAAACTCTATATCTCGAAGAGGAATCGAGCAAAATATCAAGTGTGCTATATTTTTGGAAATGTAATTTTAAATTATTTTCATAAATTAAAAATATACAGTGGTATCCCATATAAAAAATCAAATTTTCTGTTGATAATTCTTAAATTAATAATTTAAAAAAACATTTACTTATACCATTAGATTCTACGTAAAAAGATGCTTTGGAAATGTTTTCACAAAAATACAAAATTTTCCATAGCAAAAAAGTTACAGCGATTTGTTAAAAATGCATATTTTTGAAAAACATGCCATAACTACGAAATGGTAACTGATATCTGATATATGCGGTTTTCACCATCATGTTTTTGACAAAAATTGAGCTCCAGACACAATTTGGCCCACCCTGTACAAAAGAGCTTAATAGCCGTAAAAAACTCATTGTAACTTTATTAGAATATTTTGAACGGGATCTTAAAATTAAATTAATTTATAATTATTTTATTTTTGTTTCCTAAAATATTTTGTTTAAAAGAAAATATGTAAAAGTGGGCAACGCTGTACCGGTTAAGCTTAATCACGTGATTAAACGTTTATTTGAAATGAACTATAATTATGTTTACAGGACAAAGGCAATTATCACTACAATGTGACTCTAAACGGCGCCGAATGGATAGGTTTTGACGAATCCAAATACGGACACCGCTATGCAGAATTCTCTAAAGTTGCTTGGTCTTTTCTGTATACCGGTGCCGTCACTTTGTTCCGCATGGTGCAGATAAGGCAGATGAACTACCGACTGGCGAGGGGCATGCCTGCCAAGAGACCAGACGTAATATTCCCCAACATCGATTACAAGAATTGTCACGACAGCGCCGCAAATATGCTGAAATTCCTTGTCAATTTTGGCTTTTACAAGATGGGACTTGAGGTAAAATCTCACTGTCTATTCCACTGCGTTTTTTATCTGTCTATTCCACTTCGGTTTTACAATTTGATTGACGCTTCTTGGGATGCCTAGTGTAATGAAATTCCGGGATCCTGGACAACTTAACTACATTTCCGGGAAAATCACGGACATCTGACAACCTTAATTGAGAGTGTTTATCGAATGCTTTGAATAAAAAGATTAAGGAAGGAGCATATCAAAAATCTTAGGTCTACCGCGATGGGAATCAAATATGGCCGATTTAAATTCCGGTTTATCAGTGCCGTTCTAATTTTATTTAAAAAGTGTAAAACTATGATGTAGGGTAGACGTGGGGTAGACTCAATAATTTGTTGTTTTATTTTACGTTGTGAATAAAGATTGGTAGTTATTAAAATTGTTATAAAAATATAAAATTCTAGTAAAAATAGATAAGTTATAATAATGATTTATTAACACAAACATCCGATATGCTACTGAAGCAGGTAAGTCAAATTGACGTATCTAAATTATTTGACATCTAATTTTTTCAAGTAGTAAATAAAAGCAAAAATGGAAGAAAAAATATATAATTTAGTTATTTTAAGTGAATTTCATAAATAATCGGTTTACTACACGTATGTATATTATATAGTCACTTACTAGCGAAAAGTTGTTCCATTATTTCACTCAATTTTTGACCGAGATCTACCGCACGCTACACAATCAACTATTTTAGAGTCTTTTTCAATAAATCACAATAGTGTGAGTGTTAATTTAAGTTCTGCCACAATTTCCTTCTAGATTTACTATCTTTATAACTATCAGTAGTAGAATAAATAACAAATAACATAAAATAAGCTCCGTAAAGAGTGACAAAGCCACAACATTTCAAATCAAATTCAAATGTGTCAAATGAATCGTCAAACAGAACTGTCAAGGATTCCCACCCTATAGAGTCCTTTTTCCGCCCACCATGCGTAAATACATGGATAGCATTATGCTCCTTCCTTAATCTTTTTATTCAGAGGTCGAATGTAATACCACAAGATGTTTCGGGATTATCGAATAATACTTTTACCTAACACGAAATGCGTTACCCGGCAACACTACGATTCGGAAGGAGGAGTAATAGTGTTGCCTGTATCGCATTGAGTGTCAGGCAACATTATTAGGTAATTCCGAAACATCGAGTTGTATTCAAAAGATTATACAACGAAATAAAGTATATATATTTGTACATATTACAGTTGAGGGTTGGAACCTTTGGTGTTACACAGCTAAATAAAACACTAAATCACCACAATACACCAAAACACTTTTACTGGAAGCGTGTTTCGCTAACCATGTTAGCATTATAAACTGACAGTTTATAGCAGCTTATATCTGCTGATGATGCTAACATGGTTAGCGAAACGCGCGTCTAGTGTAAAAGTAAAATTTAGTGTTTTAAAGTACACACATTTAAACATTTTTTTGCCATTTTGTAATAAGAATTGACGGGATATTTTGTGGAACTGGCAGAAATGACTTCTGAATTAATAGTTCAAAAAATGACAATATGGCCACCAAGCGATAATCACTTAAATGATTATCACTTATTAATCACAAGGGCGTAGATATGGGGTGTAGAGGGGATAATTCCCCCCCCCCCATAGCCGCTTAAAAAATTAATAAAGTTTCTATTTTGTTAGGTAAACTAAATGTTGTTAGGTAAACTAAACTACTGTTTGGTATAAACAATTTAAATTTTATTAAAGAATCACCATGTTACCTATTTTCTATAAATTATTTACCAAAATTTTAGCTACTCAGGATTTGAAGTAGTTTATATCTACAAAAAAAATCAGGCTAGTTCGAATTACTTTGAGTTAAAAGACTCAAGTCTTAAAAAGATTTACGTCTTATTATAAAGGACTTAAGTCAGATTTTTATATATTTTTATGATAAATTTTTAACAGCAGTACTCCTTTTTAAACTGTTCGCGGCAGCCAAGTAACAGAATAAAAAAACAATGCTCAATACCACTAGCAAATAAAACTTTTGTAGTTTTTCAGAACTGGTTTTGATTATTTGTCGCGTTAAGCTTTATTTTCATGCATCCGTTGTCCGACGATACGTTGATACGATATTAATTTTATTGGTTGAATTTAAAGACTTTGATTGGTTAGAAAATTACGCAGTTTTTAAATTTATTGCATTTTCATGCCTCCATTTATCGGATATACGTTGATGTCATTTTATATTTTCGTTTCCATAACGATATTGCTATTTTACTTATATTTTTATTAAGGTTAGATTAAATTTGTCAAAAAAGTATCGAAACGTCCGTTATCGTATGAACGGGTCCGATGACGGGCTGAAGTAAAATATTTGCGGAATAAAAGTGGCGCGAAAACGCTATGACCAATCAGAGCACCGTCGGACCATCGCACAGTGCTTCGTCCCATGGACAAAAATCAAAAAATAAGTTAAAATTTACTAATATCTGAATATATAATTTTATACTTATTGCAATGTTCAACCATCCTGTATATTATTTTTCATAAACAGCGTTTTTGTTAGCAAATATTTTCACTAAAAATAAATTTTGCGATCATTATCTCATCAGTGAAAAGAATAACATTCATAGTAGTTCTGTATATTATGGAGTAAACGGGTACGTACTTAATTGAAAGCCACTATGGATATTGTTAGGAACAAGGTATGTACTTTAAATTTATTTCTAAACAAGTTCGTGATTGTTTAGTTTTTATTTATTTTTTAAGATGATTCTTAAATGGGTATAAAAATTTTACGTTTACAAACTTCAAAAAGGCATTTAAAAAAAAACACATCAAAACATATCGTATTTATTGAATATTTTTGTTGCCATATTCATACACTTTTAATTTTTGTATAGTTCATCTGCGTCTGCTTGCGACGAACTTTATTTTATAGTACTTTTCAGATGGAGTAAAATTGATAAGCAATGCCGATCTGGCTAATACTTGGCTTGATCATAAGGACAAGAACTCAAAATTATTTGTATTTCAAAAAATATGTTCTTATTAGATATTGATGAACCTTCCAGTCAAATGAGACACCACTTGTGCCTGAAAAAAGTCCACTATGTTGGAGCGATACGTCGCATAAAAAAGTGTCCATCTTTCAATTTATTATAAAATCTCATACCCAAGAAAAGGAAAAAAATAATATGGATATGGTCTATTAAAGAGGTAACTATTAACATCCGAACCCCTCATACCGACAAAATGAACAGTAACAACGCGAAAAAGTTACATATTAGAAAATGATGTACAGAAATATCTTATATGTGAGGATACTTCATCTACCTGTGATTTGGATACTATAAATTTGGAAGATTCTGTCAGCAGTGATTCTCCTGAATCAGAGTAGTTACGATCTATGCATTTTGTTGTCTAAAAGTAAATTTATAGTATCTTAAGTTTTTTTTTAATTAAATATAACATTAATGTTTCTTTTTCATTAAAGAAAAACATTTTTATCTTATATTAGGCTTATATTGTAGGAATCATGTTCTAATGTTATTTCAATTCTTTTTTATCACAGGAATTTATTTAATACTTACACCGTTTTCATACTATAACTTATTATTTGCTTAGATGGAACACAGCTCCAACATTATTATTATTTATAAGATTTTTTTTTCATAAACGTGGGACTAAGAACATCATCATTTAGTACAATGAGAGTACTCATCATTTGTGTCAAATAAACCTAGTTTGAATAAATTGCTTACAATAAAAGAGAAGTTTTGGATTTTTGTCCTCTAGAGCCATATGTTCGAAGCACTGTGCATCGTATCAACGTATAATAAGAGATCGGCTGCCGACGGGTCTCAATAAACTATCTTTCTCGCGCTTATAGATACTCATAAGACTTTCTTATCGCGCTCATTTAAAATCTTTATTCGCGTCTGGCAAGTATTAAATCCCATCGAATTCGTCTGGCAATTAACACATATTTTTTAATATCATCTAATAAACACGCTGTAAAAATTTTAGAATGCCTAAAGTATGTTTTCTCGGTATAATAATTAAACATATTTGGAATGGTCTGGTTACACTTTAAACCCGAAAAAAAAGTCTGGCACACTTATTTCTAGGTTAAATAGATGCTAAAATTTAAGAATAAATAAATTTCAAGTTGCCTAAAGAATGTTTTTTGGATTTATTTTTTTGCAAATGTTATGGGTTGCGCAGTAGCGAAATACCCCCAACCCCCCAGCCAGACTTAGGATTGTGGGTTCACAAGTTATTAAACTTTATTTTTTTTGCTATTCTTACTTGCCTAAAATATGTTCTCTAAATATGTCGCCAGCTCTTCGGCTAGAGCGGATGCATGAAAGTCAAGCTCGCGTGCTTAGTGAATCTGTTGTCTTCCAAGTGAATCTACGACTCCGTTTGTAGCCCGAAAGACGAACAAAAGGAATTTATCTGGAATATATTGAAAAGTACCTTAAAATCCTCCATTCCTTAGCTTATGCAATCGACATGTATTCAATGATATCTAAACTGTAATGGTAATAAGTACTACAAAATCGGTTAAATTTTATAAAAAACATATTTTTGCGTTTGTAGTTTTTCTGAAAATTAACCGTTTTATTTTATGTGGTTTTAGTCTCATCTGTACCAACAAAAAATTAACAGTATGATACTAGTAAGAAAAATTCTAATTGGTAATACAAGAAAATTAATATTAACATTTAAAAAAGGTACTTAAATTGAATTCTGTTTATCCTGACTTGAGGGTAATTATATTGATTTAAGTCATTTTACTGACTTAACTTGCAGATCATCATGATTTAAGTCAAAAATATAGACTTATCAGTCATAAAAACGACTTAAATAACGTTATATCGATTAAAGTCTTTACAAAAATGACTTGACTTAAAATAAAATTATTCAAGTCAAAGACTTAAGGCCCTTAAGGCTTAAATCATTTGAATTTTATGTTGAATTTGACTTAAAACTGAAATCTCTTTGATTTTAGAAATGACTTAAGACTTAAGTCTTTTTAAAACTGACTTGTTGCAGCTCTGGTGTCAATTGATCAAAAATATAATTATTTTAGTGTTTAATAACAGGAAACATTTTTACTACATTTCAGATTACTGCTGTATTTGCCGCAATAGTACTGTTTATTAGGATGGACGTTTATTCAATTTTAAGTTCCCTTACTTTAATCGCAATGCTTATGCTTAAGAGAAAATGGATTAAAAATATTTGGTTCTTGGTAATATCCGTGTTGGCTTTTCAGGTACCTCTTCATTACTTGATGCATATAGGGTTCTATCCTGCATTCTATGATTGTAAGTATTATTTTATTTTGATACAAGTGATAAAAATATACCACTTGCCCAATAGTAAGCTGTAGCAAATAACTTGTTGAAACCATACATTGTGGAATCTTTCTCCCAATAACTCACGAATTCTAGGCACAATCTGCTGCTGTAACAAATCCAAATATTTTGCAACAGTTAAATGACCCTCTATAAAAATTGGACCAATCATATGCTCCCCTACAAAACCACCCCAAACATTTAGCTTTTGAGGATATTGCTTGCGTACCTCAAAATATCTGTGCAAATTTTCCCGAGACTAATATCGCACTTGTGTAGGGTTATGACGACGCAATAAATGAAAACTTGATTCGTCGGTGAAAACTATACGCCGAATAAAGTTTTCATCTAAATTGGCCTTTTCCATTACAGATTCACAAAACGCCATACGCCGAAATTGGTCTTCATGGAAAATTTCCTGAGTTTTGCGCACTTTATACGATGGGTATCCATTCTTTTAAAGGACTTTTTTAACCGTGCTAGGTGAAGAATCTGTTACCTCAACAATTTGATTACTTGAAAACGTGGTATTTTGATCCGCGGTAACACTAATGAACACTTGCTTTAACTACTGTTCTTCATTAATCAACACATCAGGCTTTTTGTGTTTTTGTGGGGACACGCACCCATGTGTTTCAAAATTATTAATAACTCTTGTTATTGTAGGTAAAGATGGAATTGGCCTGTTTACAAAAGTTTGTGGAAAAATTGTTTGTATATCCCGATAAGACCTATTTTGGAAATACCATTTTACAATTTGAATTTTCTCACGAACTTCGTAGCCATCCATTATTTTACTTAAAAAATAAATTTTACACGAGAGCTGTCGCGAGAATCTATGAATTCGTTTTGGCTATTAAAACACGAATCAATACAAATTCAGAAACATTCTTATCACATATCTACCTATTTTTATTTTATCGCATTTTTTCGCTTTCTTTTTATCCGGCGGACGGGTATACGCTAATTCGTCCGGTTTTGCCTATGTTACTACTACGGTGGTCCGGTCTGTATATGTATTTTTATTCAACTTTTGTTAATTTTTCTGAAAGATACTATGTCGAGTTACTGGACCGTGACCGACACTAGGATGAGACTGCAACAATTTTTTTATCTAATGAACATGGTGCACCCACCTACCTACGAGAAGCTATATTACGACTTCGTATTGTTGCTGTTAGTGGCCAGACAATGGAGAACTTTCAAAGCGGAAAAAAGACATGCCGACAACAGAGAGTTCCCTGGAGGAAGTAACGAAGAAGTTTATCATTTAATAGACGATCCAACTGTTGTCAATCCTGTACCAGATTATATCAATATAACGAGGTATACATTATTTTCGATCTACACTCACAGATACAAAAAAAAACGCAACGGAGAAATTTTTGGTCAAACTTAAATTGTTATAGTTTTGTTATTTTTAGCCCCATTTTCATGAATTTTTTTGCAAGCTGTATATACACTATCGGACAAAAGTAGAGCAACAAAGTTCATTTTTATTCATGTTTGAATAAAAAAAAATATTAGGTTGTGATTTTCAACTATGTTTACTAACACACTATCCTTACACTATTACTATAGTACTATAGTACTAGTACTATTTTGGTCTACTTTTAATCAGTTTAAAAATGGTAAATAATATTGATTATAAAAATTGATAAGAATGGGGGCGACAAAAGTAGAGCAACAAATTGTATTCAACAAATTTTATTGTGTCTTATTTCAACAAAAAATATTTAACACATTTAAGAACAATAATAATTGAAAGTCATACATTAGTAATTGATAGAATATCCATTATTATTAATAACTTGCTGACAACGGCGCGGCATTGAAGCAATCAACTTCTGAATGATATTTTCGGGAAGATTTGTCCAAACTTCATTAATTTTATCTATCAAGGATTGTTTACTTGGAAACATTTGGGTACGAATACGACGTTCTACCGTATGATCGAAAAAAAACGGCGTTCAGTTGGCTTGGAAATGACGATCGATGACATTTACCATATAATTTTACATATAAAATGACAGCGATCTTCATTTCATAGCCATCGTTGACGCCGTTTTTATTCGATCATACGGTACTTCTTCCCAGAGATTTTCGATGGGGTTAAGGTCTGGGGATTGTGCTGGCCATTGCAAAACTCGAACGTCATTTTCCCTAAACCACTGTTGAACAACTTGTGAAGAGTGTTTTGGATCGTTGTCCTGTTGGAAAATAAAGCGCAATGGCATTTCTCATTCTACATAAGGAAGCATGACATTCTGCATGATATCCCTATAAACAAATCGGTCCATCGTGTCATTAATAAAATGTATATGGCCTATCCCATTCCATGAGAAACAACCCCATAAAAATACACTGCCTTTACCGTGTTTAATTGTAGGTGTTACGTATTTAGGATTAAACCTTGTATTGATTGGTCGCCTCACACGTCTCATTCCATCAGAACTGAATATTTTGTAACGCGTTTCATCACTGAACAAAACTTTTTTCCAGTCATTGACGGTCCAGTTTAAATGCCGACATGCGAATGCCAACCTTGCTGCTCTATTTCTTTCCGAAACTAACGACTTTTTGGCTGGACGTCTACTAAATAACTTTGCATCTTCTAATCTTCTTTGTACTGTTCGTATACCAACCGTAATTTCTGGAATTTCGGCAATAATTCTAGGTGCGGACTTCCAAGGATCATTTTGAGCAATTCTTTTGCAATTCTAATGTCTCTGTCGGTCATTACTTTTGTTTTCTTTGTCCTTCCCGATTTTGGCAACTTTTCTAAGTGTCCCCTGTTATTATACGATGAAATTATTTTAGATACACTGTTCCGGGGTAACACAAACTGTCTTGAAATATCGGCTTGTTTGTTATCTTCCATGAATGCATTCACAACTCTTTGCTTCAAGTCTTTTGAAATTGGAATTCCTCTTGGCATTACTAATCCAGCATAGAAATGTTTAAAAATACATAAAATAAACCACGCAGAATTATTTTGGGCTTTACTTTTGCTAAAACCCTTCTTTGGAATAAATTATTTGAATGTTGCTCTACTTTTGACGCGTTACTATTAAGCATTTAAAACTAAATGTCAAAATAAATTCATTTGTTTTGTTAGTAAAAATTATTGTTGTCGTGGATACTCATAGCCTACTTTGTAGTTTTTAAATTTATTGTATTTGTATACATTATCATGCATGTATAATTAAAAAATCGCGATTTGCAAATATTTCTTGAAGTGTTGCTCTACTTTTGTCCGATAGTGTAATTATGTCAACTTTAGTTCGTAAACTAAGTTTTTATATAAACTTTGATGTTTAGCATATTATACAGGGTTAATCGAGGGTTTGCTTTTTACTTTAAATTTAAAACACCCTCTGCAATAATTTGGTGTGTAAATTTTTCTAAAATATAATTTTACGATCAGAACCATCTCTCTTGAGCATATTATTTTTTTGGATCATGTCAATATATGCCTTGGTTAATTTGTAAGAGTGAAATGAATTTGCCACCAACTATTTACAATTTTTTCAATTAGCATTCCTTTTTGAAGTTATTTTTTTTAAATAACGGTTTTGGTGATTATAAACTGCCCATTATGTTCGACGTTTGGGAAATGCTTGGCATGAGGTTTGGAGTTATAGCAGCCAAGGGAGGCAATTGCAAAGCCTATTGTATTAGAGTATCTTTTACATTTTTTTTCTATTTGTATACTTGAGTATTACTTGAGTTTTCTGTAATATCGTTAGTTCTGTTGTCGCAATGAATGTTTATTAAAACCAGAAGTCTATTGTTAGTCTATAACGTTTTTTTTTAATTTAGTATAAAGTATTCAATGCACCGTAATATGACGTTAGGACAAGGGTCACCAAAACCATCTCGTCATATTAAAAAATTACATCAAAAAGTAGTGTTAATTGAAAAAATTGAAAATTGATCGTGATGAGTACCTAATAAACCATATACAAAAGTGCCAAATGTTAAGATATATCATCTATCGAATGAAGTAAAAAAAATCGAGGGTGTCATTTAAAAATCAACAGTTGTAGGCATTTCCGGTGAAAGAGAAATGGCCAAAAACAATTGAATATGTCAATCAATCCTGATTTATGTCATATACTAATATATCAAATCTCGTTTATTTGAAAATGAGATCTGGTATCGGCTGGGGATCGTCTGAAAAAATAAAAAGTTATAAGGGTGCGCCACTTTCGTGACGCACCAGGTATACCCTAATTTTGTATTTAGGTATTAGTATTTTAATAAAACACGCTTTTAGATGTATCAAAAAACTTTTAATAAGAGTAACTTTAACTCTACATATACCTTTCGGCTTGTTAGGCCTTTTTCAAGAGTTTTTTAAGAACTAATTGTCTAACTACACTGTAACTATATATATATTTGCTATGGGGGTGGGTTCAGAGAGTTTCCAATATGGGTAATAAAAAATGTGTTTAGAAATCCTTGTTGGTCGTTAACATTATTTTCGTTTTTAACAGATTTTAGTATTTTTAACTGTTCAATGTAATTTAAGCGTCTACCTTTTGTTTCTCTGTATAGTAACTTAATTGAGTTTTCATTAATTTTGTGATTATTTACTATACAATGAGTTGCAAGACCAGAACTATGCTGGAGATTATTAATAGACTTTACATGTTCTTTAATCCTTATATCTAAATTTCTACCTGTTTGGCCTATGTACACGGCATCACAATCATTGCAATCCACCCTATATACACCCGACTTATTTTTGACTTAAAATTTGACCTAAATTTCTTTTATTTACGTTAATAGTTTTACATCCTATTTTATAGCGATTATTTGATATTTTGTTAGTTAAATTAGGTATGTAGTTTAAAAGTCGATAATTGTTATTGTCTTTAGAATTAGCGGAATAAAAATTTTTCATTAATATCTTCTTTTGTTTTTTCTTTAGCATATTATCAATAAGGGAACACTTATATCCATTGTTGATGGCGATTTGTTTAATAATATTTAACTCTTTTTTAAAATTCTCTGGGCTCAGTGGAAACATTACTAATCTATGAATTAAACTATGAAAGGGTGACATTTTGATTTGCCAGGATTGGTGTGATTGACTATGTATTACAGTGTCTGTGGTAGTGGGTTTTCTGTAAATATCAAATTGTAATCTATTAGACTGTTTTATAATTGTAACATCAAGAAAATTGATGGTATTAATTCCCCTTTTCAATAGTAAATTGTATTCTCGGGTTAATTGAATTTAATTCGTTTCTTTCGATGTCAAAAGCCTGTTCACTTCTATCCCAACCCATGAATTATCTTCTATTATTTATGAACTAATTGATAAATCTAATCTTAATATAATAGTAAAATCAGATTTAATAACAATAATTGAAACTTGTTTAGAACAAAACTATTTTCAGTATAACAATGAAATATTTAAACAGAAAGATGGGTTACCTTTGGGTTCCCCAATTTCACCGTTATTCGCAGAAATATTTATGGCAGATTTTGAAAAGAAGCTATTTAAAAACAAGAGTAGTTTAATATCAAAAATAAATGATTGGGCAAGATATGTATAGTAAACGCCACGAATGTTTGGGAGTGATTCATCGCTTGATGAAGTTAGAATCGACACGCGCGCTATCATTTTTACATTAAAAACGCAAATTTTTACCGGAGACGTAGTTTTTAAAGGCCCGATCTAATCATCTGCCTGCGCTCCTCCTGCTTATTCTAAAATGTTAGTGTGATTGACAAAGACGATACCATATCGCGTTTCTTTGATTGATTCGTTTTTGTGCGTCAGTCCATTGGTGTGCTTGCAGTGCGACCAGGGCATTCCAGTTTATATTTATAACCAAAAATATATGTTTTGACAAGACTTTGACAGTTAAAACAACAAATTACAACAGATTATATATTGATTATTATATGACTTGAAACACCACGGCACTATATATATATATATATATATATATATATATATATATATATATATATATTATATATATATATATATATATATATATATATATATATATATATATATATATATATATATATATATATATATATATATATATATATATATATATATATATATATATATATATATATATATATATATATATATATATATATATATATATATATATATATATATATATATATATATATATATATATATATATATATATTATATATATATATATATATATATATATATATATATATATATATATATATATATATATATATATATATATATATATATATGAAATGAACAAAATTCTTACAGCTTTAGTGTATATTAATAAATAATATTTTCTTGCCTTTAGCTGTGTATTTTTCTAATTTCGAAAAATCGAAAGTAGAAAAAATTAAAAAAATAAAAGTAAAAAGAAAATTGTTTTGCTTGTCGTAAAGGGGGAACCAAGCTCCACTCCCACAACCGGTTTCTGGGCCTACCCTTCATCAGGTGGGCTGTCCAGGGGCTGGTTCTCACCGATACGGCAAAAGCAAACTTCTTCTATATCTACAGATGATGTCGTAAAGTGTCGGTGAGATATTAGTGCATCTCCCGTCAAAAGATGGTAAAGAGCGTTTTCGGCCCGCTCAAATATATGAAATGAACAAAATTCTTACAGCTTTAGTGTATATTATTAAATAATATTTTCTTGCCTTTAGCTGTGTATTTTTTCTAATTTCGAAAAATCGAAAGTAGAGAAAAAATTAAAAAAAAAATAAAAAGTAAAAAGAAAATTGTTTTGCTTGTCGTAAAGGGGGGAACCAAGCTCCACTCCCACAACCCGTTTCTGGGCCTACCCTTCATCAGGTGGGCTGTCCAGGGGCTGGTTCTCACCGATACGGCAAGCAAAACTTCTTCTATATCTGCAGACGATGTCGTAAAGTGTCGGTGAGATATTAGTGCATCTCCCGTCAAAAGATGGTAAAGAGCGTTTTTCGGCCCGCTCAAATATATGAAATGAACAAAATTCTTACAGCTTTAGTGTATATTATTAAATAATATTTTCTTGCCTTTAGCTGTGTATTTTTTCTAATTTCGAAAAATCGAAAGTAGAGAAAAAATTAAAAAAAAAATAAAAAGTAAAAAGAAAATTGTTTTGCTTGTCGTAAAGGGGGGAACCAAGCTCCACTCCCACAACCGGTTTCTGGGCCTACCCTTCATCAGGTGGGCTGTCAGGGGGCTGGTTCTCACCGATACGGCAAGCAAAACTTCTTCTATCTACAGATGATGTCGTAAAGTGTCGGTGAGATATTAGTGCATCTCCCGTCAAAAGATGGTAAAGAGCGTTTTTCGGCCCGCTCAAATATATGAAATGAACAAAATTCTTACATATATATATATATATATATATATATATATATATATATATATATATATATATATATATATATATATATATATATATATATATATATCGATAAATATATATACAACTCGCTATATCAATATATATATATATAGTCGATAAAGACTTGAAACAACTCACTTGATCAATTGACATAATTTATCGAGTTTAGAAAGTCATAATGTCATATTGCATTCATGCGAATTGAATTCAAGTGACTTGATCAATTCACTTGACTCGTGTAAACGCGCCTTAATTTTTTTTCAGAAATGCAGGGGATGTCTACAAATACGTTATTTTTACGGGTTGGTTCTACCTGTCGCTGCTGTTTACGTTTTTGGCCGGCACAATGCGGCCTACAATCTACTCCTTTGGCTACATCTTGTTCGCTTTTTTGCTGGCGTGGGAAGGACAGGACTTCTTCCTTAGAGAACCGAAAAGCATTATTTTTAGGTAGGTAAAACTAAATCCCAAAAACAGAACATATGAAAAAATGTCAATTCCTCGCAACGCAGTTCTCCCAGTACAAACAGTAATTGTAGAATCTCAAATAAAACTAAAACAGTTATTTTAGTTAAACCTTAGTTTAGTACGGGGTTTTCCTATATTTTCCCTTTATTTTAAATCAATATGAACCGTCCTAGAACTTTACAACGCACGATGCAGATGAAAAAATTGCTGCATATGTATTTCCTTGCGTATCAGGCGTATCACAAGTTCTGTGAGGATTCAGAAAGGATTCTGAAAAAAAAACGAAGTAACCTAACGTTCAGCGATCGTTCAACGCATATAATTATAAACTATAGTTCGTATCATATAAACTTTTAGTCACGTGATTAAGCTTGTCCGGCACAGCGTTGCCCTCTTTTACATATTTTCTTTTAATCAAAATATTTTAGGAATAAAAAATAAATTAATTATAAATATATTATTATTTACATCAACAAAACTCACCTCCTAAACAGCACTTAAGGGACATAAATGGCCATTTCTACCGCTTTCCCGTTCAAAATATTCTAATGAAGTCGCGATGAATCTTTTACGGCTATTAAGCTGTCTTGTACACTTCGCATTTAAAGAGGTTCTAGTAATTTTTTAGGCTTAAAGTATCACAACACAATTTATTTAAACCAAAAACTCGTAATACAAAACTAAAGTGTCAAAACGAATGACAATGTCAGAATATAAATAAATAAATGTTGCAACTTGACATTTCCTACAGCAGAGCTATAACCTGTGTCCCCAGCGGGAAATTTAAATTCCAGTTAGGCAGCCTGGTGCCGAATATGTCCATGATTGGCAACAATGAATTTAAAAATCGCGTCGTCGATTACGTAACTAAAAGTTTCCTATTCGCCGCCTTAAAACCCACACTCGTTATGCATTGATGCGGTTTGTCAATGCGTCCATTTGATGAGCCAATGCGTCGAAAAGATGAATTTTGCGGCACCGGCGGTTCGGTTTTTGGGCTAACCATAAAAAAAATATCACGAACACAATAGACCAATTTCCAAACGAACTAACAAATCGCATGGATAAACAGCATCGACGCATCGCATCGCCGAACCGCATCATACTCACTATGCATGTGTATTATTATGTTTGGGTGCATGGACCAATCAAATCAACACAACAGCGCATAGTGCTTTAGCATTTCATATTAATTTGACGAATTCATTAAATATTATTCTACATTTTTCAGATGGAATATGCTTATATTATACAATCTTCTGATCATGCTGTGTAGATCAATAAGTCAGTTATTTGGTTGTGTTTTGATCTATGAAATCAGTGAAGAGTATTGCAGAATATTCAAGTATGTAAGATAATATTAGTTATACAATTTAAGGTGGGTTTACATGCATCCGTTAAGCTTGATTTTCTGCATGATACGATATATTAATTTTATTGCTTGAATTAAAGACTTGGATTGGTTAGAAAATTATGTAGTTTTTAAATTTATTGCATTTGCATGCCTCCGTTCATTGGATCTATGATTTGCTTGTGACTGGTGTAATTTATATTTTCATATCCATAACGATTTCGCTGTTTCACTTATAGTCTAAGAGCTAGCAACGTTTTCGAGAAGAAATTTTAAGAAAGCTGGTTCTTTAATATATTTTTTGCTATGCTCTCCTGAACAGTGTGCGGACCGTCTGGCTGCCGGTAGACGTTGCGTTTATTACTGCGCATCATATCTGTATTCAACATCTGTTCACTACCGCGCATCACAAATTCGCCCTGCATTTCAAGAACTAATGAAGCTAGGACACATATATGTGGCAAATTTAGTTTCATAAAAAAGTAGCAAAGTAATGTGAAAGTCTCATCATTGTATCTCTAGTCATAAACGAGAAATCCCATAAAACACACGAAAATTTGATACGCTGTACAGATGTGATGCGCAGTAGTGAATCGCAGTAGTCTACTGGCAGCCAGACGGCCCGCACTTTTGTCAAGAGAGCATAGCAAAAGATACATTAAAGAATCAGCATTCTTAAAATACTGGTTTTCGCAACGTTACTAGCTCTTGTACTATTATATTTTTATTAAGGTTAGATTAAATTTGTCAAAAAAGTGGCAAAACGTCCGTTATCGTACGAGCTTTCTCCGTTGACGGGCTCGAGTAAAGAGATTACGGAAGAAAAGTGGCGCGAAAACGCTATGACCAATCAGAGCGCCGTCGGACCATCGTATCAACGTATAACGGACGCATGAAAATCAAGCTTCATCCATTGATACTATTATCCGACGGACGGCGCCTTAATTAGTCATATTATTTTTGTCCATTCTTCATCCCAAATTCTTTAACTTCCGTTCGTCAACGGAGAAAGTTAAAATAAACTAAACTTTGTGTACTATAACGGATGTTTTGGCATCTGTAATCTATCAAAATCTTAAATAAGTCACTCATTGATTCCTCATCAAAAAATATGAAAAAAAGTCCCTATAAACATGGGTGCGGAAATGCAAAGTTCTAAAGTTTGTGACACATCTAGAAGTACCTAACCATAGATAAAAGAAAATAATCTTCTATTAAGATAGATATGAAACTTAATAGTAAAATTTTGGGTCAAAGCGCCCCTCCGTGTTCTTAGTAGAGACTACGTTTAACCCAGCGCCTTCGCCTTTTCTGCTGTAAATATTTTTTATGTTTATATTTGATTTCAAAGGATTTAGTTTTAAAGTTACACTGATATATTAGTATATCAGAGTAACTTTAATAAAACATAAGAATATATATATTTTACAATATAAATTTTGACTACAAGGTAGAAAGTAAATCACAATATTTGATAAAACTTATAAGTATACCATTTTTACAGTTAATAAATAATAAAACTATTTCTGACTATGATATTTAAAATTTAGATAGATAGAATATTAAAAAAACATACCGGTATTTGCAGACGCAGGCCCAAATTCAATAAAAACCAAAATTTTTCCTGCGAAAATCAGGTTTTTTTCACAGAAAAGGTATTTTTTGATTTATCAACAATCATTGTCAAGTTGACAATATACAGGGTGTTTTCTAATTAGTCTAAAAAAATTGTTGTGTAATTCCTCATGTGTTCTTAAAACAATTTTTATAAAACCATTGGGTCTAAAGTACTTCCTTTCTGATCTACAGGGTGTTAAAAATTAAAAAAAAATCGATTTTTTGCTTAACATAAATGGTACACCAATGCTTTTTTAAAGAAAATATATTTTTTTCTTGACTGGCCATCCTTTTTCAACAAAATTGATCTTTTGAGTTTTTCTTGTTCATCAAACGGTTGCCGAGAAAAAAATAAATATACTTATTAAGAGCCCGCCTTAAGCCGTTTTCAAACGATTTTTTATTTTTTAGATTAATTAGGAAACACCCTGTATATGTATCACAGGCAACCAAATAAACTAGTAACCTCTAAAAATTATTTTTCCTACCACTAGCGACGTACTGTGTTTTTAGTGAGTACTAAATTGTTTTATCAAAATTTCACCATATAAGTTTCCAGGCAATGTACCTAACTTAGAATTTTGATGGTGTCAGTGAATCAATGTCGAAATTTGACAAGCAATAATTCATAAATTATGAGGTATAATTATTAGATATTTTTGTAATCTCGCTAGCTATAGTATGTCCTCATGTTTAGTGAAAATTTATATATTTGCTTTATCCACAGCGAAGCTACAGGGAGGTCGAAAGTGCCGCTAACTAATACCTTCGAGAAAAGGATGGTATTAGCGATAATATCTATCCGTGCCCCCGATAATAGCTATTGGGAAATTGTGATACACAAGCAAAAAATATGACGTTAATCAAAATTAATAATAACCGTCTATCAAAAAATTAAATCGAAATTATATTACCATAAAAACACCTTTCGATTTTTATATGTTTTTTTTAATTTTCTCTAAAATGGTATGGAAATTTGTAAAAGTATAAACGGAATTAACCATTTTCGAACGAGCGAAATTTTTATGACAAATGCATTTTTCTCAAAATGTCAATAATAAAAATGTTTTTCCTCTGGTAAAGACACTCCGAGGACATACTGTATATGTTAGGGTAATATAGTTTTTGAAAAGTTTTTATACAGGGTGTCCCAGAAATAAGTGCAAGTATTTTAAGGGGTGGTAGATCTCGATAAAAGAAACATATTTTCTCTTTATCGTTTTTTAAATAAGTCCAAAATAACATAGTTATTTTACTTTGAGAATTTCCAGAAAAAATGATTTTTTGCTAAAATTTTGAGAACCACTGGATCTTTTTTGGATTTTCTTGTAATTTTAATCTGCTATTTATGTTGCAATATTATCAAGTAATTATTTTTTTAAGTAAAAAATAAAAAAAATTCCAAAAAAATTTTCAAAAAATTCCGAATTTTCAATTTTTTTTGCGAAAAAACTCATAGGCGTGTTTCTGGGGTTGGCCTATATTACCAGTTAAAATACTTGCACTTATTTCTGTGACACCCTGTATAAGGTATTAAGCAAAATAAAACACTAAATCACCACAATACACCATAACACTTTTACTTTTACACTGGATGCGCGCCAGTTTTTATCATCTTTTTTATCATCATCGTTTATCATCACGCGTTTCAATTTTTATCATCTGCTAACATGGTTAGCGAAACGCGCGTCCAGTGTAAAAGTGTTTTGGTTTATTGTGGTAATTTAGTGTTTTATTTTGCTGTTGTAACACAAAAGGTTCCAACCCTTATTAAGGAATAAGTCTATCAACAAAATTAGATAAGCACGATAGAATATTAACATGGCTGATCTAAATTCCGCTTCATCAGTGCCGTTTTAAATTTATTTAAAACGTTTAAAAATATATTTCTAATAAATAAAAAATAGATATATTTAAAATAGCTAAAATTTTCTAAAATAGATAAGTTTTAATAAATATTTAATAACAAATATATCAAATACGCTACTGAAACATCTCAGTCAAATTTACGTATCCGAATTATTATTGACAAGTTTTAAATAGAAGATAAATGCAAGAAAAATATATAATTACCTTAATTCTAAGTGAATTTCATGATTGACTGGTTTACTACATGTAACTTGTCGATTCAACGCCAGGAGCAAGGAAGTGGTGCGCATGCATAAATCAGTTAAGAACATATAAAATTAGCTAATAAACTAGGATAACCAGGTTTAAACAGAAAACAACTGCTTTAAAACAGAAATAAACGGGTTTGAACAAAAAAAATAACAAAAATACAAAAATCAGCAGTTCAAAAGCGGCCGTTTCCTGTTTAAACCTGTTTATTCTTATTTATTAGCCTATTTTAGATGTTCATGGCTAATTTACGCATGCGCACTACATCCGGCTCCTTGCTCCTGGCGTTGAATCGGCCATCTCCCTCTACTTAGGTGCAACAACTTGACAATCTTTTTTTTTTTTCAAGATTCAAAACAATGTCACTGTTAATTTAAGTTTTGTCACAATATCCTCTAAATAAAACCAATTGTAGCATAAATAATAAAAAGAACATATAATAAGCTCAGAAAATCCAAAGATATCCGTTTTTAAAACTTTAAAAAAATATTTCTATTGTAATTATCTTAAATACCATTGTTTTTTGGAGGAATTTGCCGCAGGTAGCACTCGGCATCAATGAATTTAATAAAATTTAATAATAAATTGATGAAATAACTAATTTATTAATTTTATTTCTATTTTTATTTTATTAATTGTGATTAATAAAATTGCGTTTATCTCATCGAGGTGATCGAAATGGATAAAACATCAAGATACAACTTTTAATCGGGATTAAACGGCCTACGCAATTTTGCTAACAAGAGCAAAAAAAGTCAGCGGCGCACATGTTTTTTTTTAGAAAAATATTCTAGTGATAACCGACTTCCATTTCCCATTCCAGTAATACACACCTCCTTCGTAAATCCGTCGACTTTTTTTAGACTGTTTATTTGACTGCTTTATACTGAATTAAAGCATGTAGCAGTTATAGAGGTATTAAAATATTATTTGCTTATAGTAATTTTTAGACTCAAAATTTCATTCGAATCCGTAAAAGCACCACTTGGAAGAAAATTATAATAAATCAAAACAAAATATATTTTAACTCTAACGAAACAAAGCAGAATCGGACCTATGCTGATACAAAAAATAAATCTTATTTTTGGGTGAGGAACCTTCCTTTCTTTGAGGAAATTTCCCACAATTTAGAGAAAACCTTATTTCCTACCGTTTCTATCCACTGTTGTATTTACAGGTTACTAGCTCTTGGATGTGTGGACAAACTGGGATCTTACGATTTACCGTATGTGGAAGAAACAACCACGTGTGTCACATCTACTGCAGGTCTTGGGGCTGGCTGGGACACGGCCTGCTTTGCTTTTCTCATTTTTCAGCAGAGAATCTTCAAATCTTACTATTTCTTTCATATTGTCAACGATGTCAAAGTGGAAACAATTCTAGGCGATCGAGGTAGGCGTTTATTTTCAGACAAAATTAAATGCATTCAAAACTAATTTTCGTTATACAGGGTTCGGCAATAGTGCGTCGGGCATCTGTAGCTCCTAGAATAAAAAACTTGGAAGTTTTGTTTAAGTGCAAACCTAAAGTATGTACGACGATGTATTTTTTGAAAATATTTTAACTTCTATAAAAAAGTTTAAGTGGATCTGGATGATTTTTTATAAATGGAACACCCTGTATATTATTGCATTTTTAGCTTCCTTTCAGATCGCTTTACATAATCCTAAGATAATATGAATAAATATATTTCTATAGTTTCAAATCTATTAATAAATAAATAAAGAAATATATATTTTTCAATCTTTATTAAAAAAATTATTACAAATACAAGAACTGTCCCGAAATCAAAAATATATTAGATATTTAATTTAGATGGTCTATACTTACTTTGCTATAAATATCGTAATCTTAAATCATACAGAATGTTCAAAATTCTATGCCAAGCTTTCTAAAATATAAACTAATATTTCTTTGTTTTTTTTTTAAATGGAACACCCTCTATATTTTTTTTTCAATAGATGAAGAATGGCGTAATGCTTCGCAGGACCTTGAGCAGAATCATCCCGATACACTCACAATTTTTGAGCCATCCTATAGAAGTTAAAATTATTTTCCTGAAATATATCCTAGTATATTATACTTTAGGTTTGTACTTAAACAAAATTCTTAAGTATTTTATTCTAGGAGCTACAGATGCCCGACGCACTATTGCCGAACCCTGTTCGTTTTAATAACATGTTTCTTCTTTAATTCTTCATGTCTCAACCCTGTATGTTTCAAGATATTTCCTTGAATGTATGTGTTGTTTTAGGAGCCGATCTTATAGAAAACTATAGATCCAAGAAAGAAGCATTTATAAAGGAGGAACTTAAAAATATTGAGCAAAACATGGAAGTAAAATTGAAAAGAATCCGTAAAAATGAGGCTAAAATATCAAGTAAGAAAAAATATGCACTTGTGAACTGATCTCAGACACACCTAAAACTCATATTTGACAAATAATGATGACGTAACGGTGAACGATAGCTGGACAGTCATTACCATTATTATTTAGATAAAAAAAATCCATTTTTGTATTGACATGGTCCAAGCAATAAAAATAATTTGGTATACAGTATATACCGGGTGTTGCATCGGCGGATGGGACATAGGAAATCCCATGTAAATTTTAATGGGGTCAATTATTGGCTTCCCTAAATATTTCAGAGAATAATGCTATTTAGGTTTATTGAAGAGCACTAAAACCCACATTCAAAAGAATAACTTTAGATATTTTAGATTAGTTCGTTTACGAGTTATCGCCGATTTCTTTTTAAATATTTCTTCTTTCTTATGGCCCTGTATTTTGAGCACCAGTCAAGGTAAAAGATAACTGTCAAATGAAGTTGTCATTTCAGAAATTTATGTATTTAGTGCTTTACTATTATTATTAAAAACTCATACCTACATCGAAAATATTACCGAAGAAAAAGTATTGATGATTAAATGGTATTATCAAGGAAATAGTTATCAAAAGGTGTCGGACATGTTTGCTTCTCTGTATCCGAATAGACCGATATCTGGAAAATCTACAATCGCAAGGAATATCCAGAGATTTGAGACCAAAGGTACCCTAATAAATAACTGCAGATGTGAAGCAAGGCAGGAACAAAGAGAAGATGCAAGAAATGATACCGACTTGGAAGTTTTATTGTGCGTGTAAGAGAACGATGGAAAGATCAGCACAAGGAAACTTGAGGATGAAATAGGAATAGATCACACTACAGCGTTTCGAATTTTGCAATTGCGAATTTTTGAAAAGCACCAAGAGCTACGAGATGGGGACGAAATACGGCGGCAGGCGTTTTGTTTTGATATGATGGAAAGAGCAAACACGGATAGGGAATTTTTAAAAAAACATAATATGTTTTTTTAAAAATTCCCTACTATGTTTCACTGACGAATGCACGTTTACCTTAAATAATGAACCCAATGTTCAAAATTATCGATATTGGAACAAAGAAAACCAACACAGGTTTGTCGAAATAAGGACGCAATATCCACAGAAAGTAAATGTTTGGGCAGGGATATTCGGACACAATATTATCGGGCCATTATTTCTTACACGAAATTTAAATGCAGAATATTATTTGGAACTACTCAAAAATCATATTTTACCTGCTTTACATGATGCCGCTAGGGAAAATCAGGAAGTTTGGTACCAAATGGATGGCTGCCCGGCACATAGTACCCTGGCTGTTCGGGAATATTTAAACAATAGTTTTAACGTAAACGTTATTGGCCTAAATCATACAGTAAATTGGCCAGCAAGGTCTCCTGATATTTCGCCAAATGATTTCTTTCTCTGGGGCCATTTAAAAAACAGGATATACAAGAATAAAAAATACCCAAATCTAGACGAGTTAAAAAATGCTATTTCTGCCGAATGCAATAGAATTTCAGTTTACCAACTAGCGAATGTAAGAATAGAAGTTTATGATCACCTGGGTTATTGTCTAGCAGTCGATGGAGGAATATTTGAACATCTTAAATCCTAAAGTTTTAACAATTTAATAGTACCTAAATTGATAAGTTATTGAATATTGTAATAATACTAGGTATAATTAACCTTGTAATTGATTACTTTATTTTACTTTAATTCATATTAATTTGTATTTATAAATACATCTTTAAGATTTCCGATGTAGGAATGAGTTTTCAGTAATAATAAAGCACTAAATAGGTAAATTTCTGAAATGACAACTTCATTTGACAGTTATCTTTTACCTTGACTGGTGCTCATAAGTAAATACAGGGCCATAAGAAAGGAGAAATATTTAAAAAGAAATCGGCGATAACTCGTAAACGGGCTAATCAAAAATATCTAAAGTTATTTTTTTGAATGTGGGTTTTAGTGCTCTTCAATAAACCTAAATAGAATTATTCTCTAAAATAATTAGGGAAGCAAATAATTGACCCCATTAAAATTTACATAGGATTTACTATGTCCCGCACGACGGGTGTTGACCCGGTACCTATGTCAGTAGAATAAAACTTTATGAGTTTATAGCGAGAATACGACTGTGAAGATCTAGTAATCTTAAATAATGAAAAATAAGTGTGTATAATATAAATATATAATTATAATAGTAAATATAATAATATATTTCTTATTTAAAAGATATCAGAGGTGGCGATTATACGGACTTCGATTACGTAGAACGACAATTAAATATTCCCTTATTACCAGAACCGGATCGTCACGTAGATGCCGATTTTGATCCGACGGATCCCATGGTTTGTTCTGAGGTAATTGCTTAGTTATTTACTGAAAAATAGATATGTAAAGGGTCATTTAGGCTCTCAGATAATTTGCGCAAACTGGTCTGCGCAAGCTAAACTGTACAGGGTGGGTCAAATTCGACGCTTTTAAATGGAAACACCCTTTTCTATAGGAGATAGACAAAAACTAATATCGGTGTCTGGAGCTTAATTTTTGTCAAACACATGATGGTGAAAACCGCATATCGATATCTGTTACCGTTTCGGAGTTACGGGGTGTTTTTCAATAATATGCATTTTTAACAAATCGCTGTAACTTTTTTGCTATGGAAAATTTTGTATTTTTATGAAAACATTTCCAAAGCACCTTTTTACGTAGAATTTAATGGTTCAAGTATAATTTTTTTAAAATTAATAATTTAAGAATTATCAACAGAAAATTTGATTTTTTTATATGGGACACCCTGTATATTTTTAATTTATTGAAAAGAATTTAAAATTACCTTTCCAAAAATATAACACACTTGATATTTTGCTCGATTTCTCTTCGAGATATGGAGTATATAAAAATTCGCCCGCTTTAAATAAGTAGGCTTTGAACGGCACCGGCTGTAATGCAAAAAAAATTCTAGTTGTGAGCATCAATTAAAACGAAAATAATATTTGCTATGAGAGATGCAGAATTTTATAACAATTTAAAATATATTTAACCAACATCAACACATTTAAACTATATTTAATAACAATAAAAATAAATAACAAACCAAGACATGAGATTTTGCTACAGGTGTTCAACATATCAACCGTCTTCTGTTATGGACAGACGGGGCAGTTTTTGAACATTTCTCATAACAAATAAACTTTTAGTCCCGTGATTAATCTTGACCGGCACAGCGTTGCCCACTTTTACATATTTTCTTTTAATCAGAATATTATTTTGGAAAACAAAAATAAATTAATTATAAATATATAAACAGTTATTATTTATAAAACAAAACTCATCTTCTTAACAGCACTTAAAGGGCATAAAGGGCCATTTCTAGCTCTTTCCCATTCAAAATATTCTAATAAAGTTGCGAAGCGTTTTTTACGGCTATTAAGCTATCTTCTACACTTCGCTTTAAAAGAGGTTCTAAAAAGAATAATGTTCGACTGCAAGGTCTGCTAGTAAAAAATTTTAAGCTTAAAGTTTCACAACACATTATTTATTTAATGCAAAAACTCGTAATACAAAACAAAGGTGTCAAAACGAATAACAATGTCAGGAAATAAACAAATAAATGTGACAACTTGACACGTAACTTACTTGATTACGTAATTAAAAGTTTGATTGGTATCAAAAGTATTTGATATGAACTGTAGATAATATCAAAGTATCAGCAAAACTTATCTTTGAACTGAACTGAGGCTGTGATTGTGATAATTAAAAAAATAAAGTTTACTGCTTTTATTAAATGGTTTTAATTTATTTTTCAGTACCTAGGCTTATTAATTAAAACAAACATTGTTACGGTACTTGAAGAACGGAAAGACAGACGGCACATGAAAATGGTCCTTAAAAACCAGGTAAATAAATATTTCATTCTTATTTACTTTTTGTTGACTAGACGCTCTATTGTTAAATTATACGATAATTTTCTGCCATAAGTTGTATACAACGTTAACTGCAGCATTGTTTCTTATATTATTTGAAATTGTTTCTGATGTAAAATTATTTGATCTTTTTTCTATGACATTACTTTTTGATCATATAAATAATTTTGTAAGCAATAATGTTTTTGTATTTTTATTTGCATTAAATATTTTTTTTTATTTAATTTCAACTGAAAAATGAAACAGTATTATACATGATACAAAGAATACAAGGTATGATATTGCGCAGGTTGGTCATTACGTCACAGGTGATAAACGGCACGATTGGTCGGCAAGCTCCGCGCGCCAATTTCAAATTGTCAAACAGATGACACAATAAATGTGAAAATAATTTTTCCAATGACAAGTTCAATGATTTGACATAACTTTTAGGGTTATGTCCTAATTCTTCCCTATTTTAGGTCTTTTTTTATTAGTGGCAATTGAACAATATGGATATTTTTTTGTATGGCGTATGACGTCACAGGTGGTATGCGCAATATATACTGTGTATATAATATACTGTGTATATAATACTGCTACGGCTGCCTACCCGTTCATCTCTGCCAAACCTCTCTATCCAGTGTATCCAGATCTTCTAGTTTTCTGGGTGTCATCGCTTTTCTGATTGTGGCATTCCACCACCTTCTGGATCTACTTCTTGTGCAGGACTCCACTAAAACAGTCGTTTTGGTCATAGATCTTCAGACATTCTTAATAGACGGCCAAACCATTTCAGACCTCTGATCTCTATTCTATGCATAACTGACTCTAGAGCATTCATTCTGTCTAATTTCTCTGTGTTGGTAATCCGATCCAATATCGATATGCCTGAACTCCTTCTGAGATAATCCATTTCGACTGCTGCAAGTCCCCATTTCACTTCAGCTGTCATAGGCCACACTTCACAACCATAGCACATCACAGATTCAACTAAAATTTGTTCTAGGCGTTCCTTGGTTCTAAGAGAGAGAGAGCTGCCGATCCTACAACAATGTATTCAGATAATTTAGAGTTTGGTGATTTTCATTGTCTCCAGTACCCTGCTTGGTTACGGTTGACCCTAAAATATTTAAAATTGTCGACCTTTGTGGCCTGAGAGTCATCCATCATAAGAACTTCAAAGACCACTTCACTGTTGTCTACCAGATAGTCAGTTTTCTTGAGACTTACATGTAAGCATAGAATATGTTTGCGTATCTATATATTCTGTGCTGTAAGCCACACTCATATTATACATATAGCCTGTATATCCTATGATGTATTGTAGATGATCAAATGCATCTTGTGCAAGCATTACTTCATCGTAGCTTTTGTGCGCCTCTATGAATACCGAGATGAATACCCACAGACTCACACTTCGTTTCCATTCTTCCATACATACATACTACATAGGCATTGAAAAGTAAAGGGGAGAGGCTACAACTGTTGATTGAAAAACTAAGAAGATGCGCAACGTTATGGGGAGCTCGTGGCACAAAATATGTCTGAGATGTAGCTGGCGTTACCGTTATTTGTCCGAAATTTAGTTTAACTCTGCGCCGCTGCGCACTGATAGTCGTTTACAGCGCAGCGGATAAAGAATACTGTGCTATAGTTCTGATGTTAGTCGACAGAGTGGGCGGTTGTTGGAGACAGTGCTGCCAGAACTACGGCTTAATCCATAAATTTACGGATTGTGGGCACAGTACGTTAATAATACGGATTTTCTATCATTAAATAGTTTAATATAAAATTAGATGATTAAACAAAGAACGGCGCGGCGTCAAAGTTGACTTGGAAATGAAGATCGCTGTTATTTCATATGTAAAATATTGTCATCATTTGGTCAATAGTCGCCATTTCCAAGCCAACTAAACTACTTTTTTCGATCATAAGAAATATTACTTATCAAAGAATTTTGTCACCTATATTTTTTTATTTTTCTTGTTTATTCTATGTTTAACACGAATAAATTTTTAATACATAAACGCGGATTTTTCATCCAAACATATTTTAGTCTAACGTGTTACAGATATTACACATTTTAATATGGCAGCATTGTCGCTTTCAGTTTCACACCGTCTTCGATATGCCTTCGCTAGATGAATTAGAGAAAATGAGTGTTTTATGCGTTGGCCGCAGAACAAGTAGAGACTACACCATACAACACTTAATACGTCTGTCACGCAAGACATCCAGCCTTGTCACGAATTCGTCCATTATAGATTGCGTATTTTCCCAATTCTTTCAATCGACGCTACAACTCTGTCTATGATTGAAAAAGAATAGAAAAATACATATTTGAGAAATCTGGACAGACTTTAAATAGAGTATTGACTGACACCTTCATTATTTTTATTATAGGCGCAGAAGCAAAAGCAACTTGCAATGGCTAGAAGAAAAACTGTTGAACGTATAGCTAGTAAACTTGATGAAGTACAGGGTAATTCTTCTTATTACTAATTTTCTTGCAACATCCTTCAGCGAAGTTGTTTCATAAATCTGGTTTACTAGATTATTTTTACTTTTTATTCCTTTTGTTGTTATATCCAAGGCACCCTTAGTTAAAATGCGAAATATAATATTTCATTTCTGAAAAAAGGCTTAGTATTTCTTTATTTCGCTACCGAAAGAGAAATGAAAAAGTATTTTTTTATATGCTTCTATGTTAGAATCTATACAAAAACGAGGTTATCAGTGGCTATTTCCTCTTAAACAGATTGCAAAATACAATCAAAACATGCGTAACGTTTCAAGAGTATGTGTCCTATCGTCGCACAATGTTGCATCCAATGGACAACATTCAAAAACATGAACAAATATTTTTTTTTACATTTGTACGAATAAATATCTGGTATAATATCCAAATTATTTCAAATGAACGAAATAAATCACACAACTATAGTAAGTTTCTCGTAATAGGCAATGCGATTTCCATGTCAACATATTTTGTTATTGACAACTATTTGTTGGATCTACTGATCAACTATTTGCTGGATCCTTTTCGAACTTTCTCACAGTGACATTTGAAAAAAAATTATATATTTTAGATTTGTGTTTTGATGGGAAATATATCCAGCATGTTCTCCCAGATATGGCGGAGAATAAATCACAACTGATATAATGGGGTATTTGATTTTAGGCGACCTCGAAGCTACTATAACCAAACATATAATGTATTTTATGCTGGCATGGGGCTTATTTGAAAGCCTGGTGGTTTCGTTTACGAGAATTTTAAACAGTAGTACAAGAACTTTTAGACAAGTAAGCGCAGAAATCAATGAAGAGAAAAGTATGATAAGAGTAAGTAAGAATAAGTTTCATAAAAAAGTATGGTTTCGCATACAATATTATATTACAGTTGAGGGTTGGAACCTTTGGTGTTAAACAGCAAAATAAAAACACTAAATCACCACAATACACCAAAACACTTTTACTTTTACACTGGACGCGCGTCTCGCTAACCATGTTAGCATCATCAGCAGATGATTATAAACTAAATTTATACTAATTTCATTTTTCTTCAATATCAAATCCTTAGTCCCACCCTGATGAAGATGTAAACGAAAACGTCGGTCGTATCCAATTTTGCAGGGTGGGACTGTGTGCACCGTCGCGTCGCTCACATAGTCTACCCACTGAATTTGGTCGCGATCGGGCGACATCAACTTTTGACCTTACTTATGTCATAACTAACCTAAACTTTTTTATTTCATAGTGCACGAAAAGTCGTCAAAATATACTAAGTGACATTGGAAATAGAACACCCACTAAATATTATTTAATTTTAATGAATGTTTGTAAGCATGTTTATTATTGTATGGATAAGAAATGATTATAATTTGAGCGCCGTCAACACACTAGTTTCTGTGCTATACATGTTTTTGTGAAAATTCCAGTCATCCCAATATAGACCCGGCTTTCGCACAGTTTGTTAGTTATTCTGCTACAGAGTAGTTTCAGGTGTTTTTCTGAGTTTATTATAATGCCTAGAATACGTAGACGTGCCAATTTTAGACAACTCAGTGATTTTGATAGGGGTCGGATTGTGGGTTTGCGGGAGGCAGGATTATCATTTCGAGAGATTGCTGATAGGGTCCATAGAAGTATTTGCACTGTTGCCAATTGTTGTAGAGCTTACTTTCAACAACACCGTGAACATCGGCCAGAGGTACAGAGCGTCTAAGATTAACCACTGAGGGTCAATATCGCCGTTTAAGGCAATTAGCTGTCAGAGACCGTTCGGCCACTTCCAGAGCAATTGCTAACCAATGGTTTACGGAACACGGGAGACTCATCACGATGCGAACTGTTGAACCGACGAATACGGTATTATGGGCTGTTTTCTTTTTGGCCTTATTGGATTTTACCATTGACCCTTGAACATCGACGACAACGTCTAGAATGGTGCAGAGCCCGACAAGAATGGGGCGCTGAATGGAATGCTATCGTTTTTAGTGATGAGTCGCGATTCTGTTTGGGAATGCACGACGGTCGGGCGCGAGTGAGAAGATACCGTGGAGAAAAGCGGAATCCACAGTTTTTCATGGAGAGGCACGTAAAGCAAGTTGTAGGAATTATGGTTTGGGGAGCAATCGCATATGGTAGCAGGTCACCTCTAGTATTTGTTCGAGGTAATATGACAGCCCAACGCTATATTGAGGAAATTATGGAAGCTCATCTCTTACCATACTTACGAACGCTCCACGATCCTATATTTTAATAAGATAATGCCCGTCCCCATGTTGCTAGTTTAACTGTAAACCACTTACATAATGCCCAAGTTAATCTCCTACCCTGGCCACCAAGATCTCCAGATCTCTCACCAATTGAACATGTATGGGATATCATGGGTAGGAGACTGACAAACTTACCGCATCCTCCTCAGACACTAGAAGCTCTTTGGTATGAGATACAGTTAGCATGGGATGAAATACCGCAAGAAGACATAAACCATCTGATGAGTTCCATGCCCAGAAGGCTCAACGAATGAAACATCGAGGTGGTCCAACACATTAATAACAAGGACAAGTTAACGAGCCAATATTTTCACTCCAAATTTTGATCATTTACGCATTTTGTCAACGTACATTCATGTACAAAAGATTATTAAAATTAAACAATTTTTAGTAGGTGTTCTATTTTCAATGTCACTTAGTATATAATTTAAAGATTTTCGAGCCCTATCTATATTCCGAGTTTCAACCCCCTGGTTCACATAGGACCCGAGTTACGCAGCTCCAAAGACCCATCTCAACTTCCTGAATGGCTTACCACTTTTTCGATCATTACCACTTTTCGTGACGCTAGCTCGTGTGTCACGGCCATGCATTTTTAATCTCATCACGGGTAAAGAAGTTTCACTTAAAAAAGGCTTCTGAATCATGAACAATATTGCACGTTTTTACTATTCATGTACCTAAGGATTGCAAATATGTAAGACTGCACTCTACTGCAATATTTGTGATTCTTATTCTGATATTGAATGCTGAGAATAGATTTTAATCTTGATGTATGTATATAATGCGTGTTATTTATTCATTAGGGGGATCGACACAACCTCGTTGGCGAGAGATTAGGCAAAAATAAAGTTTGGTCTCCCACCAGGACTTATGAGAACATCAAACAGAACAAGTAAGAACAAAGCTAATGTAGGTACATCAAGCTAATCGGGTATAAAGGTTGGCGCCTCTCATACGACGCGAAGGCTCACAGGAGAACGGTAGTTTATATCGAAGTTAAATTCTGGGAGCATAATATGTTAGTTAATTGAAAGCATTTTATAAAAATATATGTAGTTCTACAGGGTGTCCCCAAAAAAAGATACGCATCAAAGTTGTTTTTTTTCGTAATGGAACACCCTATACCGGGTGCATCTCAAAAGTGGCTCACCCCTATAACTTTTTTATTGTATCGGATAAAACAAGGAGATTTGGTATGTTAGTATATGACATAAATTGGGATTGATTGACGTATTCAATTGTTTTCGGTCACTTGACTTGCAGTCAAATGACTGCAACTTTTGATTTTTAAATGGCACCCTCGGTATTTTTTTACTTTATTCGATAGAAAATGACACTCTGAATTGAATGACATATCATATGTGAATTTTTGACATAGTCACTCAAAAATAAATTCTATTTTAAATTTCAATCTAAAGTGCCATGGCTATGTTAAAAACACTAATTCTTAATCAAGGAGCCTTGGAAAAATAGATTTGATCGTCTAATGTTTTTAGTGTCTTGTCCTGGCCAGTTAGAAAATGCTCAAATCGTATTTTTAATCATATCTCATTTTTTTCAAATGGAACCAGGGTGGCTTATTAGCATATTTGGAAAAGCATTTTTTACGAATAATTTAATACACACACTTGGTATTTCTAGTCAAATTTTCGTTACAAACCGCAAGGTATAATTTCAAATAAACCATATGCCAAAATGTCAAAAGTTGTCATATGATATGTCATTCGATTCAGAGTGTCATTTTCTACCGAACAAAGTAAAAAAATAATATATACGAATAATGAATACGTCAATCAATCCCAATTTATGTCATATACTAACAAACCAAATATCGTTTTTTTATCTGAAAAAATAAAAAAATTATAGGGGTGAGCCAGTTTTGAAACGCACCCGGTATATTTCTCCAAAATATCCTATATGGGTATTTCGCCACTGTAGTGGGGTGAGATGGCTGAAAAAAGTTTCACATCTGGCAACCAATGCGCCCTTTTGGATTCAGAAAGCACATAGGTAGACGAGTCTAAAAAGCTCGGGACACAAATTTTTCTGGCCCTCTAGCGGTCTTGATTAGGTAATCAAAATGGCCGCTAAAATTTTGAGACACGCTTCTAGCTTTCCCGTTATAACTCAATTTTCCTTTCCGATATTAACATATGTTTTAGTGATTATGAATTAGGAGAAAACATGCTTCCCAACGGTGTATTTGGTTTTATAGTTTAGGTTCACAGAACCAAAAATATTTGAAATTTTTTTTTAATTTTAATTTTTTTCATCGCATTTTGCTAAATGACTTGAAATCAGTTACATTTAGCTAAAAACGTGTCATATGCTTTTTTGTTCGTCAAAGAATTATCTTTCTAGCGGTATATATGATTTCTATTTTGTCACAAACGGTTTTTAACAATTTGCCAAAATATTGTAGTGTTACACATCTAGTCGTTATGGTAAAAACACAATTTATATAGATCCTGAAAAGTAATACAACGACCTAATGACTAACTAACTATCAAATGTAGTTGCTGGAATTTTTAATGTATTTGTAAAAATATACGGAAAATGGTGTTTACCCTCCTAAGTCGTGTCCCACTGTGTTTGTAACATCAGCAGTAGATAACATTGATCACAACCAGTCTTCTTCTACTGCCTTCTACTGCCGTTTCTTTCCATGGTTCAAGTGTTACTATTATTCAGCATCCTCACAGTGAAGCAACTATAGAGATTGATGATGACAGCATTCGTATCCAGCAGTGGATCAAACAAATTCTCAATGGTCTACCTGAATATTACACTACTCTTCTTGCAACTGGTAAAGTAACAAGTGACCCACCTTTGCCAACTGTCAATCTATAGTACACCGACCACGATCCTGCATTCATCACTAGGAAAGTTTTAAGTCATTGGCTTAACTCTGTCCTCCAGAGAGTGTATATTAAAGACATACAAGTATGTGCCTACGAGCCTACATACAACAAGTATGTACATACGAGCACGTGCCTACAATATCGTTTGCTGCTTTTCATGCACACAATGAACCTGGTATTAAAAAATTAGGTGTAATGCGTCGTTGCTTCCACTTCTTAATGCCGAAATTGCAACGCCATCAATGGTACGTCATATGATGGATATCATAGTAATAGCTACTGCAGAATTACATGCAAATTCAAATCCAGATGTACATGCTCAATTTCTTCGTGGTAACTTTACGAGCAGCAAAACTGCTACAACTTTTTCTGCAATATCTGACGATCAGCTTTATGAACACAATAATAAAGTTATAAAAGGTGAAGATGGAACAAATCAAACAACATATCAAACGAGCCAGAAAAAATAAATATTAAAAAAATACATTCCAAGCTAGAATTTGGAGCAACAGTCTCGTTGCACAATACACGATACCTTCACCAACCGAGTGGGGATGGATACTAACTTCGGAAGGATCATACCGACCTGTGTGGATAACAATTCCAGAAGTTTCAAAACACGGTGTAGAACTTACCTCCTGTACTTTCCGCAAGCGATGTACATCTTGTAAATATGTTAAAATGGGAATACGCTGTACAAAACTTTGTGTATGTGAAGGACAGTGCTGGGATAGTGATCGGTAATCATAAGTGAACGGGTAATGCAAATCCTCTACTCTGGATATGACTTCTGTAACTATATATAACTGTATATTTGAAAGCTACTTTACAGTTATACCTTGAGTGCGCTTCATGTGTGCGATTTTAAAACGAAAATCAAAGTTTTGTCTTCCGAAAAAAAGCTATACTTTATTTACTTATTCATCTAAAATTAGTTATTAAATTTTTTGCTTTTTAGCAGGTACAAAACCGTTGCATTACTTTACGAAATCTATAAATTACATTGCTGCCCTAACGACTAGCTGTGCAACGGTACACTGTTGATTTTTAGGAACTGTTTATGATAAAATAGAAGAAATATATACCGTTGTAAAAGTATTTTTTTTGGGAAGAAAAAAGTATAGAACACATTTTCAGCTACATATAGCGAATTTCAAGTTATTTAGAAAAATCTGACGAAAATATGAAATTAAAAAACATGTTTTTTAAGTAACAGATATTTTTTTGTTATTATAAACGTAAATAACTTTGTGAAATATACCATTAAGGAGCGCGTTTCCTCCTCTTTTATAATCACTAACAATACTTGTAAATATCGAAAAGTAAAACTGAATTATAGCGGGAAATATAGAAGCGTGTCTAAAAATTTTGGCGGCCATTTTGATTACGTCATCAAGACAGCTAGAGGGCCAGAAAAAATTGTCCCGGGCTTTTTAGACTTTTCTATCCATGTACTATCTAAATCCAAAAGGGTGCATTGGTTGCCAGATGTGAAATATTTTATTATTATTTTTATTAATTTTAAGCTAACATACCCCACTGGCACTGCAAGAAAATCTGCAAAATAAAATAGTTATTTTTTGTAAACACCTATATATACCCTATATATTAATCGATTTTTGGATTCTAGAAAAAAAAAATAAAGGTGAATTTCATTAAAGAAGCATATTTCTAAAATGTAAGATTTTAACATATTTCCCATTTTGTGAAAATGAAGAATAAATTTTAAATTTTAATAACAACTACCTAAATTTTAATTTACCCTGTAGTGCCTAATATTTAATTACAATAACCATTGTATGTTAAACCAAATTAAAATTTAACCGGAAAAGTTATACAGGGTAAGACAAAATTAATACTGAACACTGGTCACTTTTAAAAGCAAGTTACTCCTGTATTTTAAATGGAACATCCAGTATATTATTTCGGTATTCAATGGAGAATTGATGTATCTTCAATTTATTATTAAGTATTAATTATTATATACTTCTTAAACAAAGATTTTCTTACACATTTTCATTTTTATGATTTTAAGTCAGTAGATCTTTATTATTTGATAAAATCTAGGTGGCTGTGATATACCTTTTGTTAATTTAACAAAAATTAAAGGATTTAGAGTAAAATACTCAAAGGTAATAAAAAGATACATGTTTAAAACTTATTTTAATTATTACAGAATTGAAAGGAGTATTGATCATCTGCTGATGCTGTTAACATGGTTAGCAAAATGCGCGTCCAGTGTAAAAGTCAAAGTGTTTTAGTGTATTGTCGTGATTTAGTGTTTTATTTTGCTATATACTTCTCTAATGAAACTCACCTCTATTTGTCTTTTAAATTCGGAAGATCAATTAATGTATAGAATGTTCCATTACAAAAAACACAACTTTGATGCGTAACTTTTTTTCGGGCACCCTGTAGTGTGTCTATATTTTTAAGTGCTCTAAATTAACCTACATTAGCTACAAAATTTCATTTCAATACAAAACGTCGTTCTCCTTTGAGTCTCCACGTCGTTTGTGAGGCGCCACCTTGTATTTGATATAAACGATTTTCAAAATGTATAAGAAAATCTGGATTGACAATAATATGTTCATAGTTCGCCTCAATATGTTCAGATTTGTATCCTAATTAGGTCCAAAAAATGTTAGTGAACGAATTGTATGAGAGTTCCTGTATGGAGACATTAATCGTCTCGAATAAAGCTTGATTTTCATGCATCCGTTGTCCGACGATACGTTGATACGATATAAATTTCATTGGTTGTATCCTTGTTTATATATTCTTTAAGTTGCTCAACCGACTAGACAAAATGTGCTGCTAGCTGGAGGACAAATCGTGAACCTTTCGGGGCGGAGTCAAAAATATCGACTATTTTCGTTATTTTCCTCAGAGTAATGTAATAATATAGCCCGGGTTTGTGCATCTTTAATAGTGATCAGCTGATTAAGAAATTTAAACGAAACTTTTATTTTATTGTAGATTGTGGATTAAAATTCTAAACCGTATTAACAAAGAAATTATTATTTCGATA